AGTTCTTTAACACACCTTGGAAGTCACAGTGTGATCATTGTGGCCGTAATAACACCACGAGGATGCCTTCTGGGTTACAACCCCACTGGCAGAATGGATGCACAAGCACTATCCCATCTGCTGTCAAATTCTGATTTGAAGGCAACACTAAGAGCACCATCCCATTAACATGCTCAGTACCACACCCTAAAGCTGCCACCCATGCAGCATCTCCCCATCTTCAGCACACATCTTCAGGACATCATAGTGCTAAATACACACACACACGCAATATAACTCCAGCCAGAGAGGAAACTGGAGTCTTCTGAATTTATTCTGTCATCAATGTGAGTCCTGAGTTTAGGGCTATATTTCAAGATACCTTCACAGGACTGAAAAACAAAATGGCCCTGATGCCTTTTTGTGATTTATGAATAAGTCAAAATTTGGAGTAGAGTTGGTTGAGTTTTTTGGGTTTGTTTGTTTGTTCATTGTTTTTAGTTTGGAGAGTGTGTGGTTGCTGAAAGAGCTCCAGCAAAAAACCCCTTTTCCCTTAGAAGGCTGGCTTTTATGTCACTCTTGCTTAGATTTAGTCTTTGAAGAACTCTAGCTGTCTTTATTTGGTATATAGGGAACCACATAACAATTTTTAGGCAACTGATAAATTCACTGTTTACCTGGGAAGTACATAACTTAAAATTTCAAAAGTTGTGGAAGTGTAAGGAAACATTCAGACTTTCTTAACAGACATCTAGCATCCAACAGCAACAGTGGTCATGCATAAATTTTAAGAATTGTTAGTGATCTTTCCTTCCAAGCAACTGGATGTAGTCATCAATACTATTGCTGCATAAACCTAGACACTTCTTTTGATTTCAGGCTCTAAAATTCAGGGTCATTAACACCTTCATAAGAGAGGTACCAGCTCTGGAATCTGGAATCTGCAATCTGGAAAAATTGGGGCTACCTCTGTGGGAATTCAAAGGTAGCCAACCCTAATTCCAACAGAACAAAAGGAGAATCAAAAACTTACAAGTCTTTTTGTTGCTGGATTATGCACAATACAATGTCGAGCAGCAGCATCAGCTGTCCTTCCTACATCTTCCAGGAAACGATAATCTGAAGGTTAAATAGAACAAAGGAAAATGTAGTGCCACCCTAGTAAAACCAGGGAGCTTTAGAACACACAAGGTATGTTCTTACCACTCAGAAGGTTCAAGTCAGTAAATTCATTTACGGAGACAAACGCTGTTTTATCCCTGACTCCATTACAGCTCAGTGCAAGCTTATGTTTCTTTACACACAAGAGGCTGAAATGACAAAAATAAATAAATAAAATTAACATGTTCAGCACATGGATGGGGAAAATAATCAAAACTATTTAGTTCAGATAACAGATACCTGCATGAATATTTCATGCATCGCGGACATCTGTACTTGGCTGCTTCTTTGCTACAGGTTTCACACCTGAAAGAAGTAAAAAACACTTCTCAGTAAGACAGCATTTTTGCACCTAACTGGCCTATGAAAAGTGCCTGCTCAACAACCAGGCACTAGGCCATCCATCAGCATTTTCAGGAAAAGCTATTGAAAGTGCATCTTGAAAGGAGAAAGCGAAAATACAAATACCCTGGATTAGGAAAGGGGGCAGATGAAAAAACACAAGCTATGGGCAGTATCTCCAAACACGCCCATATTAAAACTCTGTAGATGCTTGAAAGAAAAAAGCACACATGCTAACTTGCAGAGCTGGAAATGCAGCAAGCCTTTATCAGTTTATGCTTTGGGGCCTGGTTATATCAGTGCTTTTCTCTTTTTGCATCACCTGTAATGTGTAGTATACCACGATGGCTTATAACACTCCCAGTTTTAAGCAGACAGAAAATAAATTACAAGGATTCTTACTAAACCCTGAACAATGCATCCCATTTTTTCACTGGATCAAAAAGAGCATGACAACATCAGCCAAGCACCTTCTGGCTGTCAGCAGTGCAAACTCCAAAGTCAGGGAACCTTTCAGGCACAATGTGTAAGGCTTATCAATATATAAATATCAGTGAAAAAATAAATTCCTCTACAAATACGACCATATGTTTTTAACTAGGCTATTAAAACAGCTGTTTCTCCCATTCTTCGAAAAAAGGTATTGATATGTCAACAGAAATAATAATCACTCTGATTTTAAATCTGACAAACAGAAAAGAGAAATAACATTTCCCCCACGTCAGTAAAGTTTTCGAGAGCAGTACAAACGCAACTACTAAGGGATAAATATCAGCCCAAACCCATTTCTCTTCCTCTCCCCACCACGTGCTCGCTGCTTGCCGGCAGTGAGGGCCTGAAGGACAAGCCCAGCAATACCATCGCCTGACGAGATCCGTGAATTAGCAGCACTTAGCCATTCTAAGAACCGGAAAAAAGGGCTTCAAACACCGCAGACCACAAACGGGGAGTTACTCCGAGCCGCGATTCCCCTTCCCAGCTCTGCAGGATCTCTGCAGTCCCCGCCGCCCGTCACCGCTCCGGCGAGGCTCTGCCCGGCGCCCCCCGGGAGAGCCAGCGCGCGGCCCCTCGCTCGGTCGGGCCTCACCCGCTCGGGAGCAGTGCGGGGACTGCAGGGCACAGGGTGACCCGCCGAGCCTCGGGAAAGGCGGTCCCGAATCCCGTGCGGCCGCTGCCGCCGCCGTACCGTACCTGTGCAGGGACATCTTCCCGCCGCCCGCCGCCCGTCCAGCACCGCCGGGTCCGTCCCGCTCCGCCATGGCCGCGCCGAGGGGCCTCACGGGGCACGCGCGGCCTCTGCTGCCCGGCGGCGCCGCCTGGCGGCTGCGAGACCCAGCGCAGGCGCACGAGGCGTGCCCGCACCCGCCGCACCGGGACCTGCGGCGCTCCCTGACGTGCGGCGCTCCCGTACCTGCGGGGCTCCGGGACCTGCGGGGCTCCAGGACCTGCTATGTCCCAGCCACGGAGGCTTTCCAGAGCACAGGGACGGCTTCCCAAGCCGCTCACCGCGCCGCACACCAGCACGCTGCCAAAGCGCACCCAGGTGACGGCGAACATCGCGCCTCATCGGTCCGTGTCCCGCTGCAGCAGGCCGTCGTCCCCGCTGTCTGCGTGCGATGTGCATTTCTGCCTACGGAAATGCACATACTCACATCCGAGCAGCCTTGTAAGACTTTAAACTCCTTGCTTTTGAAATAGATAATTTCTGAGATGAAGAATTCCCCAAAATAGGACAATGAGATGAATAAATACATACAACGAAGCACACATTTTCTGAAACGTTGTAATATTACAAAATACTCCCAAACATTTGCCGAAACATCACCTCCAAAGCCAATCTAAGAGCAAATGTCAAATCATAATGTCAAGGTATTGATCTTGAAAATGCAAAGAAGTGAGACATTTTCTCAGCCTTCTGTAATCTTGCTGTTTTTTGTTTTACCAGCTTGTTGTCAAAGTGGTCCAAAATCATGCTTAGATGCAAAATTTAAGGTCATATGTACATTACTCAGTAAAAAAACAACTTACTATTACTTTGTAAAAGCAAACATTGTCTCTGGCAGTATTCCATGGCACAGAGCGTATGCATTTCCCCTTGGGAAGAGAAGTGCTGCCACCTAGGAAAAGTGCCCTTCTAGAGGATTTTCATAATTTCTAAGAATGACCTATACATGAATGAAAGTATGAAACAGAATAGCAAAAGACAAAGAGATAGTTTGGAAGCTTATTTTATTATACTTTGGTGGTGTGGTTTCCTGCAGATGAAGACAGATGGGTTGTTTGAACACCCCTGGGCTTCCTCAAACACAGTCCGATATCACCTTGCCATGTCCTCCTGAGCACACTTTGAACTGATAACAGATAGAGGCATATAAAATATTAAGAGTGCTTTTCCTAATGGTAAAACTGTTCTTTTTAAAAGAAAAAAAACAAACTTCACTGAACATTTTAGGCTTAATTTTAAAACCCCAAAATGATCTAATAACTTTTGCAAAAAAAATTGAATTTTTAAAGAGGATGAAATGCTGATTAAAATTTACCAGCAGCCATTCAGAAGTCACACTGTAGTGGATTTTTTCAGAAATTACAAAATATATACAGAATATATCATCTTAAGATGGCTTTGGCAATAAACTGAAGTACAGAATTTAAAAATCAAAACTACTTTAGGTAGCTCTTCTTACAACAGTTTTTACAATGGCTGTAACACAAACTGTTCTGACTATATGCATCATATACAATATGCTGTCTTATACACCATTTCCAAAATAGTACACAAAAATGTTTTAAACAAGAAATCCACATAAATAATGTTTTCATTATGAGAAGTATGTGACCAATTGTTTAAAGTAAGTACCTTTACAACAGAAACCTATCCTGATGTAACCAGCACATACAGTCTGAAAGATAAAAAGGGACTGAAATAATCTCTGCTAAGGCCACAAGCACCCTGTGTTATGAAGAGCACCAAGGCAACACGGACATGAAACATGAAAGAGGTAGTGTGCCATCTATTTAGATGTGTGTATCCATGATGGACTGGGAATAAAACAATATTTAAGAAGACTTATTGTACTGTACTGTGGCATGATTCACTTTTCATATAGAAGCTATTGCACATTTAGGAGCATTAGTAGGTATTGCTCCTCAGTATCATATGTCTCCAGCTTTCCTCAGGATGGTTTTTGTGCAGTGCTGTTAAAAAGATTGCTAAGAACACCTGACGTCCTGAAAAACTCCATGTTCAGATACTCCTTTCCAGAAAATTATGCAAGAAAGCACCAAGAAATTTATTTTTAAATACTTGAAGAAAATTTCTTTAGTCTTTTCTTTCTTTTATTTTTCAATGCCATTTCTCCTTAGGAGGAAGTCTTTTTCTTCTTGAGGTTCTTTAACCAACAACACTTGAAATGATTCATCAACTTCCTAGTAATTTTGCCTGCATTGGATCATTACTTTAGTATTCAATCTATGCAGCAACTCCATGGTGATGGAACAAGAAACCTAGGACAGAAATCTTAAAGGAAGCATACGGAGCTACTTTCTATGAAGTGCTGCTGTCCTGGTTTGAGGTGAGGAAGTGCATTAACTTGAACAACTGGAAGCTGGTTCGTGTCCTGAGTGTGAAAAAAGAACTGTGTCTTATGCCAGCTGCCATCTTCAATCTGAAACACACAGGAGGAGCATATTAGAGTTGCATAAAAGATGAGCTTCAAAACACAAATGCAAATTGCACTTACAGAGTGAAAGAGAAGTAGTGCACAGAAACATTTCTTCTCTCAGCAGTTCCTAAAGGAACTGTAATTTAAAAAATGCCATTTCTGAATTTTCATTTTGAGGGGAATTGTTTCTAAATTTTCCTGGAAGACCTCCCTATTTCTGTGCTGATGTCTCTGCAGTGTCTTCCTACTGTCTCAAAATACATGAGACACAATGCAAACAGCAAGCATAGATACCCTCTATCACTGCAATTGCTTTTGCCCTTGAAGAGATGGTGAATTCAGTATCTAAAGACTGGCATATGCAGAGCTATGGAAAGAAGCAAGCTTTAAGGGATGTGAATCTAAATGATTGTTACTATTTTGCAGAAGGTTAGCAATGTCTAAACAGTACCTCTGTCATCACATTATTAGTGTGGTGCTAAAAGGTATTTACCATGCATTCATCCAGAAGCACTTTAGGTTCAAGTAGCGTATTTGCTTTAAATATTTGACCGTTCCACCCTTTGAAGGTAACTGATGTCTTCCGGCCACCAGCTTTATTTAATCCCCACATCGGTGCGTTTAGACAATGGACTGTGATGCTGTGGGTTGCTTCTGAGCTCAGTAAATGAAGGAAGTTCATCTGCACTTTTCCAACACCAAACTCCAGCTAAATTCCGAGAGAAAAGCTTTGTTAGACTTACAGCTGGACTGTGCTGAATGGCCACAGCAACACAAAGTGCCATGGACATGTAAGTGTGGTGTTCAGGCATGGGAGCATGTATACATGTTTATATACATTGGGGTCAATGCCAAAGAGCATGATTTGCATTCCTCAGCGGAGATGTTAGGTTCTATTACAGTCATTACTATAAACAGAAGCTTTCATAGGACATTTTCAAAGCTTAAATATAAACATCTGCTGGTGCTTACAACATTGCTGAAGCACAGCTGGTCAGAAAACAGTATTTTTAAACAAGGAAACTGAAACAAATGCTTTTGTGATTCGAAGATATTATCAGCAGCAGTGTTTTAATTGAAGCCACATCACTCTGCTGTTTAGTCTTCTTAGACCACAGGTTCTGGCAATACTGATAGTCCAAATGTAAAAGTTCATAAGTATATTTTGATTTTATAAAAAATATAGTAACTAATTAATCAAGAAGAATTTCTCCAAGACTATTTCATATTCAGGGATCTTCCAAATGTAGGAATGCATATGTGAACTTCAGAGTAATTCTGAAGCTCTTCAGTGACTACAGTGTATATAAAGAACTTCACAAACATAAAATTTCTATTCCCAAGAGTTCAAGAACTGCATGTAAAGAGGAGCATGAACTAATGATGTACAGATAACTAGCCCCTCCCTAATGGCATTTAAAAGTCCCTAAGTGCTGGAAAGCAGTAATAATTTTCATCCTTTCTATTGTAACAACCTCAGCATCTCTACACTTAAATGCCGAGTGATGAGATACTAATGTAGCTTAGAAGTATTTCAGGCTTATTTTATGCCTTGCATTAGAAAGTAAAAAGCAAAAAAATTCTATCAGCATAGGTGAGTAAATGAACACAGTGAGAATTACTAACATATATACTGTCCAGAAAATCTGTAACTTCTGTACCAAAATATATAAAATGTCCTTCCACAAAGATGCACAACAATACCCCCCTGAAATCTAACACTTTTTAATGATCTAAGTAAATAAGCATGCATTTGTTTCGAGTTCAAGCACAGACACAGCATCTCTAGAAGCAATGCATACCTTTGTCACAGACAGTGGTGTTAAACATGTCTGACCACCTGCAGTGAAGTTGCAGAAAACTTCAATGGCATCAGAAGGACATCCAATATTTGGGTCAATCCAGTATTTTCCTATTGGTATATAATTCCAGACAGAAAATAAAACCAAAGGATAATTACTACTAAGCAATTTGCTAAATTATTCATACTTCTTGGCAAATATTACATGTATTATTACCATACCTTCACAAGGAAATGAAAGGAACATGAAAATGTTTTCACTATTAAAATTATACTAGCAACAGATACTGAGAAAAATTAACATAATAAATCACTTCTGATTACAATTACACGGACATTAGAGCTTTAAATAGGAGGAGTTTTTTATTTGAAATATTGATTCAGGAGCTTCTGAGATACAATGACTGTCAGTGTATTTGGCAGTGGTAATGGATGGTATACAATTTTCTCATTAGGAATCTAGTATCTGATCCACAAAAATTCATTGCAAAATTAGCTCTAAATGGAAAACTTTGAATCACAAAATTACATTCAGTTTCAAATTTTCTGGATACTTCTGTTTACTGATAGATTAAATATGTCTGATATTTATATAATATTAGATAGCTACATACTTCCACCTTTAAAATTCAGAAATTTTTATCTTAAAGATGAAATATATATAGCTGTGACAGGCACACTGCAAGAGAATACAATAAAAGAGAATAAAAACATTAAATCTGTCAGATCAGAATTTTAATGTAGAAAGCAACATTCGGAAGCAACAGCTTCTAAAGGTACTTGTGTGAAAGTGGGCACTTACCATCTGACAGTTTACGTTCACAATTAAGCAAATCCCTGCAGATGCGTGCTGGGTTATCCCGTGTGCCAAGAGGGTTCTTGATGCTGTGCAGTAAATTGCTAAGGTAGTGGAGCGTTTTGAATATCTCTGTACTGTGATCTAGTAAAGTTACTTCAGTATTCTGGTATTTCTGCCAAGGGCCATTAGCAAATGTGTTACCACAAAGAAGTGTCACAACAACAGTATATGCAGTAAGAGTCAAATGTCAAATGGCCACTGAATAGCCAGACAGAATCAAAGTGTTTATATGAATGCAATCAGACATGTAAAACAATGTAAGGGTAACATATCCCAATTAAAAAATTAACACATTTTTTTAAAATTGTCAGAGAAGTAATGTTAAGGTGGGTTTATGTCATACAAATTCGTCACTATGATATATTGACATAATAATGTGGATACAGGGAAAAAAAGAAAAAATTAGTGCACTTTTAAAGTAAACATAGAGGTTTCAGATTTTATATAGTGAAATCTACTCTTAGGGTTAATGTAAAAAATATATGCAAATTATTTGGCTTCACCCATGTAAGGGATTTTCTTGCAACCAATGCAACTAGACACATACATTCAATTTTCTTTTTTTATCAAACCCTAAATGTCACTGTTGCTATCTGTGTCTGAACAGATACAGTCCACTATGTGTGACAGTCAGTAAATCTTCTTTACAACCAATCATAACAAAAGGTAGAAGTCTCACTGCTTCTCTTAATTTCAACTATGTCCTATAAATCCTAGCATGTTTCATTACGTCCTATAATTATTCGCTATTCATTATTAATTTAAACTAAGTCTTTGAAAAGAAACATTGTTACGTCCTCAAAAATAAAATTATAGCTGCATTCCCTGTATGATAATGTAAATTTAAATATATACCTCCATCTGCAAGGCAGCATTTGACTCAAACAAAGCTTGAACAGCAGCATTGAGATCCACTTGTTTCTAAAAAACAGGTATTTCAAAACAGAAAAAGATGAACAAGAATATACAAAAGTGCAGGTAGTAAACTCTTTGAGCAGTGGAACAAGCAGTACATTTGAAGAGGTTCCTGTTATTTTCACTTTCAATAAAGCACTGTATTGTAGGTTAGGGTTGTTATAGAATTTACCCTTAGTCCTGGTGGTCCAGGTGGTCCCTGGAGAATGGGAAAAAACAGATATTAGGTGCTTCACATCTTTATATAGTGCAATCAAAATGGAAAAATACAGGCACAGTTTTTTATTATGCACTTACAGGTGGCCCAGGCTGGCCTTGTTGTCCCTGAGGCCCCTAGAAGAAATGGAGATAGAATGCAATCATTATACATTAATATCTCGGGTTTTACATTTATGTATTTATTAAATCACAAAAATGTCCCAATGTGTATAAGGAAGGTGTGATACCAGCTGTGCTAAAGCTGTAGATTATTAGTTACTATTGTTAAAGCACCCTGCTCCATTTGCATATGAATATTCCTGTTAGAATTGCTGTGTTGTCTGGTTCCTTCTTTCTCCAATTATTTCTGATACAAAGGGAATATTAGAATTCATAGAAAGTATTAATATATAATGTGCTATACATTGTGCCAGTGTTATATGCATGCTGACAAGATAAGTACTAGAAGGAGTAAATAATCACAAAAACATTGTAAATAATGTTATCAGTAACTGCAAAAAACTAACTGATCCACTTTAATCCATGAGTATATGCCAGGCTTTTATCAGTTTAATTTATCAGCAGTGCAAATTTTCAGCCAGAACATGTTATATTCATTGTTTTACTGTGATATGGCAGACTTCCTTTTTATTCAAGAAGTTATGCCCTTATTTTCTCATTGTAAGTGGCACCATTTTAGTGTGTAGGATGCCTGCAGGAGAGGAGAAGGAACTGCTTTTCCCTAGCTTCCAGTGCCTACAATGCACATAAACCTGAGTTTTAGGCTGCCTTAGGACTGAACATGGACCTTTCCAATACAATAAACCCATCTGAATTATTCTTTATTTAATCAACTATTCACATTAAGATGGAATGGTTGTGGACATTTATTAATACACAGTGACACTTGTGTCTCTGTTAGATTCTCATCTTCAAGCTCTATATACTCAAACCTTCTAGAAGCTATTGTAACAAACAATGGTACAAATGATGACAAGAAAAAGAATAGGTGGCAGAGTCTTAAAAAGAGAAAAAGAGAAGGAATGAAAGGCATGGGCTAGATCTGCACCTTAAATTACTAAAAACCTTTCAACACAGCTAAGTCAATTTAAGCAGAACATTCTTTTGTCAGTGCTGCTTGTACCAATTACTTGAGCACAATAAGCTGTTCCAGCAAAAGCCCTCCTACGTCAGTATGGTCACGCTAGTACTAAATCTCTGCCAAAAGAGAAATAATCTGATGTGATGTGGTCACACTGACAAATGTTGTGAAACTGACCTAGTCAAATAGGAATTAAGTTGTAAATCACTTGATATAGTATTAAGAAGTGTTTCTGCTGTGAGATTTCACAGCAAGCAAGATCTGTGTGTCACTTCATGCTACAACTGCTGAACTCGGGCTGTGCTCAAGCTGCCAAAAGCAAGGACAGCTGGAAATGGTTAAAGAAGGACCAGGTTCAATCTAAATATTAATTAAATATTAATTAATGTATATCTTGAAAAAGGGATCTCAAACCAATTAAGAGCAATGTACCTAAGTCACTGAGGCTGGAAATTCATTAGCTCTGAGGTCCTAAGGCAGAGCATGTGTTAGTGCCAGGGAATGCATCTGCTAGGGGTTACAGTGACAGCTGCACAACTCAGGTATGTCTGCACATCACCTGCTCTGGCCATGCCAGAGGGCCTCAGGTGCTGGATTATTATGGATGTGAAAAGTGGGGGCCATCATATAACTCCAAGCACCAGCTCTGTGCTAGGCTACATCAATGGACTGTAAATGGCTTGAGGCAAGATCCATGTCTTGTATGTGTTCTTTGGAGAACAGAGGAAATTCAAAACTGAAATGATTTCTGGATGTTTAGACAGATGATTTTCTGATACTTAACCAAGACGACCTTAATAAGATGAGGTCCATGGATTGTAAATATTGTGAACTTTCCAACCGATACATCCTGACCCTATTTATGTTTCATCCACTTACATCTATAGAAGAGGCTGGAAGCCATCTTTTAGGCAGATATTTAATGATTAACATCTTTATAAAAGATGTTAATCATTAATGTTGGAAAATGGAAATGAAAAAAAGTACTTTTAGCATATGTAGTACGAATATGGAGATCACTGTGGGTTCTGTGTCAAGTAACTAGCTTTCTTTTCTTTTCTGCATTTGATTATTGCCCAGCTTGAAATTTTCTTTGAAATCCTATTACTATTAAATATGCATAAAATATTGTTGTTATTCATTATTACAAAGCTGACCCGAGTTTACACAGATTACGTTTACTATTTTGGCATTTATTATTTTCCTCAGCTGTTGCAAATCAGTTGGGTTTCACAGAGCTATACTGTTGTATGCCAGCTGGGAAGGCTGAACTCCACATTTAATTAATCAGGTCAGGTGCTCAGGAGCTGTTAGATTGCTCCAGGATACCTTCAGTCTCATGTGAATATATTCCTGGCCTCTCTGATCATGCTTGGCCAAGTATGTTTAGTATAAAATGAAAGAGAAAGTGTGAAAAAGTACCTTGAGAAACAAATTGGACACCGTAAGGATATATTTATCTTGGTTCAGGACTTGATTATGCAAATACCAAATCAAGGAAAGGTACCAAGTCTTCAACAGTTTGTCCCTAAGTAACCACTGCTCTCGCATGAATAGATATCCTTGTTCTGAATGCTGAGATTTAGACATTTTGGTGTATTTTTTAGATGACTGAATGCTTCAGTTAATGTTCTATGTACTTGGCATGTGTCACCATTTTAAGACTCTAGAAGTCTTGGGACAAGAGCAGCTCAAATTTAAAGTGGTTTCTGAGATAGAGCTGAATGTTTTAAAAATAAAACCTGCACTGTTCCAATGCGTTCAAGGTATTTTGCGGAAGAGCAATGTCATTTGTCTTGATCCACTGTCTCCTTGCCAGTAAAACCCATGGGAAAAAAAAAAAAAGAGGTAAATACTGAATGCTATTTATGAACTACTTTGTGGACTATCACATTTCTTAAATGCATTAGACCTTCAGAGAGCTATAGCAATTATCTTTACGAATCTTTAAAATATAATGGTACTGCACAGAGCAGGGATTTTAAAAATGTTCTTTGTTTCTGCTACAGAGCAGAAAAATAAGGCTAAATTACACTTTTCATGAACTAAGTTAATTGTTAAATGTTTTACTGGAATGTACCGGATTACTTTTACAAATCTACTTAATTTAACCTTTGGTCGCATTAGAATTTATGTGAGAAAAGTGTAATTCCAGTTCATAAAAACAAAAGCAGAGACTAAACCAGTTAGTTTCAGTATGTTCTTTAAATCTTTAATCACTCCATTTGATTGAACAGAAGTTCAAAGGCCAAAATCCCAATCTTTTACTAATGCTGACAGGCCCTTGAGAGGCCTTGAATTTTACATTCAATAGTACACATGCTTAACTTTGAAAGCATGAGCAACCCCAAGGACCTTCACGTTTTGAAAGAATTTTTAAATTACTGAACAGAGTATTTTTAAAAAAAGAATGTGTGCTTCACCACTGGCCTCAATAAGGAGACATGATTTTACATTCCATGTTTTTCTGGGGATAAAAAGACTTATCTTTCTAGTAATGAACTCTGTAACCCTGACAGACTGAAAAATAAAACTATATATACTACAAAAAGGTTAAAATCTATGTGATACTAGGAAGAATGCCAATATAAATATTAAAGGTATAAAATAAAGGTCAGAATACACAGTTGGGTGAAAAAAATTTGGTCTCCTTTGTATGTGAAAGTAGTTGGAAATAAATCCCTTTCTTGGGGGAAAGTAATGTCACTGTATATGATTTAAAATTAAACATTCTTCTTCTGAATACAGCCTTACTAGATTAACTCATCTTGATGAACTCAAGAACTTATTTAGGAAATAACTTCTTAAACACCAGCATCAATAATGGAAACAGATGTTTCTTGTTCACCATTTTGAATGTTTTTTTAAGGATTATTTTTGGATTATTTTTTTAAGTGTCAGCATTTTTAGCTCTATGCTGTCATAACAATTCTTATGAACAAACAGTAGAAAAAGACAGCTAAGATGGGAAACAGCAAATTGAGAAATTGGTTTTCCTCTCATTCTGAGATAGCAATTGCCTCCAGAAGATTAGGATCAAAGAAGAGAGTTCTCCAAGACACAGACAAGGAGCTCCATTCCAAGCTTTAGCTCTTTAAAATGCTTTGAATGTTTCAGATTTATTTTTCAAAAGTTTTATAAGGCAGTTTGATTGAATTTTTTGGAGGACCTAAAAGCAAAATACAATAAATGAAACTAAGTAATTTTAAGTGAGATGGGGTGAAAGACAGGGTAAGAGAAACACGAATAAGATCACATCTGCTAGTTACTGGAAAATGAACTAATTATACATCTGTCATAGAAGGTAATAGAGTTATCAGCTTTGTGCTCATATTTTCTGTAAATATGATAACTTAATGACTTTTCACATAGCCAAAATTAATTGGAGGCTTTACTGGCTCTAACACAAATTTAATATTAAATCCACCATTCATATATGTACAATGACTCTTGCTGAAAAATGAAAGACAGCAAATTCATAACCCATCAGTGCTGCCCATAGTTCCTACAGCTGGAGTGCATTGCATGGACACCCACCCTGTTATCTAGGCTTCTCCTGAGCTTCTCCCATTCTAGACAAGATGATACAGACCAAAAACATATGCATGCTATGAGGCACTAGATCTTTCACAACAAATGTGACACAAGATTTTTTTTTTAGGTCTGAACATGGACCGATTTGGAGTGTGTGACTGCTGTATGCCAGAGGCCATATGGCCCAACAGCTCACACCCACTGGGCAGATCTGGAAAAGTCAACTTGAACAAGGTCAGACTTCTAACACAGGCTACCAGCTTTCTTGGGCAGTTCACTCTCCAGAAGCACAACATGACTGCCTGGCATTCAGAGCACACATGAGCACATTCAGTGTAACACAGGAATAGATTTTACACAGCTGAAAGAATGAAAGCACAAAAGTTGTTTGATCTTACCATTTCACCCCTCATGCCCTTTTCACCTCTCGGTCCCTGTAAGAAAGAGCAGTTGTTAATCTGATACACTTTCTAGCTGCCTAGGACTGAAATAAGCAGATTAATATCCATGAGAATTATACTGCTCACATGAAAAGTCCAGTCTCATCTGTGGAAGTATTTACAGCTCTGGGGGTTGAATTTTCCTGTACTCTAGCAAATGAAATTAGTTGAAAATATCTTGTAATTCCTATATGTGCAAAGCTGCATTCTTCAGCTTGCAAGTATGTTTTCTCTCAGTAATTTTAACTGTGTTATCCGTTGATCAGCTGTGTTCTCCACCATTTCATCCACATTCAATATGTCAATGCTTCACCAGCTTTTGAGAACAAAACTCAATACTCTCCATCACTGAAGAAATCCATTCACCACATATATGTTTTTATTATTTTATTTTTTGTACTCTCGTAATCAGATTAGACACTATTTTTCTGTCCCTATTTTTGGCTGGTTTTGCTCTTAAATTGTGTTCCCAAGGATGGCAACAATCTTAAAATTCTTCTTTGGAAAAAGTTTGCATCTTGATGGCTGTGTTTCATAACATGTAGAAGTGATCTTCAACTAAAATGCTTTCTTGATGACAATGGCAAACTTTTGCATTCAATACGAAGTCTATTAAAAGCCTTCATACAAGTGCACCCAACTGTAAAGATTTTCTCCTCAGTGCAATTGAAAAGAATGGAGCAAGACAAAGTACTGATTTTTCCAACAAGTGGAAAGAATTATAGAAGGGCCATTCCCCTTCTTTCTATTTCACTTGGAAATGTTTGCATTTATTACTTTTATTGTATATTTACTGTTTTTATGATTATTTTGATTTCTAGACATTCTCATTTACTCCAAGTCTACTTGATCAGGCAGAGGAACCGTCATGGTACAAAGAACTTCTAAAACTGCCTTACATGGTTGGGTGGTCTGGAGACATGAGCCAGGGGGTTCTCAATAGGGATGAGGGAAAAACTCCCCCACTGCAGGGAACCTGGGGTGCACTGAAAATTTTCAGAGGCCACAATGATGTTTGAGTTATAACAGGAACCTTGTTGGCACCTGGAACAGCCTTACAAGGCCTCTGGGCACTCCCAATGTCTAGAGGGGCACTCTGGACAGTTCAGCCCACAAGAGATAAAAAATAAACTATATTGAAACTGAGTGTGGATACTCTCTAGATATATGTCAGACCAAAAGCTGAGAAAGAATATCCAGGTGGTAATTACTATGTGCTGCTTTAGACCTTGACTTGCCCACTGCTCCTGTACACATGCTGTGTGCTGTACTTAGGCAGAAGGCCATTGCAATTACTTTTTCTCACAGTTTTTTGTCATTTTTTTCTTGTTTGTACTACAGTTGTTAGAGTCACATAATTAACTTACAAGCATGGTATAACAAGGAAGGTTCTGTTAGTTGCTATTTGCAAACAGAAAAATAAGAAGGTTGCTAGTTGAAAAACAAGATGATCAAACAAAAGGGTAGTGAAATAAACGAATTATGAAAAAGTGAAGGGAAACTTACAGGCCTGCCAGCTGGGCCTGCTATGCCTTCTTGACCAACAGGGCCAATATATCCCTGTAAACAAGCAAAGAATTTATTAGTTCACTGTGTTTCAAAAATAAAGAAAATCCTCATGACATGTCCTCTTTAAAGTTGCTCAGCATGCCAACCTGTCAAGTATCCAAAAGATCATGGTGATACTCTCTAAGTATTGAGTGCACATTACAACAAAACCAGTAAGGTAAGTATTTTATTAATTTGTAATAGCTGTGCTTGGAAAGCCCCCACACATTCTTTAATGTGAAAACTGATGCACTAAAAACAGTGGAAACTTAAGTATACTGATTACAAAAGACCACATATTTATTGAGCTACAACTAAGTATATCTTGAGCTGTATCACTGCCAACAAGGACTCTTGTAAAGCTGCCAGTAAGTGCTGCTAAAATCCCACTTTCCAGATCCATTTCACTTAGAGCAAACTGCTCATGTCCAGTGTTTATCTGGTATAAGAATGTTTAGAAAAATGAAGCAGCTGTTAGAACAGTCACCTAAAACTGCTGCTCTGTGTCTGGTTAACTGAAAAAATTCAGTTCTGTGATGGCAAAGGCGGCAGAGAGAGAACACGTTGTAGTAAGGCCTCCCATGGTTCAACTTTTCACACTTGATGCCACACTGGATGCACAAAATGCTAAAGATGTTTCCATGTTTTTTGGTGAGTAGCAAAGCAGAATGTCAGGAAGAATGAGCTAACAAAGGTTAGGAACATTTTAGATAAAAAACAAATGCTCATTAAAAAAAGACTACCTATTAATCAATAATGCCAGAACACCACTGTGTCTTAGTGCAAGCAAAGTTGGATCCCTACTTTTTTTTTTTCCTGTAAAACATAGTTACACAATCAGCAGTTTTTCCAGTAAGAATATTCAACTCCAATAGACAAAGAAATACAAAGTCACAAGACTACACTAGGAGATCCACATTTAGTCAGCAGAGCTTGCTTTTTTCTTTCAAGATTAAGGGCCCAGCTCTGTTTGTGTGTCAGTAAGCATGATGTAACCAGAACAGTGTCGCAGTACAAGCAAAAGGTATCTAGACTCAGACAGAAAGGTTTGGTTAGAGGCTTTGGTTAGACCCTGTTAATAAGAAAAAAGATGATTCTCTAAGTTAAAAATGTGTGACACTTGCAAACCATCCTAACCATCTCTTTCCTGTAGTTAAACACTTACAGCTTGGCCTGTTGGACCTTTCGGGCCCAGAATTCCAACTAAGCCAATGTCCCCTGCAGGACCCTGAAAATGCAAAGGAACAATTTGATCAGACATGGACATTAGCTATCCACTTATTTCAAACTGCTGTAATCAGTGAAAGTAAGATAATTTCTAAAAGCAGTAACAGTGAAAATACCAGGCGCACTGACCCAGAATGTTTGTCCTTAGGCAGGGAGTACACAGTACTGCCCACCACGTTCCAACAGCTCAGAGATATTTTGAACAAATTAGTGTTAAAGCTGATTAATTCTATGCTTTCACAATGTTCTCTGTAAATAGCTTACAATCTAAGAGAAAAGAACAAGCACATACTTTTGGACCTGGGAATCCTTGAAACCCCATTAAACCTTGATCTCCATCTTCTCCCTGTAATAGGAACAGGCATTCTTACCATTAGCTCACGTTGTTAACTCTTGGAATATTTGTTTTGCATCAACCACTGTGATTACATACAATGAGTCCTTTCAGTCCAGTGTCTCCTGCTGGTCCTTGGTCACCTTGTGATCCTGGAAGGCCTCTTTTCCCTCGCTTTCCTGGATGACCTAGAAGCCCTTTCTCACCCTGTCAATAAGAAGAAAACATATCTTTAATTATAATTATGGATGTTACAGATGTAAATACAGGTCTTCTGTCAGAAGTGTGGAACATACTTTCTCCTTAAGAAGCAGACTTACTCCATTTGTTTTATTTCTCTCAGGAAAATAGTTAAACATACACTAAAATGCAAATGTGACTTGTCTGCTCCTTTAGTTGGAAACATGAAAGCCATACATGTTGGATCAATTCTAGTATGGTATCTCCCAGTGTAAGCAGCAAAATTCACAAAATAAATACAGAACAGACAGGTTAAAAGTAAATTTTAAAAATAATCTTCTGAGCAAGACAGAGTGTATTTGTCAAACTCCCTGCTGTTAGACTAAAAATCTACATTTATTAAAATGGAAACTAGACAAGGTCCTGCAAGAAAAATCTTCTGAGGACTATCAAATACACAGAAGACATGTCTAACTCAGGAGGCTACTGAGGTGCAATAAAGGCTTACAGGTTTCATGCTTTGTGCTTATGCTCTTTCCAGGTTTTACCTTTGTGTTATTTGGCTTGAGTCAGTATGTGCATTATTAATGCTTATTCTGTATTATATGCAGCAACAATTTCTCCTCATCTGTTCCTTGCCTTTCTCAGATTGCAGACACTTCTGACCGGGAACTATCTCCTACAGCTCATTGTTTAGGCAAAGAAGTAAAATTCATACTGGAGACACTGGCAATAAACACTGAAAAGAATTAATACAGACTATACTAAAATTTATTCATGAAATGATAACAAAGACAGTATTTCCAGTTTCCAAGTAATTTAAGGTTTCAAATAATGGCTTACCAATAAAAATCTCACAAAGAAAATGAGTTTAGATAAAAATCATTATTTTAGATAAAAAATTCTATTCTAAGTGAAGAAAATTATCTGTAATGTTTCCATTGTTTTGCCTGTTTTAAAACTGAAATGAATCTAATTAATATGATAATATGCTGATATTAGGTACTTGGAACTGCCTGGAAAATGGAGCATACTCAGACTGCTTTCTTTCTGAAAGGGCTGAACAAAAACAACTTAAGTCCTGTGATAAATGGGCATTCCAGATATTCTTATTAGCCCCTAAATCTGGGACTTAGGCTTGAAGTTACAGCAATGCTCTGCTACTAGATTGCTTAAATATTTAAATCATCCCAACTGTTCTAGTAGCTACAGGAGTTTAGAAATAAAAGTTAGGAAACATCTGACACTGAAGCTGGAGTGAATAAATACAAAGTGTTTTCATGGCTTCTGGGGTTGGGAATAGCATTCAGATGGATGAGATCTCTATTTTCAAATTACAGTTTATGGAAATGTGGTAAACAAAAAAAAATCATGTTACATCATGATTGATGTAACAGATGTTACATGATGATTAACAGTAGCTAATTAACGGACTGATGTTACATGATGATTAACAGTAGTATGGTGCTTCCACAGCCACTAAATGCAGCATGAAGAATAAGCATTATCGGCAAAACTGTACTTAAACTACCAGATTCCATGTATGTACCTACCTTTAATCCAGGCGCTCCCATGGGCCCTGGCATGCCTGGCAATCCCCTGGGACCTCGAGCTCCAGGATAACCTGCTAGACCTGGTAAGCCTGAGTTTCCTTTATTGCCCTTAACAAATTGAAAATAATGGTTTACAAGTAGGACAGCCAAACATGTTTTTTCATTGTATGCTAAAACAAGCAAATAACATAAAATCAGTCAAAACCACTTCATGTTTTCTGTATATATAGACACATAATAACAGTACATCAAAATACATGGAAAGACAATGATCAGCAGTGTCATGTGGATTTCTGTTAATATTCCAAAAGTAAAAGGCTGACAACTGTTTGAACTTCACAGTATTCATTTTTCAAGAAGAAGTAACTCCACATGAAACAGAATGAGACTACCTTCCCAAAGAAATATTCAAAATTCAACATATTTATTTATAAGGATCAGGCATACTGGTAATACTAATACGGCTGTGTACACTCTGTAGAGATTCACACACAATAACATTACCAGATGGAGAACGATCTGATTGTTCCATAACAATCACATTTGTTGTGAAAATGTATGAGAACATCAACTTATCAACAAAAGCAACTACTTTAATTGAAAAAGCACGTTAGTGAGTACATGGAGTTAAGCCACTTTTGACATGTTAAAAAATACGAAATGGAAATTTGCTACCATACAAATGAATATTTTTGTGATGTAATTTAATAGAAATATAAGTGTATCTAAATCTTCCTTATTTCCTGCTACATTCAGTTAAGCACTCATAGAAATAAAAGGGTTGTATAAAACATGATTTTTGTGTTAAATGTGATTTTCTGGGATTTTGAATATGGTGATGTGGCTTGTAGATTGATGGTCTGATAAACTTGCATTGCAAAACTTCTGCTCTTTTTATTCATTGTGGAAAAAATAATTTATAAGCCTCCTTTTATTACAAACTGTAATGGGTTAATGACACTGTCTTTACTATGATTGTATGACATTTTCAGTGGTAAGGCAAAAATGTAAAAATTCTTTGGGGTGGTTCTTCTAAATCCAACTCCAAAGAATTTTAAGAACTTGCAAGAGGTTCATGACCTGAGACTGGTGAGGCTTGAGTAGGGTGCACCTGCCCCCTATGGGTAACTTGTTTAATTTTCTCTTTGTTCAACCAGATTGCAAATTTATCCCTGAAAAAACAGTGCCTCATCCGGCATCTAATAATTAATTCCTAACACCAAATCTAACTTGGAAACCTTTTATAACAATTACTGGTCCATCTGAGTAGAACTACGGAGAAATTAATACTTGAAATCAAAGTGATCAGACTTTCAGTGATGAAAACTACTCACGGAATCTTCTCCCCCACTCTGGAGGGACTAATCAAAGAGCTGTGTCACTGCTCCCAGAGGCAGCAGGTCGCCACCTTTGGCCCACAGCAAAGAACAGTCAGACAAAAAACCCATTTCCACGAACGCTCTTAGATACCTCATACACCTAATACTCTATTTCACTGGGTTTGGACAAAGCTTCATAATTATTTATGTAGAAAGATATAGGTTACAAATACAAAGTCAGTAAAGAAAATGTGGCATTATCTCAGACCCTAAGAGGAAATAGTCTCAGGTTCATTTTCAGGAACAGAACTGTGTAGTCTCTCTAAGAAACAGCTTTCACTTAGCTGTAGTTACTACTGTCATATACCAATGAAACAATTCCTCTCACAGCACATTTCCCTTATGCTAACTTTATATCTTGGCTGGATTATCAGGAGCAAAAGAGAAAGAAAACAAAGCAAAAGGTCTAATTTTCAAGATCCTCAGGGAACTGAGAATGGTCTCTTCTTTTTAAATACCTTAACCCTGGAAAATCTGTAATGCAAATGACATAAAGTATGGAAAGCAACTTACCTTAGGGCCAGGTTTCCCTGACAGCCCAGTCTTGCCAGGGTTCCCAGGAATGCCTTCTGGTCCAGGGTACCCAACTGCCCCTTTCTGCCCTGGTGGCCCTGGTTTTCCCTTGAAAAAGTTCAAATCAAATATAGCACTGTTGGCTCTCTTCATCTTCACCCTCTCATAACTAGATTTCAGTCACAATATTTCTTAAACCCTACATAGCAACAGACCTCGTGGTATGAATGAAGAGTCGCAGAGGGGCTCTGAGTTAGGATGTTTGGTCTAGAATTCTACTGGTTTAACCTTAGACTTGCTCTGTCATGGGATCTGAGCAACTTCAGCTGAAATCACGGTATTGACCCCTTGGTTTGCCAGGCCTGGAAGATGCCTGAGAGTGTCAATTCTTAAACTGACTGATAAAGTCATCTATTTCTCCCAGAAAAAACCCAAACATATGCCTTTTCAGCCTTTATTTTACTAAGTGCACAGTACTTGACTTTCAGAAAGTTATGCTGTTCAAATTTGAACCTATCAAAAATGTAAATTTAAAAAATGACAAGTTTGTGGTATCTGTTGCTTCACTTGCAGAAAAAGGTCTCATGTCACATCCAACAGAGGAACATTGATTTTTTTCCTTAAAATTATTTCCCTTTAGACTGACATACATGTCTTAAAAAGCTTGGAGTTCTGCACTAATCTTTCTATAAATACCATTTCTCAGAAATGTAAAATGTTCTAACTACAACACATTTTGTCTGAAAAAATGTAGGTAACACCAGCCATACAGAATATAAGAGGCATGCAATCCTAATCTTATTTCTAACTTCTGATTGCTGAAGTATCTTCATTAGGGACGTGTTTTGAAACTTCCTCACGTTCTAGTTTTACTGTCTTCTCCTCACTTCTCTGTATGTCTTGATTTTGTTCTTTTCCTTTGCCTGCTGAATGATCCCTGCAGTCTTCCAAAAGAAAATCCTGAGTATTTACAAAGGACACACAGTTCCTTGTCTTCAAAAGGCTCCTCTTGCACTCTGCCCAGCAGGTACAAGCTCTGTGCAACAGCTGCATTTCTCCAGTTACTCACAATGTTTTGATGTGAGGTAGTAAAAGTTATTTACAATATGTGCTTATGTGGCATTATTTATTAGGGGACGAAAATAACCTTGATGCATTTTGTTCTTCCTTATGTTTACAGAACACCTACTGCTTCCTGCTCTGTTTTCTCCCTCAGGGAGAAGGGCATGCAAGTCAGCTCCTCTGCAGTAACTCAAGAAAAAACATTAACAATTTCAGCTCAGGGCAAGAAAGAGAATAAATAAAACTCAATGCATTTAGCACATGTATCCATCATGGACATACGGATCCAAGCTTCTGTAGGCTGCAGCGGATCAAAGAACTGATGGGGTCAGAAATGAACACAAGTACAGTTCTGGGCAATATAATGTAGTAACTTCCAAAGGGACTCCAAAAATTATCTAATTAAATAACTTCAAAAGTGGTAAGGACCTTTTTGTTAGTTGCATGTCACATCTGTATTCTGTATGCGGAATAACTGAATATAATTCAGTATAATTTAACAAAATTTCAAAAATTATTAATATTCAAAAATGACAGGGGTTCCTTTACACTTCCTGGGTAATAAAAAGTTCTTCAGAGCGAACACAAAAGCTTCTGGTAACCCTGGCATGATTCAACTTTGTTTTATTCATTAGTATTTTCTCTGTTTTATAATCTGGAGATAGGCTGTAGAATTTTGTTACTTACAGGAATTCCAGCTTTGCCTGCTTGACCTGTTGCTCCTTTCTTCCCTGTGGGTCCCTAGAAGTTACAAATATTTGTGAACTGACAAATGCCTTAAACTCAATCCCCTAAGAAGAGCTGAAGATTGTTCCCCTCTAGTATTCATGTTCACAGTGCCTGGCTTTGAACCAGATTATTCCCATTTCAGGAGACAGCAGAAAGTTTTTCAAGTAAAAGCAAATACATTTTTGGCAGAATCGTGTATGTTTTTCCCTTTTGCGAACCAGTTTTTAAAACTTTTCCAACAATAAGCATAAAATGCTTTTCATCATGAATCTGGTAATTTCTCCTGTATCAGCCTGTATCCTGTATCTCTGTGAGGAAGTACACTTCGACAGCATTTCCTGTACTCTTCAAAAGCAAAGTAATGAAAAGTAGGCAATGTAAATTCACTGAATGTCCACAGAAGACAATACTAGAAAACAATAGTATCACATACCATGGATGTGAACATTTGTTTTTATCTAATATCTACCCAAAAAATTAAATTTGCTTAAAACCAGACTTTTTTCATCTTGATTGATCTAGAAATTGGTAATCTTAGAAAACAGAGAGATACTGAGCAGATACCATTCTTGTAAGTGATTTAGTGAAACAGGAGGTCGTGCACCAAGGAAGAAAAGTTCACAATGAGTCAGTAGCTTCTCAGAGAACTTTGTTATAGGACACTATCCACAGAATATAAAGATCTAGCATTAATTTAATCCTACCTCTAAAAAATGCAGCCACTGAAGAACAGGGACAAGACTAACACTTGTTAGAACAGAACAAGTAGAAAAATTTTAAAAGATTTTCCAGACTAATTATTTCAAACATACTCCTAATGGAAAAGTTATGTATACAACCGTTTGTTATAAGCTATAACTACCATGCTGAAATAGGACAAAACATGCAATAAAGTGAAAAAAGCTTGGGTTATTATTAGTGTAAATGTTTTATCATTATGTAAATATGATAAAACCAGCAAAATATTGTTCTGTTGCTCAATTTAGTGCCTTTTTTGTTAAGAATGGCATAAAAAAGTCCACTAATCAGAACTGGAATGTACATATTCAAATAACTAAATATATTTTTCATTAAGATATTTACTAATCAAGATCATTAAGCAGTTTTCCATTTTATATTTTTTTTTGTCCCTGCAGGTATGAAAAGGAAATCAAGCCACCCAGTTTTAGCCTTATGCTACAGTTTTCCAAGGATAGCCAGTGAACAACAAAATCCTACAAATTCCAATTAAGTGCAGTTTTGTTTTACTTTTTTCTACTTACTTCTGAACCCCTTTCTCCTTTTGGTCCTTGCTCTCCCAGTTCACCTGACTCTCCCTTTGAAAAGAACATACATTAAATAAATGAAAATAATCATTTTAATGCAAATGAAAACATATTTTCAACAATCAATAGAGAAATCTCACTTGTTTGAAACACTTACTGGAGGCCCTTGTTGTCCAATAGGTCCTCTAAGCCCTGGAAGACCGATATGACCCTGGGAAGGAGAAAATATAACATATTGCAATACAGGTAACTCAGTGAGCTACAGTCTTTCTTGTAAAGCCCATGCTGGGAGGTGCCAGGTGGACCCAGATTCACTGACATGACCTAGATGAAGTATGGTCAGACCTCCAAGATCAAACTCTACAGAACTTTTATTTTTTACATTCTCTACTTCAACCTGTAAGTGGTAATTACATATTGTTTAAACATTTATGCACTTTAGTAAGCATAGATTTGGTTAAATCATTTATTACTATATCTGTCTGTATTACTGTGTAACTTGGATATTCTGTGTCAAGGACTGTCCCTCAGTGAACTGCATCAGTGATAAGCATGAGTTACCATCCAATTTTTATGTGCTGAAAGACTGAATATAATTAATGAATAATTTTTAGGGTTATATTTAAAATAAATAATGCTTAAATTTCAGAGAAAATTGTTAACTAATACAGTATTACAAAAACACAGAACTGTTTAGGTTAAAAGTGACGTTTTGAGATCATTTATGGAATGTTCTTTCTCAAGCAAGGCCAGCTAAAAATGATTGTCTAGAACCATGTCTAGTCAAGTTTTCAGTATTTCCACAGATGGAGACTCCACAACCTCTCTTGGGCAGCCTGTTCTGGTGCTCAGTCATCCTCACAGTACAAAAAGCCATTTCAAAAGGAATTTCTTATATTTCAGTTTTTGCCCTTTGCTTCCTGTCCTGCCACTGGACAGTATTGAGACAAGCCTGTCTACGTCATCTTAATTTCCTCCCATCAGGTATTTATACACACTAAAGTCACTGGAGTCTTTTCCAGAGGAGGAGTTGCAGCTCCCACATCCCCATAGGAAAGATGCTGCAATGTGTCCCAAGATGCATCAGTGCCATGAGGAACCAGTACGTGCATCGCTGCACACATGTGAGGGAAGATGACACTTCTGCTGCATTACTCGACATGTCTGCATGGCATGCTATGTTCAAATAAAAACCCAAAAATTATTATTATTACCTTGTAGCCCTCATCCCCAGGTTCTCCTCTATCTCCACATTCACCATTTCGACCCTAGAGAGCAAACCAAAGAGTAAAATGTAACAGTTGAAATGAATATAATGCTGCAGTGAAATATGAACAGAAAGCTAGGATTTCTCTCAAAACAGACTAACCACTGGGAGGGAACTGAGGAATACAAACATAAAGGTTAGCTTGGCTAAAGGAATAAACATGCTTTTTTTCTAAACAGAGTGCATTGCAGTCAGACAGTAGCCACAGTCTAAAATTTTTGGTAACTGAAGACTAGAAGCTAAAAGATAAATACTGCATGGGGCTTAATGAAACAGGAGGGAGGACTGACCTCAGTGGAGCTTCTCCAGATTTATACTTATATAAATATATATATATGGATTTAAAATCTGAATTGATAAATGAAGTGACTCTGGTTTCAAGACATGCAAGAAAAGCTCTCTTATGGCTTCTGTAAGACAGCCCATTAAAAATTGGATTCTTTTCTGAAATTACTTGCTGTACTCAAAATATGCTTTAATTTTGAAGTTTGTCCTAATAATTTTGACAGGTTCATAAATGCTGCAGAGATACATTCCACATATGAATTCAGTACAAAAATGGTTACAAAATGCAGTTCTCTAAATCAGCTGAATTAGTTTGCAGTGATAATGAAATAAGTAAAAACATATTTTAGATTAGCAAAGCAATTAAGTATAACTTAATAAACACAGAGTAAGCACAGAGGGTAAAATTATTTTCTAAAATCTGCTGATCTAAACACAGACTAACGGCATTAGTGTAACTAAATAGAGGGCACAGATGGTTAAGCAGGAAAGAGCACACAACAGCATTTCTAGAGAAAGGTTACTCATTAAAGGACCATCATTCTATATCTTTGTACTGATTCCTGAGACAATGATATAAAGCTTCAGAAATGAATGCATTGGATCTTGTCTTGAGATGCACTAGTATAATGTTTTTGAGAAAGAAAGACCTACTGGTTCACCTATGGGCCCAGGTAGTCCAGGGACTGTATTGTCTTCGCCTGGGTAACCCTATACCAAAGATAAGTATTAAAAAATGTTAACTTGGAAGGCCAGCCTCATCTACCATGCACATAAGTTCAAATGCTAATAAAAAGCAGAGAAGACATTATATAGATGCTAAAAGTGAGTATCATGCTTATGGTTTAATATAATGGATATATTAATTCCATTTTAACATTTACCTAAATACCCCAAAGACATTAAGGACTAAAAAAAGCTAAATATTTGCTTTATTCTCAATGGCAGCTGTAAGAAAAAAAAGATTAATTGAACACTATCCATGTAATTGTGTCTTTCTTTAATGAAAAACAGGATAAACAGGATATTTGACAAGGGGAAAGAGAGAAAATTTCTTCCATAATTTTGAGAAATACACTTAATATAAAGGAAAATGAGAGTACAGAAGTCTCCAAAATTACGTCTGAAGTCTATTAAAATTTAAATATGAAATAACTGCCATCCAAGTCAATAAACAAAAGATTATCTATTCCAGATGATACCTAGCAATAGTAATGCAAAGAGAATCACATTTTAAATATGATTAAGGACTTCTACTGTGCACCAAAGTGTTTTCAGAAGTGACCAAGCAACCTAGACACTTAGCTCTCAACAAATTAGTTTTCAGTTATTGTTTCTTAAATCATATCAAAACCTATTTATAACATCAACCTCTAAATGCCTATTCACAGTATTTATTGCAAAACGCGCTCTAGGTTGTAGCTCTGTCAAGGGCAACTCCAGTTTTAGTTAAGTGAATCCAGGTACCTGCCTTCTTGGGGTCACACGGGTTCCAGTGAGCATACAAATCTGCTTTCAGGATTTGAGACTTGAGAGAACAACAGTAAATTTGACACTAAAATAGCAGTACTGAGGCCACATCCTGTCCCTAACATTTTATATTAACCACAGACATTTGTCCATCCTAGTTGGACTTTAAGGCAAATCTGTGGGTGTACTCACAGGCTCAGAGTCAAGTAAATATTTAGCTGGTTCTGCACTGATTATTTTTGTCAGCAGTGCTCGCTAAGGGCAGTGGTGCTGTCTGATACAATAGACTGTGTTCTGTACAATGGGTACCTTGTGTTTTAAAACCTCAAACATTTTAACAGTATGATTTGGGACTCCATCTCCGAATGACCCATTTCCTCACTTTACATTTCTTTTCATAGTCTTTGACAATGCTAACAAATACTGAAAATGGTGGCTTTTGCTGCTTGCTGTGGAAAACAGTGGGTGTTCAGTAACATTTCCTCCCTTTATAATTTCACAAAACAGATCAGTAAAACCCATGTTCATACCTTTTCTCCTTTGGGGCCTGGGGGCCCTGAGGGCCCTGGAGGACCCTGGTGACCCTAAAGAAGCAAATGCAAATTATTTAAAAACAAATAATTAAAGAAATAATTAATTCCAACATTTCATTTAGTTACTTACTACATTTCTTTTTCTGCTTCCAAATTATTCTAAATCATGTTATGACAACAAAATCAATGACAGAAAATGGACTGTGTGCAGGAAAAGCTCTATGCACACTGGGGAACTACATGTTCTGATAGGGCTTAACGCAGGTGATGGGACCTTGAAGTTCTGGCTTGAAGGTTAGGGTCAGTGATGGGGGTTTGTGTTTGGAACAGAGACTGAACAGTGCTCTGTATGAGGATGACTCAATCCATCTACGAGGATTTTCACAGCTGTTTTTCAGTGAAAGCCACAATATTTCTATGTCCTTCAACTAACCTCACTCAATCAGTTTCTGTTACTGAAATGGAACTACATGACCAGACACTAAGCAGAGGTGGTGGTGTTTGCTGAACTCTCTTTATAATGAATAGCTGTAGTAGTTTTATTCGGAAGGGGTGAGATACATTGCATAAACAACTATTTAAAGTTTGTGGTAAAACCCTGCTGCGAGCAAACTCACAAAAATCAGGCATCCTTGCTTAAGGCTAACATTTCTGAGCAGGCAAACATGTCATATAAACATACGTGAGTATCTGGCTTTCCCGAAAATATTTGTGTAGTCTAGATACAGATCCCTAAGATATTTGAAATTAGAGTACCACAGACTTACTTTAGGATGTATGTATACCTGAACTGAGTAAAAAACGTACCCCATAACCTGGAATTCCTGGCTCTCCTTCAGGTCCCATTCCTCCTAGGTGTCCCTGTTAAATGAAGTAATCAGTGAGAGAGAAAGGAGCACTTTGCAAAGTGCTGTAACAATGCCTACTTTATAAAGTAAGCGCTTGGAAAAATCTTGAAATATTGACATTTGACACCACAGACAACTTTCTTGTAGGTCCTACTTCATTTATAAAAGAATACTGAGCTTTTCATTCTCCTGTGGAAAAAATGGTCCATGTTTTCAGTCCTAACCTTATAATCTTTGTGCATAATTAAATCAAAAAGATCTGAGCTTTAAGAGGTGTGGAAAAACTCTCCTTATAAGTTCTAGTATGCTAAGAGCAGCAGGGGGTGGTCATCACCTCAGAAAGTTGACTCCTACTCTTGAAAATATTGGCCATTAGATACTAAACTTTGCTTCTGCACTTCATGTGCGCAGAAACACACTGCTGCATTCAGTGGCTACAGGACTGGACTGAGGCACGTTGCCTCTCACATGTGGAGGCTGGATGCTTCTGTACATTTGTCACACAGTATGGAGCAAGCTTGGGGAGCTTACTATGAAAGAAGCAAGAAGTTAATGGAATAGACTTAATTTAGTTAACTTTGGATTAGATTCCTGTTCCATAGGAGTAGTCTTCATCTGAAGTGCTTTGTTTCAGCCATGGCTAAGGCTTATTGTATGTGATAGCAAGCCCCTTGATGTTTGTTCTCGGAACTGGAAAGGTTTATAAACACCCATAGCAGTGAGGTTATATGTGGAGTGTGGGACATGAGTATTCCATGGTGTGCTCTGCCATCCCACTGCCCTAACTTCAGAGGACCAAAAGCTTGGGATGGCTGCTTCCAGATCCATGCCCCAGGTTTCTTTCCAGAAAAGTGAACGGGTCTTGTTCTGATGCTGAATGACCTCTGAGTTCTTAAGTAAGCATGCTTTGTACTAACCACAGGACCTCGAGTTCCTCTTGCACCTTTGGGACCAGTTTTTCCAGGTTGGCCAGCATCACCAGCAGGTCCAGGTTCTCCTGGAGGGCCAAGCTGCCCCTTTTCCCCCTGTTGGAGTTATTGTATTAAAAATCATAAGAGTTTGACACTAAGTTTTGAAATGCAGTTTATGCTTAATCAAGATATGTAAGAGCATTATCTAATAGGTATGGCATTCACTATATGTTATTTACTGTAGTTATTAGAATGTCTGAGCCCAGAACTCTGCAGTATAAAAAAATCTCTGCTAAAGCTTTCCCGTTATGTTTTTATTTTCTTTTAGCCAAAGCTTAAAGCAGGAATTGTTCTGAGTTGCAAAAGCACATCCTAATATAAATTTAAATTTCCTAAGACCTTGAATGTTAGTGACTGCAGAATGATGACAATTCTAATTGCTATGGCTAACAAGAAAAAAATTGGCTGGAAGCGTGACACGAAACAGGAATAGTTTTGGTTCAGTGGAATTTTGTAACATAAATCTGAGTTTCAGATTAAAGGAAGGAACTGGGAAAGATGAAAAATACTACCTTCTTTCCTAAACGGCCCCTCTGACCTGGATTTCCTGGTGTTCCTTCAGGACCCTGTAGATTTATTAGGGAGAGAAAGAGAAACGTTTGAGAAAGGCCTGGAAACATGTTTAACCCATGCTCCAAACTGCATAGCTAAGTAGGCTTTTGTAAAGCAGAGAGGTGGGAGGAAAAATATCATTAACTGTGTGTAAGCAAATTAGTAGGGCTGTCTCAAGTTATAGCATAAATTAGTGGTCAAGTATCAGGGATTATTTATCAAAGTAGTGGAAATGTACTGCAGATAGGGGAGGAAAAAGCCCAATAAATCTTGTCCACACAGAAAATATTACTTCACAGATTTGTGAAGCTTATTTGTTGCTTTGTAATCTACTGTTTAAGGAAAATGTAATATTACTCTCACCTCCAATGAAACACTCAGACAATGGGCTATAGGAGGAGGATTTCCATGTTTAGGCTAGGATATTATGATCTGTCTGCATCCCTAGAAGGAGGTCAAACCAAAACTGTGATGTGTACACTCCCAGATGCCAGGGAGGATGACTGGAGAAGGCACCAGCTCTACAGCTGCCTTTAGAACACGTAGAACAAAAACGTGAAAAATCCCTCTCTAACCACATCCTCCCAAAAATCGAATTGCCAGACCTGCCTGTCTCACTGAGGCACAGAAGCATTGCTGGGGTTGTTTATTGTACACAAGTATAATTACATAAAGTGTAGATGTGCCAGGGTTGAGCAGAGTTACAATAATTTCAGTGTATGAAACTTTCAGTGTTCCCCAAAACTACCAATTCACAATAGAGAGTCCAGGGAACAAAACTTGTTCTGCAGTGTACTAAGGGTGCCAACAACGAAAAAACCACTTTTTTCTTTTCCCTAGGAAAGTAGTTCACTGTGAAGAACCCAGGACTAAACCCAGAACATAACACTGATGCTTAGAGAACAGAGTGGACAGTGCTCACAGCCGTGAACAGCTGGTGCTCCAAATGTTCCGTTTTGTCAGACCCCACCATCACCTAAGAGCTACACAGAAGGCAGCCAGAGGACTGCAAATGAGAACATGATGATTTTTGGTAAGGGAAGCTGGTTTAAAGCTACAATACTTACTTTGGAAACTGTGCTCCACAATTAGTTCTCATGAAGAAGTTGCAAACAATTTCATGGATGGATTTTAGTTGCTAGGAGTGATGCCAGAACAAATAGGCAAACTGATCTAACAATGTTGCCTGTGAATTCTAATGCTTGTCTACCATTTAATCTGTGTATGCTTGCTGCCATATTGTTTGGAGATATCTGAAGTGAGAGGCTCCAGGTTGTGTGGAACGTGTGTCTGGACAGTGGGTGGTGAGGAATCACTACTTGCAAAGAGGTCACATATTTAAGACAAGAAAAGCATTTTTCTCCTCTCTCTACCAATCCTGAAATACATTGGAAGCTTATTTTAAATATTGTCATCTCTTATTACATAGAAAACCAGAAAAGTCAAAATTAAAGGAAGAAAGAAAAATTAACTTTTTTTATAAAAGCAAACGAACAGGCAGTCCATTTCAACCATAAAACACTTACAGGAATTCCCATTATGCCAGGTTCACCAGGGGGCCCAGCAATTCCTGGTAGTCCCATCTCTCCTTTTTCACCACCTTCTCCAACAAGTCCCTGGTCTCCAGGGTCTCCCTAAAACACAGTAAAAAAAAAAAACCAAAAAAACCTTTAGTCAACCTCCTGCTACAGAATTACTTGTTCATAAGAAAAGCAAATTCTGGATATCTGAGTTTGAAAAAAGCACACTAAAACTGATGTGAATCTTACCAGTCCAATTCAGATCAAGCTCTAAATTAGGGTAAAGCCCATTCTATCTCATTCATACACTCCTACAGCCATATTTTGCCTCATCCATCACCAAGTTTCTGAGGTTGTTTTCTATGACATCCCCTGTCCTGGCACCTGCCACAGTCCCTGGCACAGCACTGTTCTAATTCAGGGAGCAGGGCAGCCTTGGGCTTGCTTTCTCCAGCACTTCAATCACCACAGACAAAAGCTGTACTCAGGTAAAACTTGCTTTTCTTCACCAAGCCATTCAGCTTTGCAGCCCTTGCAAGGTAGATATGCACCTAAAAGGTACAGAAAAGCCTGTACTTTACAGGACCTCCTATGTTAAAGCTAGGTGCACTCAACTGGACTAGGATAAAAAAGGAGATTTGGGTCCTTAGGCTTGTAAGAGTACTTTATATCTGCTACAAAAACTTAATGTACCTTTGGGCCATCTTTTCCTTGAACACCGTCTTCTCCTGGGGGCCCTGGTTCACCCTTATAGAAAGAAGCAGTTGAAAACAAAGTTATTGCCACTATTTCTTGACTTATACTAGTTTTATATGTTTATTATCTTTTGGACAACTTTTATGTTGCTGTTACAACTTATTTATCTTCAGCCTATGATTATCCAATGCAAGAAAACATAAAAGATGATCAGCATTAGAAAAATGAGGCAATACTATGTCCATATAACCCTGGACATTTAGAGAGTGGTACTGAGATTTTGTTTGGTTTCAGAGTATATAACACGTAATTACAGTAAACTCAAAAATATACCTATTCTGTCCTGAATCTTCCATGTTCATGTGGGTAACTACTATATATTGGTATGTTTACAGACTTACTGTAGAGACAGTTACCATCAGAAATATTTCAACATTATAATCAAAGAACCAAGGTTGAAAGAAAGCTTCAAGACCATCTAGTCCAACCATCAGCCCAACACCACCATAATCATATTCCCAAGTGCCACACCCAGATGCCTCTCAAACACTTCAAGAGACAATGACTCCACTACCCCCTACAGCAACTTATTCCGATGTCTAATCACTCCTTCAGTGAAAATTTTACTTCTAATGTCCAACCTGAACCTCTCCTGGTACAATTTAAGGCCATTCATTCTATCATTTGTTAGCTGGCAGAAGAGATTGACCCCCACCACACTACAGCCTCCCTTCAGGTAGCTGTGGAGCACGAGACTCCTTTTCTTCATGTTAAACAATCCCTGCTCTTTTGACTGCTTCTCATAAAATCTGTGCTTCAGCAGCTCTGTTTCCCTTCTCTGGACATGCTCCAGCACCTCAGTGTCCTCTTTTGAAATGAGACCCAGAACTGGACACAAAGCTCAAGGTGCAGCTTCACCCTGAAGTGAAGAGTAGAGGGAAAAATTCACTGCCCTGGTCCCCCTGGCCACACTATTTCTGACACAGGCCAGGATGCAACTGGCCTTTTTGGCCACCTGGGCACAGCTGGCTCAAGTTCAGATGCTGCTGACCAGCACCCCCAAGTCCCTTTCTGCTGAGCAGCTCTCAAGCCACCCTTTCCCAAACAATACTTTCTTAAATTTGCTACAGTATTACTGGGTTTTTTTCCTTTAAAAAAAGAAGCTATCAGAAAATATCTAATTGAATTCTTCTGATAAATCAAGATTTCTCAACCTGCACTTCACCTGTAGCATACTTCTCCCTTGTGGAAGAAGAGTTGCATCCATAGCTTACCCTTAAACCTTGGTCACCTGGTTCTCCAGCCTTCCCAGCTGGTCCAATGTCTCCCTGGGATATCACAAACAAAATAATTTGATTTTAAAGGACAATATGCAGCACAATGACAGGGTTTACAGCTGATGGAGTCATAATGACAATAACACTATTTCTTAATGGTCCATTTCCTGTATCGCTGTCTACTTGGCTGATGAATCAGATCTCTCTGATTTGCTCTTTTGAAAATTTAAAGAGTGTAAGGAAAAATAATGTAAACATTTACCTTTGTGCCTGGTTCCCCCTGCAGACCAGGTTCTCCTTCAGGGCCAGGAGGTCCCTGCATGGTACAAAAGCTATTGTTACATGATCACTAGTAATAATTTTGCCACAACTAAATAATACACCCAAAACTGAAGCAGAAGAATGTCATGAGACACTGAGAAAGATGAAGGTCAGAAAGATCAAATCAAGACAATGTAGTTCTATGTTCTATGTTCTTTCTAGAGACAAACAGAATAGAAAGGAGGGTATAGATGGATTTCAGGAAATACGCTGTGGGTCAGGAACATATTGAAGACTCAGCAGCACCACTAAGCCTGCACCTTTTGCTGCTGAGCAAGCATCTCTCTTCTGTAAATCTGACTGACAACTCATCTCTGTTTAGGCTTGGAGCCAAATAGATACAGCCTTTGGAGAAGCCCTTTTTGGAGGCTTCAGCTCTTAAGGAGTTAATGGTATCAGACTGCTTTTTGTAAAGTTTACATAGAAAACTTTTCTTAATAGTCAGTCAGAAGTCTGCATTTTGGGGGACTGAGGAATAACCCTACTGTTCTAAGTGAGCTCATCCCTCAGGTACTTCATTACAAACATGGCTCATACATTCTGTCACATTTCTCTCAATGAAATATTAAAAACAAAGTAGGAAACAGAAGCAGAAGTTAGCAAGAAGGCTGTCTACAGCTGCTTTCCTTTATCTACAGTTGAAAGAACATATGATTAATAGTGTTTTACTGCCGAACTCCAAGGAGAGCAGTGCTTCCAAAAAAAATAGTTGTTTGCTCAATTAAACATTCACTTTCTATGACAAATGTCATGACTGTATGCTCAAAGACAGTGCTTACAACATAACAAACTAGACATTTTAGACATTGTTTGGTAACAGCTTTAAGTAAGAGTCTCTCAGTAGCTCATGATATTTAAGTCAGCTGCAGGCAATAAATTTTTTTTTATAAACATATTGTCCAGGCTTAGTCAGTTGTTTGAGTATTTGTAATTGCTATAAAAGTGATTAAAATCTCACCTCAAAACCCGTTTCTCCAATAGGGCCAGCATCCCCTGGCTGTCCTCTTGGACCCTGGCATTAAACAAAATTTTGGATGTATCATTCAGTTAACATTAAATTACATTGTAGAGTGTTCAGTTTGTCTCTTCACAACTCTTCCAATTGGAATAAAGAAACGTATTTCATTGTCTTTCTTCCTGAATCCAACAGTGTATCCAAGTCCCACGATAGCATACAGTACCAACCTTGACACACTGAAATAACAGATCTCAAATAATAGCACAGATGTCTTTTCTTTTAGACCAAAAAAATTATTATCTGAACTAAGCTCTCCTCTTGACTAGCTGAGACTTTGTTTAATTAAGGTTTGTTAGACTGTCTGGTTTGCTTTGTGGAAAAGCCTACAGTCTGGTATGGAATTAACTGAAAACAACTACTTCACCGTGGATTTAGCAACATTTGTACAGAACAGTCACTGAGGCGTAGTAGACTAAAGGCTGGAGCCTTAGCAATATTAAGAACTATACCATAAGCATTTTATTATAAGCCTTATGTGTAAGTAGTACATCTATTGCAGTAACACCCAAGGATCATTTCCCAAAGTGGCATGTTCAAATACTCTGGACATGGAAGATCTGGGCTCAGAGAGCAGGAGTTGTGTGCTGGGGAGCAGAAGATGCCTGTAACAGCTTACAGCTGATTCTATAGCCACGGTGAATGCATGTCAAGACAAATCAACCCTCTGCATATAACCAATCTGAACTTCAAGAAAGTTCGTATCTATTTACCCCTTTGGGACTCATCTATGTCTAAACACATTCTAAATTCAAAACATTTCCTTGATCTATAATTCTCATGTAAAAGAAAGATGCTGCTTCTACTCATGACGGAAGCCTTTTAGACAAATATTTACTCCATTTTGTTTCACTTCCTCTTACAAACTATGCATATGGTTTTGCTCCTCCTGATGACCTGGCCATGACAATGTGAATATTCTCCTCCTTTGTAGCAACAATGTAAATTGCATATACTGACAGAATTCCAGTAGATGCATATATTTGACCTTTTATCTTCATTTAAATGTGAGCAACTAAAAGTGCAGTTACTTCCCTTTGAAAATCCACTTTATCCTAAACTAAATTAATTGATTTTCCTTTGCAGAAGCTCAATGAAATTCCACTAGGAAAGTGTCACAAAGCTTCAGTTTGCTTCACAAGTCAAGTATTTCTTCATATTACCATGGAGATAAGACTGCTGGATTGGTAATGTAACTTTTCCTGAGACTTTCAGAAGCCAAAAATTTATAGCAGTATTGGGACTCCTTTTAACCATCAACATAAGGTAACTTGCAAAGGATTTTACTGAAATGTCTGACAAGTAGATAAAGTTTGATTGTAATTTAAATTAATCCCATTAATACAAATAGTTCTAATTGCTTATATTTCTTTGCTCCTCCACCAACAATTAGGGTTTTTCTGCTCTGTGTAGAGCTAGTAACAGGGCCAGAAAACCTCAGAAGCTGGCTTTCACATAGTGACCAGCTGACAGAGGATGAAATCAAGCTGCTTGGATAGGCAGCTAAAAAAAGAGCCACATGTTTAATTGTGCAACATCTTCTGTCATTTTATCACTTCTTTCTAACTCCACAGACAATTTTCTGAAGACATTTTACTCTTTCAGCACTTGATAGAAAAGATATCCTGTTCACAGGTTAAGTTTCTCTTCTGACAGTGAATATGTAGTTTCTATGATGATGAGCACAACAGAAATGTAGGCTGCTCAAGCACTTAGATTTGTGCCTACCACTTAGATTGGTTAAGGCAGAGAGGCATGGTAGTGATACGAAAATTCAGAGCTGGCCAGAAAACAGGAGGAATTTGACATATAAACCTTTCATTGTAAGGCTCTCAGATGTTGCAACATGAAGATAAGATATAATAAATGAAAGAGGTTAAGTAACAGGAATCCAGTGATAACTGTTGGAAAAACACATTTTCTGAGAAATAGTTTGCCATTCCTACAGGTTGGCAGCTTAAGTATGCAATTCTATCCCAAAGAAAATTTGTTGGTGTTTTTCTAGTCCTCAAAATGTGCAATTACTTTCTGTAAGCATGTCAGTCAATGGATTAGTAGAAATAATATCATAAAAATACTAAATACTAATAATACTAAAAATAATTTTTATCAACATTTCACTTTTGAGATTTAAATAAACTATGCACAATTTACTGTGCAAAATTACTTTCCAGAAGCAATGTAAACACACAAGTTTGGACAACTCCATTAGATTTCTGCATCAGAAAATGGGAGCCTTCTCCCAGATCCCACTAACACTGCATGCATTCTTTCACTTTATTTATTTAACCTGATTTACCCCCAGAGATGGTGCTGCAATACAATTCCTGTCACAGCTATATCTTGCAGTATATTGCATAGATTTGCTGCAGATGTGTGATCTTCTGTAACAATTTTAGCCACATGAATGTCAGCATGGCTTTGACATACTAACAAGCATCCATCCAGCAGAGGAATGTCTGAGGTTTATTATAGCAGTCTCTTCTTGAAAATCTAACCTGCCAAATAGATGTGGTCCCTGTGTTCCTTAACAAAGATCCTAATATTGGCTTTAAAAAACACCACTAAAGTATTGGCACATACATTTACATAATACGTAACACTGATACCTGCCTCAGTGTGGTGTAAAGCCCCATTTTATTGTGGTCTATGTTCTGCTCTCTTATGTTGTGCATCCCTTACTACAGAGCTTCCCAACAAGAAGGGGCCTCCTCATGAGCAAGTTACACTAAGCAAGGGGGACAGACTCCAGCTCTGCAGTTTTGGAACAATCACCCCGCAATTCCTACCTAACCACAGCTGGCAATACTGAATCTTAGTAAAATGGAGCTTGAGTTGTCAGGGAGCTTCTATAATACATGGAAAAACTCTGAAGCAGACATAAGGATCAACTTACTGGCTCTCCCATTGGTCCCCTGTCTCCTGTGGTTCCTGGAGGCCCAAGCAAACCCTGGAAGATTAAAATAAAATAAAAAATCATTGGAAAGAAGCTCCTTCATATTCTGAGAATGCCACCTCTTCTCTTGTTTTTGCTCAGACAGTAACTAACACAGAAACACTCAAGAAATATGTGCAGCCTTTTTTTCTGGTTGACATGCACTGACATATCATCAGCTTCTGCAGCAGGTGAGGGAGTCCTGAATAAGTCCTCCCTTAGTTTGTATTACATATGAATGAATCTTAGCTGAACCACCATTTACCAGTTCCATGTAATTCTCCTTAGAACCATGTGCTGCTTGTACATCCAAACTGCCCTCCAAGTTGTGTTTTAGATAATCAGCAAAGTTCACAGCACACTTTTCTCTCTGTTCAACCTTTCTCATAGCATTTCTGTCTCACACTGTCTTCTAGAAGCTGTAGCTGTAGGAGTAATAGATCAGTATCCTGTACTTTGCAATAAATGAGCTACTACACATCATTTCAGCCTGATGAGGTTTTGCTTCATTCATTTCTGTGTATATATATACATCTAAAAATTCTAGTGAATGAAGAGGAAATGAAAACCTTTTGTGTCAAAGGTAAGAGGCAACAAGCTCCTAAATCTGAACAGAAAAGGCAAGAGAAGTGTGGTGACAACCAACATTTTGAGTTTCAACTGCAGAAGAAAACCACCACCATTACGCTTTTTGTTTTTCTGCTTCCCTCTTTGTTGAAAAACCAGTACAAGTCGGACTGACTGATAACCTGCTTTGTAAAAAATGCCTCAAGTACAACACATTAGATTTCCATTCAAAGAAACACTAAAAGAAGGAATTTTCTCCAATACATGATATACATGTAAGCCATTTCTACATTTATCCCTACACTGATAACACATACCTACCCCAAAATCTATCAAAAAATTATTGTTCTATGTCACAACGACTTTCATCCTTAAGATTGCACTTCTGTTCCTGGTTCTTTGTATGAATAAATGCAAACTATCAGAGTTTTCCAGCTGCTCTGAAGTAGATAAACTTTCTCATACCCACGTGTCAAAGTATGAGATTTTCTGGATTATTTTTTGGTAGAAGTACTAGTGCATTTCATACTCACAAGTGCACCCTGATCTCCTCTCTCTCCTGGATTTCCAGCTTTACCCTGGTTAAAGAGAAATATCAAAAGACAATGCTGGCTTCAAATAATTTCCAAACACAGCTCAGAAATCAGTTACTGTGTTAAAGCTTACTACAAAGACTGGCTCCAATACTTACAATGAGCCCAGGAACTCCTTTCTTTCCTGGATCACCTCTTTCTCCCTGATAAATAACAAACAGTGTGTAAAGTCTACATACATTTGCTTGATCAGCTGCATACAGTTACTATGCTGGGTAACTACAGAACATGCAGATTCAGGCTTAGATGTGCTCATACTGTAAAAAAATAAGTACCTGGAAAAGGCAGAAATTTGCAAATCTCTTGGATTAAATTGAATTCTCTGTGGCTTCTGCCATGATGGACTGGGTTTTAAAATTATTTTCTTTTGTCTGTTATGGTCTACCTCAATGTTTTATATAGTACTGAGCAATGCAAAACTCACCTTAATACCTTCTGTTCCCAGTTCTCCTGGAGGACCATCGAGACCTCTTGGCCCCTGAATATTAAAGAAGTGATTTGAAATACTAATTATGCATTATTTTTGGTTGTCATTAAGGAGATGTTACATAAGCTTTAGAAGAGGGGAAGCATTTTGTTAGCATGAAAACAAATTTTCATTGTGTGTCAAGTGTGAAATAAAGCTTCAAAGAAAAAAATAAGTTTCTGGTTTGTTAAATTTCGAATTTAAGAAGAAAGATTTTTTTGAAACGTATGTAAACAAAACATTCAGTGTCTCTGTTGGAGCCAGATGGCAGGCTGATATTTTCTGCTCTTTTTTTCATCCACCTTGTACTCATAGAACAGCAAGTACTTACAGGGATTTAGATGATCACTGTATATACAGAGTGCTTGCTTTTTAGCACATTGTAAGATGTATATGCAAGAATTAATCTTGCTAGTAAGAATCTAAAAAAAGCAGATGAAGTTCTCCCACTGGTAAACCAGTTTGAGGCAAGATTAGAAGCAATTTATAATTGTGAACTATTGTGCTCTATTGTTAGGCTAAAATGCTTTTGTAAATTGATTTTTATAAGCAATTGATGAACAAAGACAACCTGTAACATTACTAATTATTTGTTTTATAATTGTTACATTACTAATATACATTACTGTAGCATAATTCAGCAAATACCTATTGCCAAAACATTCAGAGTTTTATTATTGAAGATTAGAAATCTAAATCCATTAGCTTACAAGCAAATGAAAAATTCTTAAATAGGTCATGAGCAAAACGGAAAATAATATTTTATCCATGCTGACTTAGGAGGTTATTTCCATAGTTCTAAAAACCATGACTGTTTAGGTATGGAACATTAAATTAAAACCAGTTAATAACAACTTATAACTAATGACCACTTGAAAGGAAGAGCTAGATAAGTATCAAGACAGGCTCTTTACAGATGTACACATTGGGAGGATGAGACATAACAGCTTTCCTGGTGGCATTTGGGCTGGCTGGCATCAGAGGGAGTTAGTACAATACTGTGGCAGTGCCCAGAGGAAACAATCTCCATTTCTATGGTGAATTTCTGTGTTGTAGAGACCCTTACCACCTTGGTAATGGTTTATAGTGAAGGACATTCAATCACAACTGATTTTCAGTCGTAAGACTGTTCTAAATGATGATAATAGGGGCTTGTAAAATGACTTTGTTGGAAGCACATCTGAGTTAATTAAATTCACTATCCCTGCAAAAATATCTGTGACTTCCATATCTCTCTTGAATATTTTGAGAAAAAACATACCAGAATTTGCTCTCTGTGACTTGGACTTATTGATCCACAGTAAAAATCTCTTGGAACATGTGGTGAGCACCCATCCACTTTTCTCTGGATGAAAAGTGAAAATGGCTGACTGGTAACTCAGGAACAGTGTGTATCCAGAATCATTTAGACTTTTCTCCTGAAATGAAAACCTCTCAGGAACAGGTCTTTCCTGTGAGCTGATCTATAACTACAACCCCTGGCAAAGCCAGGAGTATCCCATGAGAACTCATCTGTCATCATTTCAGCACTGCTACTTCTGGCCGGCACAAAGGAACACAGAAACCATAGGAAAAGGAGAAAGGGAAGGCAGGGAGAGCTGTATAAAATACTCTGTAGTTTGGGACACAGCTTTTTTGAGGCAATCCTTGGGCTAGTCTGGGCACCTTTTTTGTTTTGGTGTAAAAGCCAGGACTGAGCAATTACAGGCATATTTTTGGGCTAGAGAGGAAAAGAGGCTTCAGAAGATGACACTGAGCTGCCATGTGGCACTCAATGTGAAAGGTCCCAAACCAAACAATAATGAAGTCTATGGAAAAAAAAATCCATGACTTCAAGGCGCCCAGAGATTAGAAACAAAACACTAGAGGTGTTTTCAGAGGTGAAGGAGGCTTTTATAAAAACATTTATATTGGGACTCGTGTTAAGATTATGTAATTGGGTAACTCAGTTGTTGAATTACTATAGAGCATAATTCAAAAGAAAGCTAAACATCTTGATCAAATTAATTTCAGGTTCACTTTTTTCTGTAACTGCTATCTGTAACACACACAAAATTGGTTGTGATGAAAATTCAAGCAGATTTAGCAGGTTTATTGTTCCCTGATCTGAAATGTCTCAAGGAACAGGAGGAGAAGGGACAAGAAGAAATTGAGATGGAGTGAGGACAGCTCATTCAGCTGTGGGGATAGAAAGGACATAAGCTTAAGGAAGACCCATGGAGGAACCACCTATGGCAACATAAGGAATGGGGAAATTGAGAGTGTTTTAACTCAAAGTTAAGCAATTGCAGGATAGTTCTAGATTTTCTCAGACTTTTTAGGTATGTGATATGTCATTTCTAGTTCTGCATTCTCCACAGGACTGACCAGAGGACAGAATCTCAAGACAGAATATTCAAGGAAGAAAAAGGACATGTGTTCATTTTACAGATTTATGTAGTAAGGAAATGCCCTTCTAGGTTTTATCTTCTACCATTAAGAATTACCAGATAAATTCTTTCAACACTTCTGACATAACTTTAATCATAAAGAGTATCATAGCTTGCAGTTTGAGAAACAGGCCTGTCAGGAGACAGCACAAGATTCTCAGTCCATGTCATGCACATAACACACCAAAACCTCTCTGGCACTCACACAGATCTCCATTTCAATGGAGTTCACCTTGGCAGCCCATGACAACTGATCTGATCACTAACAGTTAAGCGAAAAAGTCTGCGGTTTAAAACACCTATCTTCTACTATATAACTGTGAATTGAAAACAAAGTAACAGAAAGCAACATGATCCTCTGGGCCATGCCTTCCTTTAGCCAGCCACAGAACAAAGGGCAGGAATCCAAGGGAAAGGCAATTTAATATCCTGACAAAAGGACACAATAACATTCCAATAAATAGTATGGTGTGACTCCTTATTGGCACAGATGAATTGGATTGTACAATTTCTTACTATAGCTAGTACAGAATGAGAGATATACTTGATTTGCCTGCTGTTATTTAAATTAGGTTGCAACAGAGCTGGGGAGTGAGACTGCCAAACAATTGCTACTATTTTTTGCTTTGGCATGGGTTCAACTCTGCTTCTGAAATGGAACATTTTACACTAAAAGCTCTAGTATGATAATCCAAGGAAAGTTCATCTAGGAAGGTAAAAAGCACAAATCAATGTTTTTTGTTCTTTCTCATCCTGTCTCCCAAATACCAGAAAAGTGAAAATAACACAAACACAATATATAGCTACTTCTCTTTCTTGGTGGCTGACATGGGAGAATATTAGAAAACATCAATTTAGTCTCACTTCCTTCAAACAATTAAGAGAGACAAACACATTCAGCTATCAATGTACCACCAAGCACACTTGGATGCTTGTTTCACAAGTGCACACTATTTGCTAAGTTCCATATTCCCTGCTGTAAGAAGTACAAAAGATATCGCTCATTAAAACAAAGCATAGATGTCCTCAGGCACCTGAGGTTCTTCATGCCAGTACAGATGTCACTAAACCAGGGACAACCCTACTACCTTCTAGAGACAAGAGCTGCTGTTGCCTGACCCCAAATTTACAGATGTTCACTATGCCATTTATCTGCATTTTCAAGTCTAAATTTCATGATCTGCATTCCAGGAAAGTAAGAGCAGAAAAATTTTATCTTTTGAGCTTTAAAACACCAAATGCCAATCTGAAGAATATTAAATGCTAAGAACTTTAGCACCTGTTGGGAATTTTGCTTAGGTAACACTTACGAAATGAATCTAATGATACAGAAACTCTTCCTCTCAAACTAGAAGCTACAGTTTTATTAGTCCAAGATTATGGTATGAACTGAAAGCAGCACCAGTCTCTGACACTGTGGTTTACTTCATGCATTAGCAAACAAAGACTACAAAAGATCATGCAATGACTCCATGGCTGCTTACACTGCCAGGCTTCCAGACTAATGCATTTCTTCCTTCTGGTCATGGAAAGAAATACTTTCTCCCACAAATTGATACTCTCACCCTCAGTGTCATTCTGTCATTGAAGTATCTACAAAATGGGGCTCTCCCTCTGTGTTTTCATGAGGTTAACACTAAAAAATAAAGTGTAATAAACCTTCCATACAATTCTAGCCAAGTGCATCAAGTCTCAAGCATGAGCTGAGGAAGCTCTGTGCTAGTGCTGTGTTCAGTGGCATATTTCTTGAAACCCCCCCAAGAGTGAGATACTCCATAGACTTCTAGCCAGCCTGCCTTCAGCTGGCCAGAACTCCTGGGTGTACTGGACAGTGAACAGCTGGACACTCTCAGACAGAAGTTAACTGCTGGGTAATCTTGGATGCAAAACCATTGCTGAAAGGTCCAGAATTTATGAAGTGAAGGAATTCTATTCCGTGACAGTGCACCAGTAGAGGGTCAGTGCTTCTAAGACTTCCCACAGATTCCAGCTGTAAAGACAGGATATGTTCTTGTTTCCATACACAATGAAGGGAAATTTCCATATGCTTCCATTTAACTTCTCTATCTGACTGTGGTATGCATTTTCTGAGGCCCTCCACAGAGAGCTCAGGGTTCTGGCACTTCTCTTTCTGAATCCAGTGATGACAAACCCCAGGTTTCAGGGCACCTCAGATATTTTCCTTATGTGAGATTCCACTTTTGGTCTGATATTTTGATCTTGAGAGCAGATAAAATTCTCAGTGACTTCAGTGGGAGTTTGTTCTCAGAGCCTGAGGACCTGGATCTGTTCTGAGACCCTCTTTCATGAGACATTCCCTGTCATGCTGGGTAGAGGCAAAGGCATAAACCACAATTCCAAAATGAGACTTTCGCAGAGCTTGGGATAATTGGGCTTTATTTTGAGTGATCTTTAATTATAAACACTGTACTCCATGATGTGCTGCCAAAATCATAGAGACATATTTATCAGGAATAAATGGAGCTGTGAAGACACACTGGTCCAGCCACTGGTATGAGCTGTGCAAGTTTCTTAGGAATCCTGGATATACTGTCAAACTGGTAGGTGAGGTGAGAGACACTTCATTGATGTGGACTTTGGATTAGTGTTTTGTATACAGTGAGAAAATGGTTTCCATTTCCCTGATAAAAATGAAATGGGAATGACAATCTAACAAGGGAAGGTTCAAGATTCTAGGACACAGTATCTGCTGATTACACTTCTTTCCTCAAAACTGGGTTTGAGAGATTCTGTTCCATTTCCAAAGAATTAAATGCAGTTAAAGAAAATAGTCCTTAAAACATTGAAATAGCCCAGTTGTAGTTATAAATGACGACTTTTGCATGTTTAGGTGTACAGAAAACAGTCAGATGGTGATCTAGGTTCTAGCTTTGCTCTCAGTTGAAACCAATGGCAAAGCCCATTGCACTCTGAGGATAAATAAAGATTCATATTGTTTCCTACATGGAAATACAAGTATAATCAATCTGATTTCAATACAAACAAGTTGAGACCAGATGACAAAGGGAGCAGCTGTAAATGGGTTATACTTCAGATTTATATTTGCAACACACTACTCTCTGCTCTAAGTAACATGAAGGAGCAATAGTACTTACTCTTCTTCCCTTAGGTCCCTGTGGCCCTGATGGTCCTCGTGCTCCTGAAGGTCCCTACACATCAAACAAACTTATTATTCATTGTCTTCTAAACACAGATTCTTGAAAATTACAAGGCTTATGCACCTTGAGCAACAGTCAATGCAAGAAATGCAAATCAATCACTTTCACTCATGGTACTAATTAATTAATCATGTTTGTACAATTTATGTAGAAAAATCTAATTAATAGACTCTATGTAACATTATTTTTACAAAACACTGATGTGATTGTTGGATGGATTACTTGTGTCTATTATCCCAAAATTTTTAAAAGAGACCTGCATTTCAGCAACATTATGTTAAAAAGTGAGAATATTTTCTGATAAAAGGCTCAGTTTTTATCTGTATCGAAGACCCATGCTAGACAAATTATAAAAATTATAAACAGCAGATTAGAATATAATTTATTTTTATTAACAATGAAACTAAACACATAATTAATATATTTAAACTATATTAGGCACCAATAAATTTTAAAAATATTATGCAGCTATTAAGCATCTTTCCAAAATTCTATTTCCCTACTTGTGTCAATGGAGTGATTTTTAAATGGATGAGTAAATCATATAATTACTTTTCCTGTTTCTCATAGATCATCCTAGCAATGAGCAAGTGAATACATTCTGTCTGGATGGGTACGTTTTTGTGACAGTTTTACAGACTGCAGTACAAACTAGAAACTATTCTTAGCTTCAGCAAAGGTAAAAGACAATTTGAAAATAGCTCATTCTATGTCAAACCAAAGCACCCCCCTATACCTACAGGTAATCCTTCTGGCCCCACAGGTCCAGGGCCTCCTGGAGGTCCTGGATAGCCCTAGAATTAAAATAAACATAGAAAAGACAGTATAGTTTTATCTAAATTGTTATTATAGTAACCATAATAAATCCAGTTACTTACCTGAATAACTGGAGGTTAAGTTAATAAAATATTTAATTTTGCAAAATTTGTTCCCAAAATTTTGTTTAAAAACTAAATGCTTAATTGGATATCTTTTAACCATTAAAACAGCCTAGGAAGCTTTCCTACACACAGACACTAGCTGGCAGAGATGTACTGAAACAAAAGATGTTGAGATCTAAATGAATTTCAAATTCCTCTTGAGAAGGCTGTGACAGTGGGAACAGAAAGTGGGCACATCCTGGTGTGGGCAGATCTGGCCAAGACCAAACGCCAAGAACAACTCTTGTCTGGGGACTGCAATGACTTACTATTGGGAAAGGTTCTTTCTGCCATGACTTAAGTGGATTTATCTATGGCAATAAGCATTAATAACAGTCCAAGAAAAGTAGTTGATAAGACAGGATACTATATTAATAAATCCTTGTTTATTAACCTCCCTAATAAGAATTTTTTCATGGATTAAAAGCAGCCAGTTGAAGGTAAATCTAGATTAAAGGGATTTAATGAAGGACAGAAAGCTTTAAAAGTCATTGGCTCTGCATCGATCACTTAGGTGGTTTGCAGTCTCAGGGTACTTGATCTCTTCCTTGCTAATGGATGCCCAAAGAGTAATTACTTGAAATACATAATATCCTTGTCCATGGCAAGAACACACTGCACCACGCTCAGGCCCACATCTGCAGTTTCTGTGTAATGCCATGGAGATTTCAGCCCTGCCAACCACACCAGTGTCAGAGGGAGCAGGATGCAGCACCTACCACGTTACATAAACTGCCCATCCTCTCCTTGCAGTTAAACCTTTAAGTGCTCTCTGTACACTCTGGAGCTTCCACAGTGCTAGCTGGCAAGCACACAAGCAAGCCTTAAGCATGTTTCCTAGAGAACATGAACAAGAACATGGCCATGGGCACATGTGTACAGCCTTTCATTTCTGTACCCCATGGCATGGCCTCTGGGCTGCGTGAAGTGCTGTGTCCTGCTTTAGGACAAGTGGTGCTCTCAGGAAGCCAGTCCTCCCATGAGAGCGACAACCAGGAGCTGTTTGGGAAGTGCTGGGAAGTAGAATTAGAGGTGATGCTAGTTACTAGTCTCTCTACTAAAATAACCTGGGTTACCCCAGTTTACAAGGAAATGGTTATTTTACTTTCCCTCCTTTTAATTTATTAATTAAATATCCTTTATTAAGGCTGCTTAGAGCATTTTTTCAAAAATGCAGTTGCCCTGCTGTTTCATTCAGCAGACCACTTTGCAATATCACTGTTACAGAGGGGCTAAAGCTATACAATAAAACTTTGTAGGAACTATGCATCATAAATGCTACTCTCCCATAAGGTCTGCACAGCCAGAAGGGTGAGAACTTATTACTGTTTTGGAGACTGAAGTGCATTTGTAAGTAACATAATTGTGGATTTTATATTACTTGTAACTTACCATGAAACCTTTTTCTCCAGGAGAACCTACAGGTCCTGGACTGCCTCGCTCTCCCTTTAACAACAACAAAAAAGAAGAAAACCAAAAGAACACTGAATATTCTTCACCTTTTTCTATGTCCACTGAGCATACATTGCAGTGCATCACACTACTGGTTGAGAGACTGCCCTTCAGAAACAGTGCAGAGACATTTTTAAACTTCTTTTTTTTAATTCCTACATTCCTTCCTCCTACAAACCTATCCATCTTTTGAAAAAAATGATAAAACTGAGTTTTTTTTGTCTTCTGTTTTCCTAGAAGACTGAACAAGAGGTTTGACTACATCAGTGTCTGAGAACTTCTAGAAGATATGTTTTCTCTGAGTTGGGTGCATCATATTTATAGTATGTTCCTTAATCCATAAAATTCAGGACAGCAAACAAAGAAAAAAGAAATTTTTTTGCTCTCTTCCTCTTTTCTTCAGTATGTGTTAGGAAAGCAGAAATCTAAAAGGAAGGCCACCCCTTCAGCAGCTGCTGAAGCAACTTGGGTAGGGGAAGCAGGAAGGGTCTCTTTCTGGTCTTCCATATCTTTTCACTTGTCATTCATGTCACATCAGCCCAAACATCAGATTTAGCTGTAGATTATCCTCAGAAGATTACACTTTTATTACAAATAATGCACATGACACAGTAATAACACTATATTTTGCATACTGTAATTATGGTGGAAATACATTTGTTATTTAAATCCACATAGCATGTTTACCTTGCACTACTTAGTCCATAAGAGAGCAAGAAAATAAATTCTATAGAAACAGCATAGCAGTGACAATTACTGCACTGTGAAGAAGCTTCCTTCCCTTTGCTGATGACAAATTAATTAGTCTTTTACTGCCTTTCCCCTACTAGATAAACTAGCAGCAGTACCACAAGGTAAGCTTTCTTGGGCCAAGTGTAATTACAAAGAACAAGAATCCATTGACATGAAATTCTCAGATGATATTATGACTAAAGCCATATGAGATTTGTCTAAATCTAAAGCAGGGCTTTCCACTGATGTATTTCCTTCCACAGATTATATAAATTATAATCAGATTTTAATAGAATTCCTAATAGTACATTAAGAGTTTCTCAATAAAATATCTAAATAGCAGACACCAGTTTAGGTGAAATAATTCAGCCCTGCAGGAAAGAAATACAAATGATGCTGCATCATTCTGACAATTACGATTTTATCATAATTGAAGCTGACATGCAGTCCAGTAATACTTTCCTGTTATTCAGTTTAAAATACTTCACCTAAATAAAACCATGTCAAATACACTTAAGCTATTTATACTGTTCTAGTCACGTTGAGTCTGCCAAACTTTGCTTTCACCAACACAACTGTTACTGCACAGCAGACAAAACTCCATCTTGTATTTTTTATGCAGTTAATATATACAGCCGAATTTTAGCTTTCTACTTTTGTCTTCATTATGTAGTAGTGAAAAACCAGTGAGTACTGTATAAAACAAATATAATTAATGCCAGTTTCTCTGAAACAGTAGCAGTATAGTAAAGGGATATAAAAGTAAGGTATCAAATCTATCAATTCTAAATTAACTATGAGGTAAAATCAAGAATACAGATACACACCTCAAATAAGAACATTTGGATTACCAGTTATTATACCCCTGTGCTCTGAAACAGCTACAGGAATTTTAGCTCTGACAGTGGTCAGTAAATGATCTCTCACCAGTACTTTATCACCCCAATGGTTTTCAAAGCTGCTGAGTAGTCAGATACACGATTATACCTTTTCACCAAGGCTTCCAGATGGCCCAGCTTCTCCAAGTAAGCCAGCTGATCCCTGTTTAAAAAGAAAGCAGGCTTTTACTTGCATGATGTCTATACTAGTTCATGGTCAGCAGCTCTCCAGCAACAGAGCAGGGCCCATTTCTTCATCACAGAGAGCCCCATGTCTGTCTAAGTGCACCTGGGGAAAGTGAGGGCTGCACGAGTTAGCTTGGCTCACAGTCCAGGCAGAAGGAGCCCTGCATCTCGGCACACCTACTGCAAATAGCTACTGCCAAAAGGCAAATTGCATTAACTTCTTCACAATACTATCCTACCAACTTAGATCTGCCACTGAGCTCAATCTTCCACTGCTAAAAGCTTTACAAACATACAAATAAAGGGGATAATTGCTCTGCTAGTGCTTCAGTCTGACCACAAATTTCAAAGGGAGTGAATTCAGTGGAACAAAGTAAAATGCATTCAAAACAAAAATTATATTGTATCAGGTGTTGTCCGAATTTGCCCCTCAAGAGTAGTAGCCCCAAATGCCTTTGAAGTCAGAGCATTAGAGCCCTTCAGGCATTCAAAAATGAATCTCCTGAGGCTCTCTCACAAATTTCCACTGAATAGAACAAGTATGACTATATGGGATGGGAAACATGAGAGGAAAATTACTTTTAGAAATCTTATTCCCAGTGCTTACAATACCTACTTTATTATAAAACCTAAAAGAAAAAGAAATTATGGTGCAAGGTTCCAGTTGTGAAAAATATGACACATTTAGCTTGAAGGAAAAGCAGGAAGTGCCCAGTGTACATTGCATGACTGCTCTTGGAACATGGCAGAAATGTGGAAGCTCCCAGTAGTAATATAATACACAACTCTACAATGTCTGTCACACTTTAAAAAAGAAAAAAAAAAAAGAAAGCTATGTCAATTCACACGTTGGCATTGCCATCTTTATGTGTGTAGGAAGGAATAGCATTAGCATTAGTAGCACAACATTGTCATTCAAGTGATATTTAAAAAAAAAGAAAGCACTACTTTAAAATAATAAAAATGCAGCCTTTATTTGTATAACTTGAATACAGTTCAGCCTCAAGTACTTTAACAGAACAGGTGCAAAACAAGTAGAGATTTTATGATTACTTGCTCTCTTGGACTGCTAGCTACACTGGGAATCCCACAGTTTAAACATATTGCAATGAGCCAATGATACAGTTACCTTTGAGGCTGACAATACTGGCACAAATTTCTTTATGGAAGGAACTAAAGAGATAAAGCAGGCATCTCTATGGCTGCTGGGCTGATATATTATGTGTGGGAACTGGTGTATTATATGTCAGAACTGAGATGTCTCTTGCCTTGGCAACAGCCAAAGATGGGTCCTGGTGATACTGGCACTGAGGCAATGGCCCAGACGTCACTGGCAGCAATGAGGGACTTTTGTGATGAATTCTGAGAGTGAGAGCTCCCAGTCAGAGCCAACAGCAGGCCTCAGTAGCAGGCAGAAATCTTTATGAGACAAAGAATTACCCTGTACTCTTGCTTATCAAGGTAAGAGGTGTGGGGTACAGTTTCAAAATGCTAAATACTAATCACTTTGATTCCCTTATTCCAGAAAGAACAGGAGACATAATTAGAGCCAAGGTGAAACTCAGACCTATTCTCTTTCCACAGAGACACTCCTGATCTTTCCTCCAATGCCATGCTGTTTACAGGACTGAAGATGCTGATCAGAAAGATGGGGAACTGTGCCTTGCCCCAGCAGTGAACCATTTAATATACAGCCTCTGATCAAGTTCTCCTTTCAATTCAGAAGTACTGCCTTCCTGACTTGGATGCTCTGGGCTGAAAGAGCAGAAATGACTAGGAAGCAGTGACTGTGAACATGCTACTGTATTCCCTAGCACATGGCACCTTCCAAAGTGAGGACAGAAGCTGGCTATTAAATAGAAAGTTTCCTATACATTGGCTATTCCTTGAAAGTAGTTAAGAAAATTTACAGCAAAAACACTAAGAAGGTTGATACAAAAGATGTAAAAGAAACTTGGCATACCTAGAATTGGATATCTATGGAAAGCAAAGCAATAGTCAAGATGACTAGAAGTGAAGCCAGTGAAATCCTAAAAGCAACAGGGACGTCAGAAAGTATGTAGGGGAAAGAAATTCATGACAGGTTAACTAAATGCTCTTCCACCCCTCTATTCAAAACAGAGGTCAAGTATCTGAGACTGAGAAAATGCTAGGACTGGTATGCACAGAGGCAAGAGAGCCAAAAATCTTAGGAATATAATTTTGAATTTTCAAACAATTAGTAGCATTCAGTGAAAAGAAAGTACAGAGAGCAAAATATCTTGTTCTGTTAACAGTGAGTTACCATAAAGTGATGTTTTCCTTAAATCATTCCCTACAGACTTTCTGTAAAATCACGTGGCTCTTAAAATCCCAGATTTGGACTGGTTTGTTATAAAGAGCTACTAGGACTGGATTGAAGCTTCAATTCGCTCTCCATCTTATGTAAGAAAATGAATACAGTCCAAAGCAGATCTGCTGAAGCAATGTCTTCCAGCATCCCTTCAATCCTCTGGAATTCCAAATATAAAACTGAATGTATTAGAAAACAAAAAAGTGAAGCAAAAATCCTGAAGTGATTAAAAAAAAGAAATCAGCAACTTATTAAAAAAACAGTCATCAACTTTCATTTACAAGGATTTGTGTAAAAGTCTCCAGTGACAATAACAGCATAATAACAGCATTTTAGAAACCTTCTTGTCAGGAGCATTTTGTGGAAAATGAATCAGAGACCAGATCTCACAACTAACACATGCCTGAGAAAGACAAAAACTTCTTGCCAGGGCATATACTCCGTGTTAGAAACTGGACTGTAGTTGAGTAATTGAAAACACATTGAACACTTAATGCAAACCCAAGTATAGAGTAATTCATTGAAAAACCTGGTAGTGAGAAATGAATGTACAGCTGGTTCCAAACATTCCCATGGCAGCAGATACCTGCCAGGCTGTACTTTCATGTGTTCTTCCATGATAATTGAAAATTTTCCAATCCAGTACTATTTCATTTGAAGTTCAGCATTCTCAAATATTTTTATTCAACATTCATTTAATGAGATACCATAATAAATATAACATAACTATCTTGTCACAATAACACTTTTTTATTAATTTTCTGTCTCTTGGGAAAGCTACTTGGTAATCCACCAGAGGTGATAATCTGAGTGAAAATCTGTGATTTGCTACAGCCAATGGAGGAAGTGAATAAGAGCAGAGATGCACCATATTTGTACCTTGTAGCTGATATTTCACTCAGTTTTTTAAAGAACTCAAAAATTCAACTACCTGAATATTTGAAAGGCAAAATGTACTGACACCAATCACCTAATCTACATCAGTTTCAAGACAAAAATAAATGGATTAAATTTTGCTTCTAGTGTGAAGTAGGGTAATTCTGTTTGATATCACTTGTAGAGGAATGCATTTAAGGGAAGCTGCCTGACAAAGTAGGGGTAGGATGTGCTCACTGACAAAACCTTGGAAGCTAAACTGCAGATATCATGTGCAGGTACTATTCCTCTAACTGAAACCAAATGATAAGAAGAACCACTAGCAAAAAATCCTTCGAGAAAAATGAGCAACAGCTTGATAAAGCTAACCTCTAGGTACTGTAACCTCTTCCTCCCCTCTCCTCAGCAGGAGCTATAATATATCAGGTCATCTAGGGTAAAACCAAGAAGCACAACATAAGATGCAGAAGTATCTTTATTGCCATTCACTGTTTAGTCCTTCATAGAATTTACAATAATCTCTATCCAACTGCTTTCTGACAGCAGCTGAAGCAGTTCCTTCTTTGGAAGCCTTTGGCAATGTCCCATGCATTCACCAAAGTTTAAAAAAAAAAAAGGCTTTCCTCAATTGGCTTATCTTCTGACCTATGGTTTAAAATTCTCTTTTCTACATCCTTGAAGCCCAGACTTTTCAGGATAATTCAAACTCCTTCTGTTGAGCATCCTGAACACATTAGTCAAAGTTAACTTAATCTTTTCTTCAAGCAAAAGTAATTGCAGTTTCCATTCTCCCTGAATTACGCATCCCTGATTTCTAATCCAGCTAATTTTTACCTCTCTGAAAGATGTGGTAATTGCTTTATGTTAATTCTTCCCAAAAGCAACTCAGCTATAAGGCACATGGCCTGACTGCAGTATTTTATTGCCATTCACAGACTCCTGCAGACTGACCATTTGCAGTCTGCTCTGGAGCTGCCATCAACAGCCTGAACATCACTGGTTTTCCTTTGCTGCATTGTAAGGGTTTTTTTTCATAGCAAAGCACTTTTTATTTCAGCTTGGTTTCCTTCTGTTGTTTCAAAAACTATGTGCAACCAGAGAAATTTGCTGACATGTAATTTCTGAAGATTATTTTTCCAGGATTTGTGCTCATGAACTCTGCCTTTTGACACCAGTTGCACATACTACAGCTGACAGTTCTACCCTTGTACTCTGTCTCAATGTGTGTATAAATGCCAAGGATTTCTAATCCAGAAGTCTACAGGCCGAATTTCTTTAACAGAGGTAGCAAGGAAAAATAAGAATTAACTTGCACTTAGTCATTTGGAGTGGCACAGCCTGGGTAAACACTAGCATTATCAAACACTAAAAGAATCCCGGAAAACAACTGTTTTAAGTTCAGATGAGTTCTGAATAATTCAATAAATAATTTTCTTAAATCATCCCTGACATTTCAACAAACAGATCATTTGTATGAGATGCTTAAAGTTAGTTTCAAATATTTGCACTCCATCACTGAACAGCATCTTATCTAAGCATAAAAAAATCCAGTTGCATATGTCAGCAAAACCAGATTTTCCTCCTCCAAAATGTGGGGGGAATTTTCTCAGTAGCTGAAGGGGTTGTTTCTTTTGGCATGGCTTCCAAAAGATTTTGTCTCATCAGCAGTGTACATTTGCTCTGTCTGCTGTTCCCTTGCTTCTCACTATCTTAACCAATCCCTCTTCAATTGGACTTGATGGTCCTGCAGTTAACCAAATATCCTGCAGCAAGGAGCAGCTGCTGGATTCTGCCACGGCTCAGGGCTCTGCTGAACCAAGCAGCCTCCCTTATCTGCCTCCCTTCCCCTTTAAACAAACACAACACATGCTGTAGCCAGAAAAACAGCTTTTGTTGTAAGGCTTGGTTAAGGAATAGTATCTGAAGTCTGATTTTAACCACATTCCTGATGTGTGTCATTTAAGCTTACGAGCACAGCAAACATTTTATAAATTTACTCTGTTTCCACAGTGGACAAACATCCAGAAATATTTTGGCAGAAATGTGCTCTGAAGAATCAGCAGCTTCATGTGATCTAAGAAATATTGTGGCTTCTAGCCTATTGACAGATCTGTATTTCAGCACATATTACACCTTACTAGGCTGATAAAACAAGTGTTACAGTCCATTCTCTTGCTCTTGAAATTTCCCTGCTTGTGCAGAGTTTCCATCTGTACTTTTCTAAGCAGGTATTAAATAGGAGCCGAGAAAGCTGCTACAGAAAAGGAATAACTATTTTCAGCAGTGGCAGATGTTTTAGTGAATGACAGGAGATGAATGATATGAAGGAAAGCAAGCAGATTGAAATAAACAGAAAAAAAAATATTGGTAGAACCTTTGGTATCAATAGCAGACAGGCACATGTGGTCATGGCATAATTTGCTGTGAAATCAGCATTTACAGGATTTATTATTGCAAAATTGACTCCTAGCTTATTCAGGAAATGCGCTATTTCTCATTTGGAAAACTGGAATGCTGTGATGGATTCTCCATTGCTAAAAAACAGTATAATATATTTTAACCATGGACTTAAAAATATGTGTTATAACCTGTAATTTGAAGAAGTCTGTCCATAGAGATAATGAATAGAAATGAAACAGAAAACCATAGACAAGCCAAAAAGGAAAGCTGGTAAGGTTGTGGTGCAGAAGGGAGAAGCCAAATACACAGTACTTTTTAGACATTGGGCTTATTTTCAACTTCTTAGCAACTTACTTTTCCCTTTGCCTTTACTATCAAATAAACTGTACAGTAGTTGCACTTTTTTTACTGCTATTTGTACAATTCATCTTTGTATTTAGCGTCACCAAGCACCTGGTAGCACACAAACTCCACAAGGCATCAGTAAGGACAAATGCCTTACTCCATACCTTTTTTTGACTCCATCTCAAAATCTGTCCCAGCGGTTGGTAGCACTTGTACTTTGCTTTTGCACTTTGTTTTTCAAACTTTCTTCTGTTTTTCAAACTTTTTGTTTGTTTGTTTTGTGTGTGGCATATTTGATTCCAGAGATGTTCTCACGCCACCAGAGCCAATACTGAATAGCAGGGAGGGGATTTATCTGTGAATTAAGAAGTCCATACTCTATGTGCACGCCAAGGGAAAGAGAAATTACTTATTACAAACAGAAGCTGTTGAGAAGCTGGAAGCAAAATCTGTGTCCAAAGCATACAGAAGTGAATATTTTGCATCAGGACTCATGTCTGGAAAAGCATTTTCTGCATATGAGAAAAAACATCTTCTTCCTGTTAGTACTTTTCAATTATTTTTGGAAAAGTTTGACAGTTGCAGATTGCAGTGGTGAATAAGGTGAAGGAAAGGGGTTTTGAAAGGTCTAAGAGTGAGTGTGCTTGTGTCTCCTCTTGGTGTTTCACCCCTGGCCTCTACAACAACAAAATATGTATTATCCCCCTAAAGATCATGTAGTGGGCACTGGTCCTCTGCTGCCAGATAATGCAAAGGCAACAACAGATCAAGGGCCTATGAAGCTCATTTGATTAGATACATGTACATAAATTAGAAGACATTCTACAATCCACAGCTAAAAATAAGAAATATTTATCAGTAACTTAGAAACTATTTCAGTTTTCAGGTATCATGTGCCATCCTGTATCACATGTAAATTCTCCAAATATCACAAGTGGGAAACGGTAATTAATGATGGGCTATAATTACCTTTCTTTATAACACTGTAACAGGGCTGCAACATCCCCTTCTTTGGCATAGAAAATACTACTTAATTCTTGCAGCTTGACCCTGACTACAATTAGGTAACTGTTCATACAAAATATATGCGTTGTGAAAATTTGTCCACTGAATTCAAGTTCACTGAGGAGCAAAAAAAAATCTATGTCAAATCCAGAGAGTTAAGTTTAAGCAGCTAGCTTCTGTAACTGTTTCATGCTCTATTATTGATGTAATGACTTAAGACTGAGCCTATCTTTTTCTTTTGTTGAAGTTTTTGGCGTATGTGGCACTGTACAACATAGTAAATGCCATTAGTTTTCCCTAACACGTTACAGGCTGAAAACCAGAATTCACATGTAATAAAAGCTACACTTAAAGATGTGCTGGATGACTTTCAAGGGGATCTTATGGCATGTCATGGCCCTATCGGTTCCTGTGTATGTAGATACTTTCATCTGACTGGGAGTCCAACTTCTCAGTCCCCTTCCCCAGAGCATAATCTCCAGAGTGCACAGTGGAGCTGGACTTGACCAACAAGCAGTTCGTAAAATTTCTGCAGTAACCAACCATTTGATGAGTTGCCCCAGGTACATCTGCTCGGTATTTTGTGGACAATGGGGAGACAACTCTACCTGCCAGCTAAGGTGGTAAACAGAGTTTATATGAGTAGTACAGCACTAAGCCCAAACCAGTGTGTGGTATCTCTCCTCAGCATATGTTAACTCTAGAAATAAAATCAATTTAATCATGTTCTAGACAACTCTTGGGTAACTCAAGCATGGGCTTGAGTCAAGCTCACATCTGCTCATAAATCCCAGACAGAAGTTAAAAATACAAAAGGGCAGGGGATGAAATAAGTAGAGAGAGAATTCCAAAGTGGTATGTTTTGGTGACAATTACCACCTAAAAAAGCACATATAATAGAAGAACTGAGAGAGATAAGGCTTTAACAAAACAAAGGATAGGAGACTGTGAATCTCAAACTGAATAACACACTCTTGTAAAAGTGAGCACATCTATGCAAGAAGTAGGCTTGTAAGAAGCAATGTTTCCATTCAGTATTAGCAGTTTGGGCAGTAGGCTGGAGTCAGATGTTTGGATGAATTGGAAACAGGCAACAGGGGAGTTAGAATGTGACTTAAATTATCTCAAAAACATGACAGGCTAATTGAATTTGGGCTTTTAAGCCTGAAAAGAAAGAATGAAAGAGGCACAGAATAACAATCACCACATGAAAAATTCTGTTTCCAGCAAAAAGGCATCAGGTTACACAACTGGAGGAACTTTTTAAAAACAGAGAAGCCCTGGTCTTGGAGCTTTTTAATATCTGGTTAGATGAATAGTTGTCAGAACTGATGTAAAGATAACAGGTCCTGCCTAGGCAGAAGAGGATGGACTACGTGTCACCACAAGATCACCTCGAGCTCTGTGATTTTTTGGAGCATAGACAGAACAAGCCTGCAAAATACATCTCAGCCTAAAAGTAGCCTCTCAAATGATTTAACTGGAAAAGGATCACTTGTTCACGTACATGGACATGCCTTGGAAAACCCCTACAATCACCTGCAATATTCACACAGTGTATGGGGAGAAAAGCAGAATTAATTTTGGAAAATGCTTAAAATGGGAAATTTCTTTAAATAGTATGAATCTTAAAGACTACAAAGGAATAACTGACATACTACAGCTTTGAATACAGGCAAACTTCATCAGGCAATGTCTGCAACAAACTATTCATTTGCTCTCAAATAAAACAGAATTAAAAACTAAACCAGAAAGAGAATTCAAGCTTACTGCTTCACCAGTTTTTCCAAGGTTTCCTTGGTCTCCTTTTTCTCCCTGTTAAATGCAGAAAACAGATGATACAGTTCACTAGAAAAGTAATTTCTTTCATATGTGTATATTAAAGTTCTCTGTTTTCCTAGGAGCCTCTATTTTCTAAATTACATCTGCCAATTAAAACTTTAAAAGCTAAAATTGAGTAACCAGAACAAATTTTGTCAGTGGTTAATTTTGATTGGGTAAAATGATGTCCTAAGGTATTTAGGATTTGCCTGCAAAAATAAAAACTATTAATTAAGTGCTCACAAAACACATTAGGTCAGCAAATATTATAAATTAATTATTCTATTTTCATTTAAATCTTTCTTTCAGAAAATTACCTTCACTATTTCACTACTGCTTGAAAGGTAAATGTTGCCTGCACACTTTATTGATAACTGTCAATTTGTTATGAAATATTAGGAAAATTGACATTTGAATGACACTTTAACAAATTTCTCCCCCTTTCCCCAAAATCTTGAAACCATCATTAAGTATTAATTAATTCTGTTCTCCAAAATAACACTGTTACATAACTGGAACATTTTGCTGTGTATTTCACAGGTGGAAGTTGGGTACATAAGCATTATTGATTATCCGGCTGTGACTGTAATCTCAGTTATCTAATAACTGATGAACACTTATTTGTGTACTGGTTTATACTAATTGCAGATCAGCACTGGGAACTTCTGCTGCCACAAGCTCCTCTTTAGAGCTGCAGCACTTCATCTCATCCCCATTCACACTTCCAAATTCCTGCCAGTGTAGGAACTGCCCTGAGACCATTGCTGCCCCCCAGTCCAGGCACTCTGACATTTCCAGGCCGTTTGATTTCATTTTAGCAGGTGTAGTCTTTGCTCACACATCCCTGTCTCCTAGAGATGCACAATTTTCTCCTTTTTCAAAATAATACACACTTATATTCTTTGGAAGCATGTGTGCTCATATCCTTTCACTGGCATGTCACTGTAAATAGTTGTGTATAACTCTATTCCAAATCCATTTTATTTCATACATAAACCATCACTTACCTTTAAACCTTCTGGTCCAGGATCACCTACATAACCTTTCTGTCCTGGCTTTCCCTAAAATAAGGATTAGAATAAAATATTGTAAATATTTCATTTCAAAAAGATAATTTTATCACAGTTTATATATTTCTCAAAATTGTACATTTTATCAAAAATGTACAGTTTAGTAATATTCAATACAAAAATTTTAGCAAGTGTACTCAGAAATATATACCTGAAAATACATTATTGAATATTTCATCAAATACTGGAATAGTAAGCAAAATTTGTATTAAGCCTTACAGCAGGTTAACACTGAGGGAAAACTGTCACAATCCAAGATTGAAACACATTTCAATTTCACTTTGAAAAAGTGAAAGGGAGACAAAAAATGGCAAGGCAACATTTTCTCCTGGTTAATTCCAGCAGAATAGGGATTCAACACTAATAAAATTTGATGCTTAAACATCAGGGACTGGTGTCATAACTGTCCTTTCTCAACTGTCCTCAACCAAACAAAATCATCTCAAACACCCTCTCCTCTTTATTCAGAAAACTGATGATTTTGAGCCTTATTTCTCTCCACTAGCATTTTGCTTCTGACAGATCTTGTAGCTCTGACAACTCCGGTAATAACACTGTTAGCCAGAAGAGATACAGCAACATCAATTACAGCAGAAGGCCACAAAGTGACAGGATCTTGGAAGCACCTTATCACATGCATCCGTCCCTCTATGGTCACTCACACCAACTCACAAAGGCAAGCAAACCAGAAAGCTTTCCCCCTTAATTTTCAATTAGTTGTTTAGAACTTCATTTTGTCTCCCTTTTAAGAAATTGTTTTCCCTCCCAGGATACTTTACTTCCTCTACAACATAAAACATGGCCTAACCATTTGGCTATCTGGACAGCACAGCCCTGCCCAGACAAACTTTCCCCATCTGCTCTGAGGAAAAGGCCCTAGTCCAGCAAATAAAGGTCCAGGGGACTGGACCTGGCTCTTGAGCAAGTTGCTGATGGGATTGTTGGAGGCTGACAACTGGAAGAAGAAAATTAATTCAACGTTTGAATGATTCAGTATCAAAACCATGCAGATTTGTGCTAAAGAGAAATTATCAGCGGTTGTTCCAGCAAACTGAATAATTGGAATTGCCAAAGTCCATAGTACGAGCTTTCCATTCCACTTAAGCTGTACTGAGAAAAGAGCAACTAAAGCAAGAGATAATAAAAGGTTCCTTAAAAAGAGATGATATTTTTTCATTTGGCTCTTTTGCTTCAGCTGCTCTGTGCCTGTCTTTTAGAGCACAATATGTGTGTTAGTTTCTAGGCATCTGAGAAATTCTCTATATGGCTTAAAATTATATTGTCTTAGTAGGTTCCATGACTTCTCATACTAATCCCTCTCTATTGTATTCATTCTCTCTGACTGAGTGATTTCAATTTGGCCAACACGTTCCAGCAAATAAAATCACTTTAGGAACATATTTTTGGTTTTGTCAATGGACTAAAATATGGTACAGCCAGGGATGCAGGCAGAAAAGACCATGAAGAGAAGTTCTTAGAGAACCAGATAAAGCAAGTCATGTCTTTCCACAAGGCTTAACAAAGAACAAGTGAGGGGCTTCTGCAGGTCACTACATGCTGTTTAACAACTTTGTTGTAAAGAAACCTAAGGTCTTTCTTTACAGCAAGACTAACATAATATATTTTAAGTGAAATTCATCAAAAGAAAACTAGTGGCCCCTATTAACTACCTTGATAATTTTAAGTCTTATGAGAACTAAACTGGAGTTACAGCTTGTAAAGGTTTCTTGGCTGTCATTCCTCAGCTATGTTCTAGCTGCAAAGGACATCGAACAGATGGATCAGAAAATGGAACAAGTGGATTTAACTGGTAAAGCAATCTGAAACACATGGATTTGGCTTTAAACAGAAATACAATACATTTACACATGGAGGAAAAAACACTGTCAGAAGGTTAAACTAGGCATGGCTGCTTTTCTGCTTGCAAACCCCTGAGAAAATTACTCTTCCAGAGCAGGGTAATCGCAAAGGAAATGTCTGTTTCCTAAAATATTAACTGAAATGTCTATGTTTCTCTTTCAGGAAACAGCAACCAACTGTGCTTCCTTTCACCTCACAACTGGTAGCTACAGGTGTGTATATATCAATATAAATATCTCTCACTATCACTATTTCAATCCAGTCCCTCTGTAAGCTTCCCAGATGCCTTCAGCCCCCCAGGAAGGCACCTCCAGAAAATACTGCACTGGGGTGTGGGGCAGATTTGAGAACATTTTCTACTATCATCAGGACAAACTGCTCATCTTACGACTATATAAATTCCAGCTTCTGTTTAACACATGTAGCTCAGAAAGGAATCAACTTGCAACTTTTTACTTTCTGGTTTAAAACAACCTCCACCCTTTTAAAGGCATTTTATTCTCCAGCAAGGAAGATACAAAAAAAAAAAAAAATTAAACAAAGCACTAATGCTTGCATTGACTGAGTTGAGCTACACTGACAGTTACAGTATTAATATTTGGATAGCCTTTGAGAGAGAGGGTTAAGTGGGAGAAAACTGAATAAACACAGTCACATCTTTAGTATGGCACCTCCTGTATTTTCACAGGACAAACAAGTGAGCACCAAAAAAATCAGTTGGTTTTTTTTTTAATGTAGAAGGATTAACTTAAGAGAATGTAAATATATGACTTTGGAATAGAATGGGTGGGAAGGTTTGGAAACGAATGAATGCAACATCAAATGATGTGATCAGATTCAGTTCAAACACCTCTTCCAAAGCTGAAACAGACTGAGGTCTTCGGAACTGAGATATATTCTGAGTGAGCAAGGGAACATCCTCTAGTTTTGTCTCTAGTTGTTTTAGACACATGGAAATTATTTTTTGAGCTGGGACTGAGAACCCCTGTGCAGGTTCATATTCACTTCTGTTCCAGCAGAAGAAAATCTGTTTTGATGGCAGCATTGGTCAGGTGGGTCCCAGGAGTTTTTGTTTTCTCTCATGTTTTTCAAAGCAAATGTTAGAAACAAGGACAGGGGAGGGAGGGGAGAGAAAAACGAGGTGAAATATTATGGTTGCCAGCTTGTCACATGCCTAAACCTGAACTAGGGATTGGATATTTTGACCTGAAATTGTAAAAAAGATGAGGATTCCGGAAGCACTAGAAACCTGCTCCATTATTGTTTCATAAGAATAATGAAAGGTTTACAATACATGACCTACAGGGATACTTTACCTACTTGAGACAAGCCCCAGAAATTAAGGTAACAGTGGCTGAAAAGAGGACTAACCTATTTAATCATGCCCACAAATAAAGTCTGTGGGGCAGGAAGCAAGGCTGTAGTGAGAAAAACACAGGCAAGTCTTTCAGATAGAACAGCTAGACAATAGAATAAAGGTCTGTAAACCAGGCAAACAACTCAAGCAGATTGATGAGGAGAATAAAGAACTCCCACTCCTGGAGGCTGCAAAACACATGTTAAGCACATCTGTCAGCTAAAGACAGAGCTGACAGCTAATGATGCCTTGGGGCCATGCACAGCCAGACCTCTTCTTCAGGTCCCTCTCTGGGACCTCCTCTGCCCCCATGGCTATCTAATTAGTACAGTGACACCACAGTTATGATAGCGTTTACTTTCAGATGTAACATTCACTTTTTAAAACTCCTTTCATGCAAAATGGAAGCAAAGGCTATGTAAATGGAATGAACATCAAATTGCAGTCAAGGAAGCATAATTTAAAAAGACAGATGTGCTCAGCAGCTTATTGACTCAGTCCTGCTACACTACATGAGATTTAAGTCATGGCTGTGACTCTCTCACTGGCACAATCACACAGGGTGTGTTACAGGTGGGAGCAAAGCACCAAGAACAAGCAGAGATGGGAGCAGAGCGCAGAGCAGCAGTGCAAAGTAGTTGGGCTGGAGCTGTGAAACAGCTGGAGTCGAGAGAAGCCATAGAATCTAGGCAAGAGCCTGTGGGCCCCTGGACAAGGAGGAAAAACAGGCAGAGCTGCCCATCAAGCAAAATTCCTTTTTCCCCTGTCTCTCATTTCAAGAGGGGATGTTAGCCAGCAAACTACTAAAAAAGTCTAGAGACAGAAACCCTGGGGCTCACTTCAGATGTGCATACTATGCTCTCAACAACTTGTGAGAGAGAAACCAGAGAGCTGTAAGACATGCCAATGTCTTTGTGCACCTTTCCCACTGAGAGAAATAAAAACCTAAATAATTTAGGTCAAATTGACCCAAAATAGATGAAAACTATTTGAGTTTGCTAGGTTACACAAAAATTTTTCCTCTTGGGTCACTTTGACACCAGCTGATGGTGGCCTGTGCATGTCCAGTGACGTGGAAGATGCGAAGGTAGCTGTCTCATTGCCCATGAGTCACCCACTACAGCATCTTCTTTTCCAATTGCCACAGCACAACATGGGAGTTGCTGCCATTAAGCCCTGCCCAAGGAGGAGACTCAAAGAATGATGCAGCCAAAATAAAACTTTCCATGAGGCTCACAGTAGAAGCTTGGACAGATTAAACTCAATATTGAACAAAGTTACAGAGAGTTTTGAATTTCTTGAAATTTGAATTTTTGCATGTTTTCCTCAGCTTAAAAACAAAGAGACTTTTGTGGGAGGGTGTTTCGTGTTTGGTTTTTGGTCTTTTTTCTGTTTTTTTTTTTTTGGTATGGGTTTGTTTGTCTTAACACCTAATCTATGGGGCAAATAAATATTTCAATACACTTTTTAACAAAAAGCAAATTCCCAGCTTTGACTAGCTACTGAACAGGAAAAATTACTTAGGCATATATCCACTCTAACAGCAGAAAACAGTGGAAAAGACTCTCAAACTCATGCAAGAAATGGGAAGTCATCCAGAATGAAAGCCAAATCAGTGATTAGCACACATAATCAAACAAAGGCAGAAGATCAAATTGCATTCAATAAACTTAGAGACACTCCTGTAATCCCCAGTGCAGGTTAGTATCCATTTTAGCATAGAAATATTATAAAAATAAGCTTCAAGTCCTCTGAAATATTCTTAGATGATAGCATATTTTTGTAACTAACAAAAAAATTGGATGATAGTTTCAGACTCCATCTTTTAAAATATGTCAGCATAAACAGCATTGTGATGTTTCAGCTTTATTGTTTTCAGTAATTATCTGGCAGGTTTCTGGTACATTTTTTAAAGCATACATCCTTTATATTTCTCCCTGTGAGCTGAGGAGGTTCTTCCCCAATGGAAATATTTTGATATATTAGCTGATTCAGTCCCCAGGAAGTGCATGGCAGTTTCACTTGTCTCAGAGGAGCACTATATTTTGTGCACTATAGCAGTGATTTCCTTTCAAATCCTTTGTATGGAAAATCATTTCCCCTCCCAGCTCTGCTTTGAGCATGATCTGAGGAAAAACACACATTCATTCAGGAGATGCCATTTTATCAGTCACTTCTCACAGTAAACTTACATTTCAAAATAGCCTGCCCTAACAAAATTACTTATACTTACTCTTGAGCCAATGCCTCCAATAGGTCCAGCTGGTCCTAATTCTCCCTAAAAGAAATCAGGACTTCAATGATCTTGATGACAAGTCTAGTTTTAAAAAAGAAAGCCTGCAGATAACTGTCTGTATTTATTATAGCATCCTAAGTTTGCACTGTGTTTATCTGAGTTCATGTCTGATAGAAACACTTGGAAACAGACCATTTTGCCACTGTTAGCTTTTACTCATCCAGTATCTGTCATAGAAGCCCATTATTTAGCTACTTAGAAGTCTAGAGGTCTATCTTCAGAATCACAAACTAAATTATTTTTAATGTTAATTATTTTTAGCATACAAGACATAAGCTTTTATTTTTATGACAATGAATTAAGAAATGAATCTATAAGATGAAGAACTGCCTTTCTCCCCTTTCAGTTAATAGGGGTCTAAAGTGTTTACAAAAGAGTATCTAGGACACTGTATCTAGGACACTGTAATTAAATTGGTATATGCTATTTCCATACTGCTAACCCCCTTCCCTCCCATCTTCCCAGTTTAACTAAAACAACCACATCCAGCTTTGGACATATATTATCTGAGATTCCACTGAAATTAAAATAAACCACATAATGGATGCACACCCTCATTAGGCTGCTAGAAACCTTTTAAAACACTTGCCAAAATGCAAAAGGAACTTCAAATTTTGCATGACAACACCATACACACCTAACCATTATTGTCTAAGACTCTTAACCCCTCACAACTTTGAAACACAATATCTTAATTGTTTAACTTCTTTATCTTACCTCAACTCCTTTGGGGCCTTGTGGCCCTGGAGGTCCTCGGTCACCCAGAGCTCCCTAAACATCCAAACACACACAGTAAGAACTTGCATCAGTTGATAATCTGTTGGTCTAGTTTCTCTCCTCTTACAAACCTAGACTAAAACCCAAAACCGAGGCAGCAGACCTAATCTCTTACCACTGTTCATAGTATTTCCCATTGAAAGCCAGGCAGCAATGTAGAAAACCAAGCATCATAAAAACTTCTACACAGACTTAGCTGAAACATTATTCTTTTTTATGTTGTAAGAAGGAAATAAGAAAATATTTGAACATGATAGAACAATTTCTCTCTTTATGAAGAGGTAAACCACACTACCATATTAAGATTAAAGCATCATCAATGTACAGAGCTCTTATTAGGGTAGTCTTTAGAATAACATGTGTTGACAACAATGCAATGGAAAGAAACTACAAAGTGAATTTAGACCACTAGCTTGTCCAAAACCACTTGTGATTTTCAGCCCTTACTTTTCTGTTAGGATTATAACCAGCTACCCAGAGATAAAGCACCTTAACCTCTGCCAGCTCCAAGTTTTCATGACTGCTTACACCAACATTTTCAAAACTTTGTTAAAAAGACTTTGCAGCTAGCAGTGTATCAAAAACCTCGGGCATCCCAATTACAATGGGATAATTGGGAAAAGCACTTGACCTGGCATAGTACAAAAAAAATAGTGTAAACATATTAATGTTCTGGGAAACCTAAGCTTAGCAATATCAGATAAAGCAACAAGAACAAAGAAACTGCCCTTTAGGAGAGATATGATTATCCTCTGAAGAAAGCAATGGTGGGAAAGTGTAAGCCTTATTAACTGCGTGCTAATGAAGCTGAAGTCTAGACAGTGGTCCAGGCATTGGTCCAGTAACAATTTACTCAGCAGGCAAAGTAAAATGGAAGAGAAAAATGGAACAGGCCACCTCAAGGTAGAGAGTTTCATTGAAGAGCCCATCAGTCTGGGAAGGACTGGGGCGGAGTGCTGCTTGACATTCCAGCACAGAACTGATGGGCGGGCCTTCAGCAGCACTACATAAATAATATTCTTAAATGGTTAGTAATGACATTTTCTCATTGGCATGACTGTTGTTTTATTCTAACAGCAAAGCCTGTTAGGAGATAAGGATTTCAGTGCAAGGTAACTGCACAGTGGAAATGGTAGCAGCACTGCTACTGTACACACCCTTCCACTGCACTTAACTGAATCCAGAAAAAAGTTCCAGACTGTAAACTGAATATTAATACTAAATGACATTTCCATCTCCTCCTCGGGGTTTCAGGCAAAAACAGAAAATGAAGGTAGTCATTACACATGTGCCAAAGTGTCTGGAAATTAACAGAAGTCAGCAAATGGGGTATCCTGTATTTCACATATATAACTTCCCAGTTGACCACCCCTTCCAGAAGAGGTGAAACTCCAAATAATCATTTTATTAAAATGTGTTATACAAACAGAGGGAAAGTTTAACAAGTTTAATAAGTTACCAGGGGAAGGAAGCTCTTAGCTTTTTCCATGGTACAACACACTGCTGGAAAAACTACAGTGGTAGTCAGCATATTCTGACCATCCTTTCCTCTTACTTTTCTTGGTTAGAGAGCATAAATACTTGCAAAGAATAACACAGGGAACAAACAAAGTTATTTCTGAACTTCTTAAAAACATTCTTATTCCCTTTTTTAAAAAAAATGTGTGTTTTGTTATTTTTTTTAATAAGTGATGGATCAAGATCAAACACCTTCTAAAATATTGCTTCCAAGCTGAGTAATGTTTTGTAGACCAAATTACATAATAAATCCTTTGAACAATCATTTAGAGAGATCAGTTTTGCTGATTATTTCACTAATTTGGGGAAAATTTACAATCCAGAACTTCTACTGGCATTTAGAGACAGCTGATCAGACTCAACAGAGCTTAAACTTCCAAGAAATTTAATTTATCCCACACCAATTGCTAAAAAAAGTTTATCCAGCTTTCTTGGCTTTTAAAATGGGTATTGCTTCCGAGGAAGCATAAACAAAAACATGAGGAAAATAGCAGCATAGTGAGAACAATTTTCTAAAAATAAAAGCTTGAGGAAAATTTTAGAACTGCAGTGAACTCAAGGCAGCTGGGAATCCCAAAAGCCAAACATTTCTAAAGTTATGCAGACCTTCTCCCTCAGTACTGGGAGTAATATAAGAGTTTTTCCAGTTTGGTAATCCTTTTCAAATGTAAGCCATCAGTTCTCCCCGACTAAGGCAGGCTGTCTAAGCTTTTTGTCTCTAATACCAAATGTGCTGGAAAGAACCAAATCTGGTTCAGCTGTGTAATTTCTGTATCAAAAGAACATGGAGTCCCAAATTTTGTAGTCCACCTCTTGGTAAGTTTTTTCTCTGGAAGCTGTGAAAAGGCAACAGATCAGTAGCACATGTATTAAACATCAACAGAATTCTAACAAAAACTCTGGATATAATGTGCAACAATACCATATCACTGAAAAAACTGAGCAGCAGGGATTAGATCTGTTACATCATTCATGTATAAACTTGGACAACTAAATCTGAACTGTAGTTCAAGAATTGCTGTATTTCTCTTCTGGTATTTTCCCTAGACCCTAGACAGAGTCTTTCATCACCACAAGTTCGTTTTTTTTTTTTGTAAACACCCTGGTAACTCAGAAACACGAGAGCAGCTGGCACTGCAATGGTTGGACAAACTTGTTAATATAAGGCTGCTAATGTTATGCATACATGCATATAAACAAACAAGCAAAGCATCTCAAATTTGAATTGAAGGTGGACACCCTCTAGAAATACATTTTAACTTCTCCTCAATTTGCCTCAGCAGATAATCAGCTCTCAGCCTTCCTAGTTGATTCATGTCTATTTTGGTAAAAGGCTCTTGACATGGTTGAAAGAGCTTCAGCAACTGGATTATTTGAGAGGTTCTTAAGAATCTCCTTTGGCATGGAGATATTGTTGCAATCTTCTGGGTACAAATAAGATCATATCTTTAAACTATTTACTACTCCACGTCCTATGTTTTCTTGAGTAGTCTGCTACGGAATTTCACAACTCTGTTAGAAAATGTAATTTCCATGTCTGTTTATTCACAGACAACCTGTATGATTTGTTCTTGGACAAATAATAATGTTGGTCCTGCATAGTTCTTTTGCCTCGTCAGTTTCTGCCCTCTAGTTTACTTAAAGTTAAAAAAAGGCCTTCATTTTGGTCTAATAAACACACTCTCAGAATAAAGCCATTCAAGTATTATTTCTGCTTCTAGTCTCACTTGATCAAGTCCTTCAGAATAAAAATGCCCAGTAATGTACTACAGAGATAAAGCCTTCTCACACTTTGAGCAGTGCCATTAATGAGACATCTTGCCTCATGTGTTCTACAATTTAACTTAATTTCTAACTGCATTACTAAAGATATTACTGTGCTTTTATTTCAGAGAGATCTGGCAATGTCTTTGGTCTAAGTTTGTAACAGGATTTATTGTTTCAGTCCTTTCATAGATCAATTTGAAATAACAAGTGAAATGAATTAGCAAAAAGTGCATTTTTTTAGATAATCTAAAGATGCTCAACTTTGTTTCATATACAGGTTTCATTCTGCCATTCTTGTGGCTATTTACCATAGAAAATACAATGTAAGAATAGTCCCAAGGCTGATGAGTGAGGAACTTCATTGGTACTTGCCTTTCAACAAGTAGTCAGTCTTTAGATATTATTCAATCATTTTCTTCTGGGTTAATTTCTGAGCCACCTGCACTTTTTGTACTACTCTCAACCATTTCCAATTCAACAAAAATTTCCTGTATCTGCTTTTATTCAAAGCTTCATTGAAAACTCAATTCATATGAATTATTGCCTAAACTTGGTCTAAAATCTCAGTCTGCTAAAGAGGAGAAGCTAAATTATTCTGTCACAGTTTTGTAGATAAATTTTATCCTCTATTGTTATATATATTATTTTATCCTTAATTTAATCAGGCATGTGAATTTTACACATTTTCCATATCCTCAACTACCATTTCTTTTAAAAATTGTTAATTTTTAGTACAGGTGGAACCTGGGTAATAGAAAGATCTGCATACATTTGGCATGCATTTTATTTAAATACAGGAACAACATATGCTACTTTCTAGCTACATGGCATTTTCTCACACTTATTTTGCCATTACATGCTTTCACCTGACACAGTAATTACTCTCAGAACTGCATGGACAGCATTAAACATTCAAATAACTTCCTCATATAAATACCTGAGGCAAAGTACCTGCATTCTGACAGTAAGATTATCTTCTCATAATGTCAGAGTCCATCTCTCAGAGCCTTTTCCTCAGAGATTAATGCTATTTACTGTTATTTTTAATAGGTTTTCATATAACCTTACCTTAGGACCTTCAGGGCCATTTAATCCAGGTACACCAATATCTCCTGGAAAACCCTAAAGAAACCATACAGACAAATGATTTGCAGAGTAGGATGGTTTTCAATGTACTTGTTTTGATTCTGTTCATTCATTTAATAAACCCGAGTCACAGAAATAAGAAATAAATTTGTTCTACCATCCCAAAAAACGTCAAAATCCATTATGTTTCCTTGAAAGGACTTGGATAAGTGACAGATTTTAGGCAGATTTCGTTAAACTCAATTTAGCAGATGTCAGCCTGGATTTAATTTCTCTTAAGATAAGACTTTTTATCCGCTAAGCAATGTTCGAAATTAAACCACTGGACTGGATTGGAGGTACAAAAAATCACCACAAAGCAGCCAGCACCAGGCCTCGCACTTATGAATTCAACTAATTTTTCCTAAATTTAGAGAGCAGCTGAAGCCCTTTAATCCTTGGCCACACGTTAAGGACGAGATCACTGCAAGATTAAGAGAAAGGTAAGAAGCCTTTTGCCTCCAAATCAGCAGGGGATAATCTAGGTCTGGCTGGCAGTACCTGAAGGTCACCAGCATGTAGCATTATTCAGAACAGGCCTTTGTGAAATAGACTCTAGTATAGGTCAAGCTGTTAGTAAAGAAAAAGTAAATATGCACAGACAAGGAGTCAACTAAATTTATCACTGCAAACCACCCGGCCAGTAGGCATTGAGTTGGGACACCATGAGGATCCTGGCCTTTGTGTCAGAGGAACTCAGCTACAGCTAGACTGCTTTGAAAGAAATGAGTATATTTTAAGGGAAAAAAATGGTGCAGCTAACCTTTATGCAATACAGTAGTGAGTTCAATTTCATAAATTTCATTTCATTTCAATTTTATAAATATCCAGAGGATACACCATCTTTACATTTGTAGGATAAAATAAAGCATTGGTAATTGATGCTTTAGTTAGCACACTGCTCATGCAGTCCCCTACCAAGACAGGATTTGATTTTGGTTTTTTAATAAACTTTTGATTTTTACCATCTGAAAACAGCAAGACTGATACTTCCTCTGAGCAAAATATTTATTACTACATTTAAGCAAACCCATGGTCTAACACTAGGGAAAACAAGTTTTCTTCTTCATTAAGAGTAAATCATCAGAGATTAAAATGTATGCATACTTTTTCCAGAAATAGAAACAAAAACCACATATACAGAACCATTTTTTAAAACACAGGTTTAGCGCGTGCATGCTAGTGAGTCTAAAAGAAAACCACAAAAGAATAAAAATGGTCTGTGTTTTCAGAAGATGGGCAACAACTTTAACACTCAACATTTCACAATGCATCACAGTGATTTCCCTTTCTTTTGCCATAAAGCAGCAGTTACAAGCAGAGCTGTGCAACAGTTCCAACATGCCTCTAGGTGGCACAGAGAATATTAATTTACATGTGACCTGTGAATCATACCTAAAGCACTCATTTGCATCCTCCTTGATTTCTATACAGTTCAAAAGAGGAGGTATTTTTTTCTGAAAACCCTGGCCACCACTATCTGCTGAACTACATTGATGAGTTAGGTCAATTTCTTGGAGTTTTTTAGCTTGTCCCTTCTTAATTTTAAATTTACTTATTTATAGACCTCAAATAGTTACCAAGGGGTGAGTTGTTTCATATATCTGTAAATCTTTATGTTTCTAATGTGTGAACAAGTGCTAAATGCTGACACAGACAATTTCCTCTTGCAAGAAACATTCCAGAAAACAATCTGCCTAGAAAAATGTTAATTTAGAAAGATTCTAATGCTTTTATAAAGGAATAGATCTACTTTATTTGTTTAAATTTTTCTAGAGGGAATTCAGTAAGGGCCATGAGACGTAGGTGTGGACAAGTACTGTTGCAGATAGAACAAATACGGTATTTTGAAATCTTTTCATCTCAGGGAAAATCTTAGGATACAAGAGGGCTACTGACCTGAGAACATCAACACTAAACAATGCACTTAAAAATTTTAAATCCTCATAATTTTTATCTTTTCTGTGAAGATGGATTAAGACTTTTCCTCTTGAGCACAACCTTGGAGAAAAGGCAGATGCTATGGCAGTATTAGAACACTGTTTCTAAGATGTTCTCGCATGAATAATCCATGAAATAACAGTAATAACCCAGGACACAAACAGCCACTTTAGACAATTCCAGAAAAAGAATGAACCAGGAAGGAGCTCTTGAAACACCTCAGCAATAGCTCCTGCCATTCAGCTTCCTGTTACTGCTGAAGATAAATAGATCACGCGGACACAGATTGAGGTGTGGTGAAGGAAAGAGCAGAGTTTATTTTTCTTCCCAGGATTTATAGGTTTGTGACCACAGCCAGGGGTTGGATGGTCAGGATAACACTTTCTCACTGCACTGGCTATGAGAGATGCTCATCACAAGACGTGTAACAGAAAGAATGTACACATATCTATGTTTATAGTTACTGTCCTGGGAAAGTCTTTAGAAAACTATGTTAGCAAGCTCAGAAGCTGAGTTTTCAGGGCGACAGCTTCCTTGTAGTGAAGTGGGATGCATCTCTAGAAATACCTAAATTTGCCATGAGTTATTCAGCAGCCAGCTCCCTGAGAAGTTACTCCAGATTAAAAATTCATTATTCTTCCATAAGTGAAAGGCCAGGATATTAATGTATAGCTTCCAGCTGTAGTTTTCAGCAGAAACTATTCAAAACAAAACAGCCCTCAGTATTATGACTTCTAAGGAAATGCATAGTCTTAATTTCCATCAGCCAGAAGCCCAGCAGCTGGTAGGATACAAATTATTTTCAAAATCTTGCTATAGATGTGATCTTTTGCCAGCAAAGCACTTTAGAATCCATTTAATCAAAGGAGATGTGGCATCAGAAAAACCTGAAATGCCAACTGTCTTAACACAAATGTGCTTTAACTTTGCAGTGGAAGTGCTGCCTTTTGTACTGAACACTTAAATATAAAATTAATATATTTATTGCTCTTGTTTATCTATATAATGTTTAATTAAAAAAAAATGCAGAGATGACTAAGCTTTTACTATGTTAGGGCATGTCTCTGCCCCAAGATGAGCACTCTGCCAAAGATTTTGCTTTTCTTTTGTTTTTCTGTGTGGCTGCTAGTAGGGAAGCAGACTATCAGAAATATTGAGACATTGCACTCCGTTTCCATGGGGAATCCTTTCACATTTGTGGAATCCCACTTCAAACTGTTTTCACATGACATTTGCCAGCCATCTTCATGCCATTGGCTGCCCTCAAGGGGATCAGCCAAGCACTGGTGGAAGGGCAGCACGGAGGGGAAACAAGTCTCCAGGGACTGCAGTAGTCCCTTCAGTCACCAGGTTTCCCTGCTCCAATAAGAGTTCATTCAATCACAGGTTGCAGCTCATTTCAATGAGAATTTAGAATAAATTTTCAGAAGCAAGACTGACTGTATGTAGCTACTGAATTTCAACAAGATACCTTGTTAGAGATTCATTATTAATTTTGATAACCAAATCACAAAAGGAAGGTTTCTGCAAAAAGCTAAAATTCTCCAATAAGTTTCTTATTCTTCTGAAAGGATGTGTTATGCAGACATAGAACTCTGGGAAAGGACCAGATGAAGATTCCATGCAAAGGCAAGTAGAGAGTATAAGCAGCTCTACAAGACCAGTTCCTCAGATATATGCCAGAACACAAAATTAATTCAGCATTTGAATTACTTTTACTTCTATGTTTCCTACAAATCATTTGCATGCAAGTTATTTGATGCAATATTGAAACAGAAGGCTATGTTATCACTGCACACCTGGCATTGTTTGCAAAAACTCAAAAAATCATGTGATAATGCATGTGAAACATGCACTAAAAATAAAGTTTTTGTTAAATGAACACCTCAAAGCAGCCACTGATTCACCTACAAAATGTGTGCCTTTTTGACTCATTACTGTTATTTGAATGTATCCTTTTATTTTGTAAGGCTACTGCCTTGAGCACAAAACACACCAGCTGAGTCCTATACAAGTACCTTCCTGAAGGAATAAGCTAATGACTTCAGATCAAAATACTGCACAGATGAAAAAAGTTCTATTGAAGGTAATGACTAATTCTCTCTGCTTCATATGAAACCTATTTATAACACTCTGAAGGCACATCAGTTTGGGGGATAATAGAATGCAATTCCAAGAGCAAAATTTAACTACAAAATATTCTGAATACATGTGGAAGCCTGTTAAAGGCTTGTCTAATTACATTCACATTAACAATAAGCACTGCATACTTCATTGTACACAGTAAACAGAGACATTGTGGGTTAAAACAGTCAGATCAGCACTTTCCAGTTGTCATACGAATAAAACAAAGCTCTACAGAAACTTCACATTTTGGCAGTTCATTTTCAGATGCGTGACAAAGCAGCACAATGTGTCAACTGATGAAGAATACACTCCATGAAGTGTTCACTGAGTATAGCCAGTGAGCATTCAGGCACGCGACAGACCCTGGTCTGCAGAAACATACCCAGAAGAGAATTTGGCTTGACACTGCAGGACTCCTGCACTGAAAAAAATCACTTGTCAGCCAACCCTTGTCCAGCCACCCAGAGAGAAAGAGTGAGACCTCCGTCCCTCCTGCCATCAGCACTGCAGGTCTCAAATGGACCTTGGCTATAGGTGGGTGGCTTATTTCAACTCTGACCTGGTGCACCTTGGCTGCACAGCTGCAGAGGGAAGATTTAGGAAGCAATTTACTGGTGATCTGCATTTAAAAACACAAAACCCCTTGAAGATGATCAGAGTCTGCCTGCCCTGCTCCCACCACTGTGTGCAGAGATAGTTATAGATTTCAGCTGCTGTAGTGCCAGAGTTACAGCAGTTTACACAGGAAGAAAATCAGGGATAGGACTGCTTATTCATTATACTGGAAATGAAACATTCAAATGTGTAACTGGAAAGATCAAAGAATCCCCACCTTCTTATTTCATATATACAAAACAAATGGGGACAAGGCACAATTATAAATCCCACTGTCTTTAACCTTGGACGAAAGGAGAGAGAAACAGCTGAAGTAGAGTCTGAGAGATTCTGCCACTGGGTAGACACAGCCTTGTTCCTCCTGCTCACAGCAGAGTCCAGCAAATCCCAATATAGGTTTGTTTTCGGGGGTTTTTAAAATAAAATCTTTCATAGAAGGCATACAGTATGGATTGCCACATCTATACTAAATTCAAAGTACTCTCCTTGTAAGACACTAATTCGTTACAGTCTTCTATTTCCAGAAGCATCAAGGAAACATTTAGTGTAGAACATAATGTGTGTTTTCTACATGGGGTCACAGGAAGTCTGACCATTCAGATGATGAAATAGGAACAAGGAAAGCAGCCCTGTCTGACCTGCTAGCTGTCTGGTTTTGGAAGAAGAGACATGATCAGACATATGACAGTAGGCTTTTCTTGTGGAAAAATCTACATTATCTGCTCATACTTCATATATTTAGTTGTGCCTAAATAACTTCTGGCAACAACTAGCTTATTTTTATAGGATAGTGTAACAGGAAGGACACATACACTTTTCAGTTTTAAGCTGCTTATTTTAAATTCCTTTCATTGTAGAACTTCTAGTATCTTCAATTTGTCCAAAATCCCAGTATGCTGCTATCCTACATTCCTTTTGTTTCTATTTTGCCATATGGTGACCATATTTGTATGAAGTTAAAAGGTGGAAAAACCTCTTGTACTTAATTTGGACCTGTCTTGCATGAATGAAGTTAAGAGAAACATTGCTTTGTAGTTTTAAGCCTGCCATTTTGCAGACAATTACTCAAAAAAACTACTCAAGTTTTAATTATCTAGCATCATGCATTTTTTTGCCTTCTAATGATGAAGTCATTCTGCACTCCTGAGCAAGGGGAAATGCTGAACTTTTCAGACAGAAAGACTCCCATCCATATCTGCCCTGAGGACAACCAGCCCAGAACAATGATCTTTTCCCCAGACACAAAGGAGCAGCATGTCTGTGCTGGAATAAGGAACTGTGAAGGACTACCAGCACAGGCAGCAGGGACAGTAGGACACAGGCCTCAAGACCAACAATTTGGGATTAACCTGCTGCAGGTCTCCCTTGCTGGAAGCTGTGCAAAGAGATCATGCAAGGGCCTCTTTTGTTAATAATGAAGAGGCTCAAAAAATCCAGAATCCTGAGCCACAGATGGTGGCAGCTGTAGACAATGTGCACAGGCTTTGTGTCTTCTGCACATCCCTTGACTAAACCAGAGAGGCTTATTCTGACAAGACCACCTTGTGTTGCTACAATGCACTTCCTAGTGAGTTTTCTCTCAGTGAGGGCTTTTGCCTAATTAGAAAGGTAGGAACATAGAGCCTTGGTTTGAGGAGATATCCTCATGTAAAGGCAGAAAAAAGATCATTGCTAGTATATGCCTTCCATTCATATTTTTTAAAAAAATGTAAAACCCCCAAACAAACAAAGAAACTCCACCACAAACCAAACAAAACCCAAAATACACTCATTGAAGGAGGCTGATTAGAAAGAACAATCCACTTTCTGCTTTCATCTCTCCAGCAAATACATATGTCTGTGTATAAACCTTTCTTTCTGGCATAGACCACAGCATTTTTCCTTAAAGCCTGTGGTATAAATGCAAAAAAGCACCAAAATGGGACAATTTGGAGACTGACAGTTTCTGTGTAGACTCCCATAGCATTAAGGAGTTTTTAGGAAACTTCACTTCTAGATTCAACTGCTTGGCAACACTTCCCAGGTAAGTGGTGTTTATTCTTTGTGTTTCTTGTATGTGATAAATATGCAGCCTTGGCTTGGAAAATGAAAAATCCCATTTGTAAACATGTTTCAGTATTTACAAATGGAAGTGTGCCTGAGAAATCATGTAAGTCTCATTCCAGGTGTACCCCATAACAACAGGACTTGAGAGACAGCAAATCCTAATCACATAAGCAAATGAAGAACTATTTGTATTCAAAGATCCTGCACATTAATATTTTGCAGAAAAAAATTATAAGCTTTTGTACTTTATGGAGGAGAATGAATTCATCAAATATGACTGAATAAAAAGATTTTCCTAATTCAACTAAGAAAACAGTCTTTTATGAAGCAAACTCATCTACCTCTTTTTTTCATAATTTAGAGCCGACATTCAATTTTACTGCTATCAAGCAACTTCTTACCTCAGGTCCTTGAGGACCCAATGGTCCACGGGGTCCAGGTTCTCCAATTTTCCCCTTAAAAAAAATCCAAACAGTTAAGATTTCTGATGATAATTTATTTTCAACAACAAATGGTTAAGAAGATTTTAAGAACATTTATTAACAAAAAGGCCGGCAGAAATGTTGAGATGACATTTTCACTAAATAGCAAATTTTATACCTGCCTCTCTTTGGACACTATTAAAACTAGCTCTTCATATCTCTTTGAAGTCCCAACAAAAAAATTCAAATTAGTTTAGGACAGAGAAAATTAGGAGTTTTGGGAGGAAGCATATAAAAACCCCTTTAAATATATAGCTGTTTTCACAATAAAAACTACATATTATTTAAATGTTCAGAAAAATAACTGTTACGGATATTGGTTTACACACTTACATTATTTTAAGTCATAGCCAAAGACATGGCAGTTTTGTGATTAATAACAATAAAATAGGTCCTATTCACATGTAATGGTAACTCCATTATACACAAATTTCAATCCATCTAAAAATGGGCCAAATATCTCTAAGTTACATCTGTTCTGATTTCTCTAAGATATATCTGTTCTTCCACATTTTCACAAGCTTTCTGCCACCATAACTAGATGTCACTTGAGCAAACTTAAGGTCTGACTGGGAAATGTTTCTCTAAGTTTTAACATGAATTACTTCATTGTAAATTTATTCTACAAAGTTAAATTTCTATTACTTGCAGAACGGAGTTCTCATAGCTTAATTTAACATAAGTCACAAGGTTGGACATGTAAGCTTCTGATTAAAAATCCTGAACTCTTTCAGGAATAGGCTGATTCACATGCTTATCTTAAAATAAATAATACTGTACTTTTAAAAGTAAAGAATATTATTTTCCCCATCTAAGCTTAAGCAAATTTGCATAAGTTTGTTGCAGGCTCAGTGTTTATACTGTAAATTCTATGGGACAAGGAAAGTGTTTGTTACTGAAGTTAAAGGCCCATGACATTCATGAGGTCTAAGTAGGTTTATTACTTATTGGCTTGATTGTACATAAGAAAATTGACATTGGAGTGAGTAATGGCAGCTTTCAATTATATATTGAAAAGAGACAGATATTAGCATTAAAAACAGGTGAGGAAAAGCCAGGTAACCCTGTGCAGTATGCCTTTTCTGCCTCAACATTTAAAAATGCAGCAGAAGCGGCAGCAGTGCATAGATGCCTTTAAAGCTGCTAAAAAACACTAAATACAGGAATTCATGACTACTCCCATCCCTGTGAGAAATGACTGGCCATTATTAATGAGATCTCACACATTCCCTCCAAATCCATCTAGTCCAAATGGTCATCTGGAAGTTCCCAAAGCTCTCAGTGGATTTGTTTCAAATATTACCTACATGTCCATTTCCCCACACAGTGACTGGCACAGAATATCTAATATCCTAAGCACTCTATTAAAATTTGACACATATACTGATCTTTGTAATGAAGTCTCACATTGTAGGATGTGACTCACTCATTAACATCAATCACTAGAAATAAAAGCAGCTTAGAACTTATTCTTTATGCGTTTTGAATTAAGTCACTTCTAGGAGATTATATGCACTGTGAACATAACAATCACACAAAATTGTCAAATACCAACAGTAGTATAAAATATCAGGTATCAACAACACATAGTGATATAATGAGAGCAAAATTTGATATGTAAACTTACTGGGGGTCCTGGTTTTCCTCTTATCCCTGGGGGTCCTGGTAAACCAAGAGCACCCTGAAAAAAGAAAGCTATTTAATGCACATGAAAATTAATTGTTGTGTTATGTTGGAAGTAATAAATTGCTATATTTTTACACCAGAAACTGGCTTCAAAAGAATTGTGCAGGTTGAAAACTATCTTCTAACATTCAGCTTTCATCAAAAGAGTTCTCACAGGATGTGCTATTTCAGTGACTTCTGATGTACTAGCCAAACAGGAAAGAAGATCCTTATTTATCTCAGTTTGATGATGTGAAGGAGCATGTCAGACTGTGTGCTGCTGCCAAACACAGTAGGTCCAGGTGAGCTGCAGATGAACCTCCAGGGTCAAAGGAAAAATACCTTTTACATCAGTTCCTTAAAAGATTGAGATCACACCATAATCCTTGTTTGATGCATCTCCATACACACAGCCGCCAGAATTCTTCTTGTGCCCTATACTTGTCTGTCTGCACACTTTCCATAACTGAGTTTTAATTAGCACAGAATTTCTTTTAAATATGTTAATACAGTGATTTCCAGAAAGTATTACTCCTGCATTCTACTTTCATACAACCAACCTGCTGCATTTCAAGAGACTCATAAGCCTGATGAAGTTGCTGAAATTGGATAATTTTTTAAAACAATGCAATTATAACTTACCTTGTCTCCTGGGTAGCCCTGATCTCCTGGCTCTCCTGCAAGGCCATGTTCACCCTAAACAACATATAATTTTATACAGACATATGTATGTGGCTTCAAGTGGGGTAGTTTTCAGAAACAGAGAATAAGAAAGATTAATTCAATGTTCACAATTTAAATTTAACACAGATCTTTGACAATGCAAGGTGTTGCACTGAAATACCTCTTCCAGGAAAGTCTAAAGACCCAGACTGGATATTACGATGTACGGTAGTTAGTGTTCTGTTCAGAAAAAACTTGGTCTAAAGCACCAGATCATGAGTCTGACATAAATTTAAAAAATAAAAGTCAGAAGACAAAAGAAATCAAAAGGAAAAAGGGAAGGAACTTTGTCAGGTATTATACTCAAGTTCTAATGAAGGAATCCTGAAAGAGCTATGTATCTCCAAGATAATGAAAATATTTAAATCACCTTATCACCTTTCATTCCAGGCTGTCCCACACTCCCTGGGAAACCCTGTTAAAATAAAGGAAACATAAATCCAGTGCTTGACTATAATTTGGAAAGCAGCATAGGCACTTGGCTGTGGGATGATTAAATACCATACCGTGGGCCCTGGAATTCCTGATGGTCCACTCGGTCCTGCTGGCCCAATGTCTCCCTATCAAACAGCAAGAAAGGTGACTGCATTTGGTGAAATGGAGTAACTTAAAGACTCCTAACAGAATGTGGCATTTTTGTGCATCACAGAGAGAAACAAAAATATTTTTTAGGTTAATTTCTTAGGGAAAAAAAAAGTATCAGTGTCATGATTCCTCCACGTTTACAGTTCCCAACATCATCAGAAGAAACATGAGAAACAAAACTTGCCTCTTCTGTAGATTACAAATTCAAGAGAAGATCACAGTGCACAGATTTGGCAATGCAAATTAAGGGAGCTTTCTTTTGTACCGCAGCTGCACATTCAGTGGCCATTGCTGCTGTCCTTAGGCACAGCACTCCTCTGTGGGCATCAAATTTGGCTTAAAGAAGTTTTTCTATGATGAGTAGGACCACGAAAATCAGCCTTTTTAATGGCCTTTTTACTCAATTTCTCATCTATCAGTGACTTCTATGAATTAAAAGAAAAAAATTTTAAAAAAATTTAAATAAGAGAGATGCTACTCTAAATACCAAGCATGCAAAATCAACCCTACGTTCTGATGGGCATGCTAACCTTTTCTGTTCTAATGCACCTTCAGAGTCCTTACTACATTATTTATTTGGGATTTATTTAGGCACTTTTATTTAGTTTTATGACAGGAAATAAAAAAAACCTAAATCACAAAAATTAGGAATCTTTAAAGAATTTAAGAACCTTTAAAGATCAGCACAGCAACAATATTAATGAAAAAGCATGAGCTAAACATAAAAGCTGACCTACAATAGTTAAAATTATATTACAAAGGGAGAAGTCTTTGTACTTGCTGCCTATTCAACCTCAGGGGACAAAAACCCCAAAAAGGCAATGTTATATCACTATGGCTATGCAAGAATTTAACAACACATATGAATAAAGAAATTTTTTGCCACTTGCTGAGAGTGATATGGAAAAGATGAGATGGACATTTATGCATTTCCAGTTCAGCACACATTCATTATTCTCTGGAGACTCTTTCAGCAATGTTTGCAACCACATTTTTCTGCAGCCACCATCAGACTTAAGGCTCAGTGAAGAAAAAGCAAGACCAGTCACTTAGTGTCTTAATAGTGCTTGGTAGAGCTCCCAAGAAAATTGCCACTCCACATTGCTTTAGCTTTTCATGACTGCTTAAATTATATATTCTGTCATGCTAGCTGATCAAGCAAATTGCTTACACTGCTGTCTCAGATGTGTGCTACATATTCTAGTTCAGCAAAGCATTTATGCATTAATGATACTGAATGCTGAAATGCAGGTAACAACAGCATTGATTGGAAATTCACAGAGGGATACTGAACTGGGAAATTTGGCTTACAATAGCAACAGGAAGAAATTCCAAAACAGCTTTAAAACATTCAGGTTCATTAAACACCTCTCATAGTCTCCAGGTACATTGTGTGATTTAATTAACAGCAAAGAACTGAAACTACACAAAAATAAAACTGAAAAAGTACTACTTTTTTATTTAAACTTATTAAATTATTATTAAATTAAATTTATAAAAACTGAATTAGTTAGTCTGTCAGGTTTTTAAATCTTTCTCCACCTACAACAGCCTTGCTATAAGTTAACGTATGCTTATCACTTTGGATAAAACTTGCTGATCAATAAAACCTGCAGCTACATGAAGTGTACGTTTTTCCAACATTTCTACATGACAAGTGAAACTAAAAGCAAATTCCTTTTTCCAGTCAAAAAGATAAAAATACCACAAAAGGAAAATTAATGTTTTCCTAGTATTAGGTGGGTTTTTAAAAGGAAAAAGAAATTAAAAAAAACTAATTCAGGTATCTAGCAGAAAATTTTCTGAAACTCTTCATCTTATTAAAACTCATGGCCTTGCTAAGTCTTGAAAGACTGACTCAGCCAGCCAAAACTCTGAACTTGGCAACAGCTTTGTACATTTAAAAAAAATCATAGATGGAAGGAATTACTGGACTCAGCTTGCTGTTGCTGCTCATTTTGCCATTGTTCTCATGAACAAAGAGAAAAATATAACTCTTGACACTGCACACAGCTTGGCTGGACAAGCTACTTGAATTGATACTCTTGGATTCTGCCAGAAAAATATATTTAATCTCATGCTCAATATTGCACCTTGTATAATGTATTATGATTGACTAAGTATTCTAAAGCAAACACTGAGGATTGTAGCTCTTTAGTCAGTTTTGGATGACAATTAGCATCTGCCTGGACAAGAGGAACCTGAGGCCAGGGAGCACAGACCTGTTTAGAGAGCAGAGGTGGCTGAGGAACAGAGCTGCACCACACAGGCTGTACCTGCAGATGCTGGGGTCACCTGAAACTCCCCCAGGGTCGTGGTGAAATTCTGCTACAGATCAGAGAGTGCAATGGTCCCTTGTAAAGAAACTCTGAATATGATTTCTCTATTTCTCAAAAAACACTCAATCTCTCTCTAAGTGATTGCAACTCAGCAAGAAGGCACATGCAGCTTTGATCCTGCAAACATTTATGCTCGTGAACTCTATGCAGGACTAAACAGTGAAGTTTTAGTCAAAATAATCAGGAACAGTAACTTTTTGGAAGTGACATATAGTAGGCTTTTTTAAAAAACCTCAGGTACATTTGTACAATTATCAAAGTCTTTGAGATTAAATTCCAAAGACAGTCATGTAAGAGAGAAAAGCAAGCCACAATTCTAAGCAAATTCTCAAGAGTGCTAGCTCCAGTCTCACTAGAGCATCAATTGGCCTGACTCTGTCAACTGACAAGAGCACAGAAAATCATGTTTGCATGATGAAGGCTGGAAGTTACAGAGGTTTCTCGACCAAGCTTTTGTTTTCACTATAGCAATGCCATAACAATCCTAATCAGGCAGCAAAGGATGATTACAGGAATCCTTTTTTGTTATGAACAAATAATTAGAAAGAGTAACAACTGAACTCAGCTGCTGTGCTTCAAAGGAAAAGTGAGATGACCATCACTGTAAAGTACAAACTTATCAAGAATGTTTCAGATCTGTAGATATCAAAAAAAACCACAAAGCAAACACTTCCTTAATTCAACAGTAAACACTTATTATTTCTCCCTTGTTAAGAACATGGCTGTGTAGCCAGACATGACTGAGACAACATCAAGAATCAGAGGTCCTCTATGAGTAAAGCCAAGAATTAAAAGAAACAAGAGAGTGAGATTATTCAGAATGAAAGTCTTTCCCACCTTCTGTAGCACCCACAGAGCTTCTCTGGCACAGTTGATAGGTACAACTACTGTGTGCAACTCCAAAGTGAGCATCACAGCCTTATTTTATATATATATATATATATATATAAATTAATATGGTATTGTAAACGTGATAAAGTAATTTTTCTTAGAAAATAATTCTGCTTTGAATTTGGTAGCCATATTCAGGAACCAGTGAGGACTGTTGTCCTTAAAATGTTTGAAAACATTGCACCCTTCACACTGGCTTTAGTGCTATAAACTAGCAAACTTGGTAATTTAAAATAAAAAAAAACCAAACACACTGGATCAGAAACAAACATTCAAATCCACAGCAAGTACAGAAATGCTCCATGCTGACAACATTATAGCACTTTTGTAGAGTGACATTATTTAAAATCATGGCTGTCTAAAACAAAAGCTGTTTATATCCTTGAATTTTCCTAATTGTTCAGAATTGTTTTTATTATTTCAAACACACAAGACAAAAGCTCTAACGCAGCCACATCAAAGTAAGTAATAAAAGTATACTCACTCTTAGTCCTGGAAATCCAGGAGGACCAACACCACCAACAATTCCCTTTAAAGAAAGTTAAACTTAGATTATCTGAATTTTACCATTTAGAAAGAAATCCCATTGAGAAGATAAAAGTAATCTACAAAGCAAGTCGGTTTTGATTTTTAAAGAGTTTCCAAAGAGTGACAGCTTATCAATGTTTAGAGAAATACAGTTAGTACTCCACTACTGCCTCTGCCACAGTTTAACTCAGAAGAGGCTGAAACACTGCCAAAAATTGTTGCTAAATTTCCTTGCCCTGTGTGAAACGAGTATTGTAGCCCTGCAGGTCACCTTGTCTCATGCAAGGTGTCCCAACGCCTGGCACCTGCTGGCCAGTGGATAACATACACAGGGCCCACTGCAGCCTGCTGGCACCCACAGGGAAGGGAAGTTTTATGCAAGCAAACCTAAGGCTATTCTGAAAGTGCCCAACTGGGCATGGCTGCTGGACACGGCACAGAAGACACCTTTGTGCTCTCCTCCCTCCTCGGGTGCCTACACACTCTCTCCAACCGGCTCTAAACTATCCACATGGGAAGCTGAATGCTCCAGCAACATCCTCCAAGGCAGACTGACATCCTCAGAGAATTGAGAGGGTGTTGTGGAAATGAAGGATGCCATTAGTCAGTTAAGCAGAAGAAATTAGGCATGGAGACAAATGTCATTAGTGTCAAGGCAACACATGGGAAGAAATGTCTTCCCTTCAAGCTCCTGCTGCCACAGGCCTCCTCAGGCAGCCCCTGGTCTCCAGTGCCAGCTCACAGAGAGGCTTTGTAAATATGCCATTAGCTCTGCAGACCCCTGCAGCTGCAGCACGGGCCCCTTGCCTGAACAAGCCCTGGAGGGTGAGCTCTGGGGGAGGAGGGGAGAGGGGTTGCTGCCTGTCAAAGAAGGCAGTAAGATCAGCAGCTGTCTTGGCAGATTAGATGGAACTTGTTTGCAAATGCTCACAGTAAAACAGGCTTCTTTGTAACGTGCAAGTCTGTAATTTCAGATCCAGGCTTTCTGAGCTTGTTTCTATTAAAGTACTGTTCTGCAGATCTTGTGGGAAGACAATGTCTGCTTTATCAGGAATGGAGGGAGACTTGGGAACATGAGGAGGCAAAGGAAGAACTCACCTTTTAATATCACTTGCAAGCAGTTGGTGACACTCAACCCCTCAGTGGGTTTTCAAGATGAAAACCACACTGATACCACCTGACATTCCAACAAGGGAAGCTTTGCCTTAGGGACCACAAATGCATAAGAATTTTTTTCCTGTGTTCCAAAATGTTGACACCAAACATTAATAACCTACCAGCAAAATTCATGTAAGCTTTCTAAAACAAGTTTCTAACATGGGTGTCAAGGCAGACCTTCAAAAAATAGAGAAACTGTCTAGCTGATAACTCCATGCCATATCAGAAAAATCTTTAGATGCAAGCTGATAATTTCCCAAGGAGCATCCAACAATACAAGATGATTTAAATCAGCCGCTCATTTTTACCCAGCATTTATTGCTGCTCTTTTCTCTTGTCCAAAGCCTTTCACTGGTTTCTGACACCAAAGGAAACCTGAGTTTGGAGTTTGCAGCCAGAGTTTCCCTACAAATAGAGAAAGACAGCAAAGCTCATTTGAGGGCAGCCTGTGCAGTGACGTGACTGTGCCACAGGCTGAACACCGCACTGCAAGGGCACACACTGCCAAGGACAAAGCTGTTATCACACTGATTACAATGCACCAAATGACATGCTAGCATAATTGTGTTTAGTTCCAGTTCAAAGGATGAAATCAACTATCAAATGCACAAGCACACAAAAGCTGGGGTTTTACATGCAGGCAGAATCCTATTTTGTTAAGGTGATCTTAGAATAATGGTTTAAATAAACAACAGAGTCATATCTAATGCAAGAATTTTTGAAGACAGAGCAGTCATCAGTAATGCAATGAGGACAGTAAGAGATCTGATTCTCAAGGTAGTCAGCATATGCAGCAGTGGAAAATGTGCTCTCTCGGCAGCTTTCTGAATATTTTATTCCTCTTTTATATACTTATTATAGTATTTTCCTAGAAATTTGCATGGGAAAATTAACAGTCCAAAATTTGCCTATGGACTTCAAGACATTTCTTTTGAAGGAAAAGTCTCCTTTAATTTTGAAGATGAGTTACTATTGAGTTTTACAAATTTTATCATGTTGTTCAACACACAATTCAATACTTACAGGACTTCCATCTGGACCAGGGGGGCCTCTATTTCCAAAGTCACCTGGAAAACCCTAAAGCAGAATAAAAAATACCAGTTCTTCATTATTCAAGACATGAAAGGTGGCCTGAACATTGAATCCCTATAGGTTTGGGGAATTCATAAGTCATAAACCAAAATGATACAACTATACAGAATGGAAACATATGGAAAAAGCAGACAACTGAATTACTTTAAGAGCTATATTAAAGTATTACTTGAATTGTTTCCTATTTCTTATTTTTAACTCAATTCTCATCCTGTTAGCTTCAACATTCACTAAAACATTTGTCCTTCCTTACTTAACTCATCTCCAAATACTAATAGTTGGCATCTCAGTATGAGATCTCATATTCATTAGAAATCAAAATTTTCATCTTTCTAAACAATGTGAACACTTTCTTTAGTCTGCATCTAGACACTGAAACAATAACTCAAGACATAGTAAAGCCTCATTTATTTTATTAGAGTTTTGACTTCAGAGACTAGATTATCAGAACAGGAAAGAAATCTGATTTGCCAAGTCAAGCATCGAAGTTTAAAACAGAATTTCCATTTCTTGCTTCAGAAAGAAAATGGAATGGAATTCCTTCACTTTACTGGCTCTAATCTTCCTTCCTTCCTGTTAGGGTTTTGAAAATTGCTTTACTTCTTTCAGATGTTGCCCACTGCAGAAGCACGCAAGTTGCTGGGGATAACAGATTTGATATTTTGTTTGGGTTTTTTAGCAGGGGGGTAAGGGTGTGAGGGTGGTGTGAGGGGTTTTTTAATTAATTTTTAACAGTTTAGTATTGCTAGGCAGATCTCACTATTTTACTGGAAGACCCACGTGTAGCTAACTAGAATATCATGCTATTAGTTTGAAGCAGTACCAGGAAATATTTTCATGATTGCTTTGTATTCACTGTATGAAATTAAGAGAAGTGATGTAGTGCAGATCTACAGAGAAGTCAAAATCATTTCTGAACCAGAGTCTAAGGCTAAGAGTTCACCAGAAAAATTGCAAAATAGTAAGCTGGAAAGGGCTTCTACCTGGAAAAATCCAAGCTATGGCACTCAAACCCAACCAAGAGACTTTTCTTGGAATTGAAAAATGTCCCACAGTATTATTAGAGTACTGAGATAATGGAGAGATGCACTGACCTCAAGAAATCAGCCACAAAGAACCTGAGCATTACTAATCCATATCCATGGAAAAAGGGGCACATTCCATCCTTATAATAATTTTTATGTGAAATGCTCTTTGTCTTTTCAGTATCTTTTTACCTCTCCATGTGTATCAGGAACAGTACTTTAAGGCATTAACCTTTCACCTCTGTAACACCATGTTCAAACCTGCTGCAGGTCAAAGGTACAATTCATTTGGCCTTTTTAAGCTACTTTGTTTGGAGGGTATCCACACAGCTGTCCAGCACAGGACTTGCTACAGTAGTGACTTTCCTTAATGGAATGGGGGATATACATCACCATCCAATAGTATTCCAACAGTAGTCAGGAAGACAACATAGAAGTGCCTCAAAGAGATGGAAAAATCATATCATAAATCAAAGTAGTTAAAGCACTGCTTAAGTCATATTTGGCTTTAATAACAAGCCAAACTTTTATAAAAATCAAGGCAAAGTTTTATGCATATATATACGTGCATGTACACTGCTAAAATATGTTGAAACAACTGAATAGCTATTAATCCTCATCATCATGCATGATAATGTGAAGCAATCAGAGACAGCCTTCTGTAGCATATTTTGGGTTGATTTTAGATGGAGTTTTTTTTTTCTGCTTTCCCCATTAATTCAGAAAAGCTAAACACAGGAATTCCTCTCACAACAATTAATTTCTTGTTCAGCATCTGATCACAGAACTCACAAATAAGAATCTATAGTTGTAAGATCTGACAATACAGGTATTCACATTTTTGTCACCTTATCACTTGAAAAGTAGAGATTCTTAGGGAATGGTCAATAAAGCAGATTTAATTGACTCTCAGGGTTGTGCACCTTTGGTAATTTTTTTCCTAGCTCTGAAAATGTAGTGTAAAATGTTACATATGCAAAATGGATGTTTGAGAGTTACTATGTTGTTAAAAGCTACAAATTAAGAGGATGAATTTATGATTAGAAGATTAATTTATGACCCTTTCCTAAACAGCATATTTTGGTTGTACTGCCTACCATTGGTACATGTTGGAAGAGGCAGAATTGTCATAGACCACGTGTATTTTTTTGAATCTCACAAATGAGACCTCAATGGGAAAATGAAGGATGAAATGGGACAGTTTTACCAACCACACAGAATCACAAATGATGCAGCACAATCCCAGCATAGCAAGAGTTACAAAAGTGACAGGTCACCCACAGTCATTATAATCACATTCTCAACAGCATGTGTCTTTGAACTGATACTGAAAAATTTTAGTAGGTACAAAAAATATAAGCAAAATGAGCAGTCACAGAAGTATAAAACTGGAAGCAATATAATAATACTACTGTGTAACAACTGTTTTATTAAATCAATATTATCATTTAACATTATTATTAAGCATACAAAGGATGATTATTCATAACTTTAATATAAAACAGAATCTGAACTGCTTTTACTGTTACAATGGACTTGATTACTAAGTCCTTGGTAAAATTTACAAGGTCTGTTCTGGCACATGGACAACTGGTTTTAACTAATCACAGACAGAAGAAAACTGTAAAAATCTTCCCACAAACAAAAGCAAAATGCATCATGCTAACAGGACAGAAAATGGATTAAAAATACTGCAGAACTTGCCTAATTTCATATTATGATGATATAACAGAAAGAAATTGAACACATATACTTCTACCACAAAATATTTTCTTAAAATGATATTGTATGCAAAACAAATATAAAATTCTAACAAATCCTCACTCTATATATTCTGGCAATTGAATATTTCGTTCCATTTCAAATATGCCAGAAATGTTACAAATATGAACAACCGTTCAATAAACTTACAGAGTAGCAGCATTTTGTCAATTATAAATGTTTACAATCCCTTGTATGATCCACTTCTTCTGTACTTTAAAATCACTTTCCAAAAATGAGATTATACTTGGGATCTGATTTCTTTCAAAAAGACCTCTGCCAGTCAGACAGGGTTTTTATTTTCTCAAGTATTATTAGGGACAGTTTTGACCAAAAAAATAAGTTGCATCCTGGAACAAAAGGTAAGAACCCTGACTTCAGGCACTGTAGAATTCCTATGCCAAATTTATTTTAGTGACAGCACCCTGCCCCGAAGTATTGTTAACTCCAGGGCACTATGCCAAAAAAACTTTGTCATTACAGCTATCATTGTTTTGGGGCTTAAAATAACATGTCTTCTCTAAGCTTGTGATGCAGTGAAGTACTTCAAGCCAGGTTCCCATGTGATTGCTCTCCTGGCTGGTCTCCACATTAGTAGCCTTTAGTCAAATAAGGACTTTATAGATCACAGAAAGGAACTGGAATGAACCTTGGGATTGAGGAAATTACAGCAGTACAAAGAAATCAGTACTGAATGAAGGTAATCACAGACATTCTGCAGAGGTGCTTTTGGTGCTCTCCCACCTATGTGAATCCTCTCTGAACAGAGAATTATATTTTTTATACAAATAGAAGTCCTTACAAAACACAGTGTGGCACTGACAGAAGCTCTGCTCTTACTGTAAACGGAAAATAACTGCTTACCACAGCGCACACAGCACCAACTGACTGCTATGGACTGGGACAAATACTATACCAACCACCACACTGGCAGGCAGAAGCCCAGTGAAACCTGCCACAGAGACTGACAGTAGAAGGCTAAACACATTTCAGTGTACCCTGCTGTCACTACACTTCCTATTTCACACTGAACCTTTGATTCCCATCCAGGTTCTCCTCCTTTGTAAATGCTGCATGTGACTCACTGGCACAAGACATTGACAACTTCTGTAAGGGACTGATGGCACAGAGCCCTTCCTGCCCAGCACTCAGATGCAAAAAGTAGCATTTCAGCCCAGTTATATGCAAACTACAACATGGTCTCACGGCAGCTTCAGAAAGAGCAGTCCATAGACTTACTGTAATTTTGCTTGTCTTTCTTTATATTAAAGCAATTCTTGTAGGCTAGTGACTTTTTTGGCTGGTGTTAGATCACGCAGAAAACAAAACAATGAAACAAAATCCTGTACTACTTTCACAGAATACATCAGGGGCCAAATAATGATAATCATACTACTGCTGAACAAATTTGTTCAACATGGTAGATGAAAATCATCTGAACTGCTGAGCACAACTGACTACACAACTGGAGAACCCCATGGTGTTTTCCAGTCTCAAACCACAAGAAAGTTAAAACAGGAAACTCCTGGATAGCTTCAAAGACCTAAAATATTATGGTTGCAACAGAAAACAAAACATTTGGCATTGAAGACACCACAGGAAATATGTAAACCTCGATAATGTATACTTGGCAGATTTGTGTTTATTCTCAGCTGTAGAAATATATGTTGAGTAGAGGACAGCATTAATTTACAACAGTCCAGAAATGTCAGACATTAGTAGAAGTTGATTTTCATCCAAACCAACACCAGACTTATGAAGCTTGCATCATATCTGCAACTTGTGCTAGCAGCAATTTCATGGAATATATTTATGTGTTTCTGTCACTTTCTAACCCTCCTCATAGCTGATACCAGTAACCTGCCACAAGACTCATAGTGATAAGCCTTCCACACTTCAAAACATCCAGTACTTATAACCTGCACAGAATCTGCAGCTCTGAAAAGTACTAACTGAAAGCAATAGAAAGTCATCTACGGAGAAAACTTAAAACTAAGTTTTCAGTTGATTAAAGCTGGAGTTAATTCCAGGTGGCTTTACATTGGCAGCAGGAATTGTAACAAGTATTAGAAGCTTTACCTGTCTCCCTTTAGGACCTCTTTTTCCATGGAGGCCTGGGATACCCTGAAAAAGAAATAACCCATCATAAGTAGGTTTTCATTTCTTCAATACTTAAAGTAATTAAACCTACATTTGATGGGAAAAACACAGTGTAAGAAGTAACATTAAAAAAAAAAACTGAGCAAAGTATCATCTAGACAATGTCCTACAGCAGAAACACAAACTCTGCTTGTCATTACTGTGGCAATATCAGAATAACTGAGAAAAAAGGCCTTGTTCTGCTTCCATCACAGTACATGTCCAGACAGCCTTTTTGCTCAAGTGCAGTAAGAGAAAGCTCAAGCACAGATAGAGATTAACACTTCCATTGCTGGTTCTACTGTAAAGAACATCCAACAAGAAACAAATACAAATCATCAAAAAGAAATTGCTTGAATGAGAAATATTCATTCATGCTTTGCTGAAGAAAAAAAAATAACCCTAATACTTGCAGATTAAAGTAAAATAATAGTTCACAGCTGCTCCTATTTTACTTTAGCACCAGGACATTTCATTGATTAGACTGAGTATGACCTATTCATCCTATTTTCTTCACATCAGTTTTATTTTTAGCCAAAAAATATTTAAATGAATCGATAAACCTTGTACATTTCCTCCCATTCTAACAGACACTGCATTACCACACAAACATCAACATTCCATTGATGTTCCATACCCTTTCTCCTTCAGGTCCTGGCTGTCCTGCCACACCTGGAGGTCCAATGAAACCCTAAAAACATAAGAACAAGGCTTGATTTCAAGGCTGCTTGTCCCTCAGTATATGGCAGCTATGGGAACATGACACAGAGATTAAATTCAGGCTCATTTGAAACTAACAGTGAAGCTCTAGAAATTTAAATGTGACTAAGATTTACTCTCCAACCAACAGCAAAACCAGTTTCCTGTTATAAGGGTACAGAATCAGCTAATGAAGAAGTTCTAAGTTAATATTAGAAGTACTTCTAATAAGACATGGTTGCATCAGATGATTTATTGGAATAGATGAAATCAGCAACTTTTTTCTTAACCTTATTCAGAAACTCCATTGGAAAAGAAGTTCTCATATTTAATAACACTGTGTGATCACTGCTATATGTAAGAGTTCATACAAGAAAAACATTTATAAGCAGAATGTTTTTCTTATAGTTCAGTCACAATGCTTTTCTCTCCCACTATTCCTCAGTTGTATGGAGAAATGGATGCTGCACTACCAGATTCAAACTGAGATTGGAATAAAAATATTGAATTAGTTACTAAAATTGAATTATTTGCTTTCATATATCTCCAGTGGTAATGATTTCATTTCATGGGGGTTGATTTTTTTTTTTTTTTAAATTATGGAAGATGGTGCCTACCCTGTCATCCAGCCCAAACAAAAGTAAGGAAAACAAAGGCACATCTACTTTCTACAGTTAAAACAGCTGAGAAGCAGAGCACAGATTGATTACAGGAATATTTTAAACCTAAAGCTCTAAAAATGCTTCATACCATGTTGCTATACACCTCCATGGCACAGGAGTATGTGTCAAGAGGGCTGTCATCGTTTTTACTGGAAATTACTTTTAGAATTAATACACAAGATTTAGCCTTGAGGTGTTTTTCCCTAAAATTAGTCACACATTGGCCATTTTTAGCTTTGTGTAAACAGAGAAGCAGTAACTTTTAGGAAAGGGACTGGGATCACTTATGTCTTGTTTGTTGAAGGGAGAACAAGTCAAAATGCAGATGAGAATCTGAACAAAAATAAACGGAAGAAACATAAAAGAAGTAATCCCTGAGGGTGCAATATCTGTTGGCACTTGATCCTGCCAAACTAATTTTTCTCATCACCGTAATCAAAACTGTCATTAAAAAAAACCCAAAAAACATTCCAAAACCCCCAGACGTGTTCAAGAAGCTGCTGCAGGTAAAGGCTTCTAGTAACTACACTAAAAGAACAAGACAAAGCAACTCTTGCAACACAATAGGATTATATCAATAGATACTTGAGAACACAATACACTGCTGAGCAACCTGTACATGACCTGAAGGCCTGAAAACACCCAGCAAAAGCTTCATTCAGATCCTAGATACAACCAGAAACATAAAAGTTTCTGGAAACCTGTGCCTAGTCCTTGGTAGTGAGAGTCAGTCTAAAGAAATATTTATCCATGCACAAGCATGCCTATTTAAAGAAAACAAAATTACACAGCACCCACCCAAAAAAAATCAAACCAAAACAAAAACCATTAAACCTTCAACCCTCAAAAAAACCCAGACCACCAAGAAAGAGAGAAAGAGCACCATAAAAACGCACACACACACACCCACCCACCCACCCACCCCAAACCAGCCAGGAATAAAAGCCAATCTAATTTGCTTCCAAGAATAACCAAAACCAAACCTAGAATGTGCAGAGCATTAAGAACCTTCAGTGCCTGGGATACATATAACTATGATTGAATCATTCTAAAATCTCAAGATCCCTTTCGTGGTTTTTATGTGACAAGACTGTTTCCCTTTATCTACTTCTGTAGCTGTTACAGATTGCAAATATCAGATATGTCTCCCTTCTTGACAACCTCCATTATGGAACTAATGCTTCAGGCCTGAAACATCCACTCAGCCCTCACCCACCCAGCATTGCTCTCTTCTCTCTCCTGCAGGCAAGTGAGAGGAAGGGCAACAATGGAAAACTGCACTATGCTGCTCAGCGTGGGAAAAATAAACTCTTGGCATGTACTTTGAAAGAAACTCTGTATTTTCTCATTTTAGCTTCTATAAAGGCAGAGTGGTTCTACAGGTATACAACTGAATTAAATTCCACACCCCCTTTTTCACCTACTGTATGGGTAAAAATAGGAATGTAGATCAAAATGCTTAAGATGCTTACTTACTCTTACTCCTTTAGGACCTGGGTTCCCTTCTGGTCCAGCTAGGCCCTGTCACAAAAAGACAGGAGTTGTAATTAATTTTAAACAACCAGATATGCTCTATGTAAAATAAATACAACAGCACTTGTTAACCGTAAACTGGCAACACATTCTTGAAATTTTTAAGATTGAAGGTGTCATCAAGTAGTCTCCTGGGACCATGTTCAGAAAGGTCCCCCATTAATGTGTGGTTGAAACACAGATCATGACTGTAACTTCCATTACATTAAAATTATTTCTTCTGGGAGAAAATTTTTTTCCAGACACAGTGATCATTACAGTGACATAATTTTACAGGATTGTTTATGAGCTTTTATATTTGGACATATTTCAATTATATTCAAGCTAATGTCAGAATTGTGTATGTGGTCCAAATGCTCTATTTTACATGATTCAACACAAAAAATGGTATCATCCAAATATATAGCCATTACAAACTTAATCCAACAAAACATTGAAGTATTGGTAAAATTCACCTTTTAAGCAGACACGAAACCACAAAGTCAGTTGTTGTCAATTTGGCTCATATACCTTTATATGAGGAAAATGCTGAGTATTTCTACTTTATATCTTATTTGCATAACTGCACTGAGGTATCTGTTACTTTATACATAAATCAATATTTATGTAAGTACTGGTATTTAAAGAAAGCTGCTTTCTGCTTATTGGTTCTCCAAATATACCCCAATTGGAAAAAAACACCAAACCTTTTAAGTTCCCTTTCCCTAAAGGACTGAAGAAATCATTTCAGCAGTGAAATAAACACACTGGTGAAAAATCAGGAGGAACAGGCAGTTTCCTACTGCTTCTGGACTTGAAATACAAAGAAGATAAACCACACAGAACCACATGAGGTTTATGAAGGGACTGTAAAGTATTCAGGCATTCAGTACTTTGGTAATGCCATTTATATATTCCAGAAAGGAACAGCATTCCTGCATCTAACACATCAAAGTTTAAAAGCCGTGAGATTCAACATTCCCTCCAGGCCGCTACCAGAGAAAGAAATTTGTTTCAAAGAAAAATGACACGATGTAAATAAAACATTTTTACAATTAGTAGTTTCAAAAGAGTTAGATAAGGTACTTTTGAAAAGAATAAATGAGAAAAACAAATAATAAAATGCAAAGACATTTGTATAGTTACTGCACCTGCCTGCCAGGGTAACCAACTGCCCCAATACTGCCAGTCATTCCTGGAATTCCCTAAATGGAAAAGGAAGAAAGAGAAGGAAAATAAACAACAAACATGTTTAATGTCATGGTTTGAAGTTTGTTTTATTATTTCTCTTTTAACGTCTACTTGTATGACACAGCTTAAGCACATGGAAAAATTACTCTTTACACAAGCTACACTGAACACCCAAAAACTGACTCATCATACATAAGTAACTCTGCCAGTTTCAGTCACATATCCTTTAAAAATTGTCTAAGTTTTTGTGAAATACAACAGTGCATGCCTTATTTTCATAATTCAAAAATAGTTCAGGAGGGCTATAGGAGGCAGGTCACTAAAATGAGGTAACTGCACTGGTCTTAGATGTATTTCAAACAAATACATTAAACTTTCCATTAAAAAATCCTCATGTCTTTACAAAGCCAATTTTTGTTTTGTTTCTTCCAGAATCAGGTCAATATAGCACTGGATAAATCACAAATGTATGTAATTCTCTCCACCTTCTTCTTCTGATGTTAAGAATCAACTGTTTTTTTCTTCCACTAGTTATTTCTATCTTACTGATGGATTACAGGCATCACAGAAGACTTCTTGTGAGACTGTAATAAAAATCACCACTCATTCAGTTACAGTTTGGGCATAACACTCAGGAAAGTCGTGAATTACGTCCTTGAGTCATCTCCTTTCAGGTGTTTGCCATCAGTTATCATCACCATTTCCTTTTCAGTGTGATCCAAACAGAGACTCCTTCCATCTACTCTGCTGTTAGGAACATCATAAAGGCTAACAAGATATTAGCAATTGGATGTCTTTGAAATTACATTCAGATTTCTTCCTGAACTGGCAAGGAAGCTTAAAAAAGTACTGAATAACTACTACATTTCCTGCATGCTAGGAGATGTAAAAATGCACTCAATCAGTAGACTTTTTAAAAGTGCCTCTTGTAAGAATTTTACATCAACATCCTCCCAGTTGGTGTGGTAGCTGAAAAACAAGCTGGTCTTTTCCATTTCATTTAGACTACCTTTTCACCACACTGATCTCTACACAATCTGAATTTTGGTTCAAAACCTGTCCAATATTTCCTTAAGCAGTTTAATAGCTTGCTTATATTGAACACTTATAATAGATGATACTTTCTCCTATCTTAATTTTTCATCTCAGAGTACAGTGCACTGTGCTTGCATCCCTTACCTGCTCACCCCGTGGCCCTTGCAGCCCCAGGTAACCCTTGAGACCCTGCAGGTAGAGAAAGAAAATCCGTGTTAAATACAATTAAACAAACAAAATGTACCTTCTTCTACTCTATTCTCTCTTTATCAAAGAAAAACATGCAGACTTTTCCTCCTGCAGAATTAGCATGGTTTACATTTAGCAGCTCATATGAAAACTGAGCTAGAGAAAAGAAGTAAGAAAACTTGGCAGTTCAGACAATTTCAAGACATCAGTATGCTTAAAGGCAGTTTCAGACTTGTAGTCTTTTAAACAAATGAATACATGGGATGCTGTCATAGATTCTGTACCATGCACTTCCCTGTTCCAAATCCTTATCACAATGCACTTTATGAACAAGGCAGTTCAGAGAAAAGGTGTAGAGGGTCATCCCAGACTGTTCTAGGACACACTCAGAAAAGACAGACCTTCCAGGACACAAAACATCTCTTTTTAAAATTAACATAGAACAAATTTTGGCTCTACACTATGGAATTTATAGTGGTAGTGAAAACAGCCTCATGCCAGAAATCTTCTCTGTGGTGCTGGAACCACAGAAAGAGATGAAACTCTTAAACTTTACTCCCTGTGCATCAACCCTTTCAAGCATATTTTAACTCTTAAAGAAAAAGAAGAATTAATATAGAGCTGGAGTCTGTCTTCTCCATCAGTGCACTTGAAAGAGGAAACACCTTCTTGAACATGTTTACACTGGACTAATCATATCCAGACAAGCTGGCCTAGAAGGGAGGCTTGACTGTTGCATGACTGATGCAGAAGCCAAGTGTCTGGTCTCCACATCCCTTGCAAGAAATACTGGGAATACACAAGTCCAAAAGCTACAGCATGAAAGACAGAAGACCAAAGCAATCCTTATTCTGGATAGAAATCTATCATAAACTTGGACTCAAGGACATTGAGTGAGCAGCAGGAGTGTCTTGGCTGATGTTAAACATCTGTCTGCCTTGCAACATGATGATACTCATCAGTCAGTAGAGACTTGAGACTCACTGTAATACAAAGAAATTCTGCAACCAATTTCAGCAGATCAGGTATTCCAAAGTTTCGGATAAGCGTCTGTGTGACCACAACAACATTGCTGCAAGAAATTAATTTTATTATCATATACAAAATTAAGATAAAATTATTTTGCTTGGTGACAATTTTAGCGTAAACCAGTAACTCCTCTTTAGCTTTTGAAGTATGCCTCAGGAAACTACAATTTTTTACAGTCCCAGCCAATCCCTTATCTCATGAATTCTATCCATTACAGAATTTTATCTTTTCTCTATACTTAAATAATTAACTGAAGTAGGTATAGCTAGAAGAGACCCCCTTCTGAATTTTGTGCTAGAAAAAAAGGAAAGCTATACACATAAATGCCCAAAGAAAAGTTTACCACAATTTTTTCAGGGTGGGTCATGTTAGCTGATTAACACCTGTGTGGACAGACACAAAAAATGAAGGACTGATTTCCGGTGTGCGTGTTTCTACACAACAGCATTTTATTTCTGCCAGAGGAAAACTGCTCTGAACTCATATTTTAGAATAGTATGTCCTTATTTTTATTCAGAGCTAACATGGCCTTAATTCATTCTAACTCAGTGCTGGTTGGGAATAGAACTAAACCATGCTACTAAAATGAGTACCATTCCAAAGAGACAGTTTTCACACACTGGTTTCTTTTCTTGCGACTTAGCTAATCCTCTTAAAATTCTAAGTTTATTATTAGCTTGAGTTTGTATTCTTGAGCATACCCATATAATTAAGATGCAGTTTACTCTGAGCTAAGATGAAAATTAAGAATAAGAATACAAGTTCACATGCACCAGTTTGAAAAATTAATTACCTTCCAAATTCTAATGAAGATTAATTCTCTGACTTAAAAGCTCAATGTGGAACAGAATGGTTTGAAGCTTCCAATTACAAACTTCAAGCACATTTCAAAAACATAGCAAGTTGTGAGAATAATTTAGACTGCGTGAGAGAAAAAATATTTACTGCCAACTAAAATGTAGCAAGTTTAAGTGTCTGACTTCTACCATATGCAGCACAGTGGGACCCAGACTGAAAGAAGTCTGTATACAGCAGTCTGTATATGACAGCAAGGGCTGCTTAGGCCAAGTCTTTCCATTTCACTGCTACCCATTGTGCTTTACCAGAATTTCTAGGCATTTGTAATTAAAATCTAGTACAACATTGGCAACTCCACTAGAGTGCCAAGAAGTTCCCATAGCCTGTAAAAGAGAGAACATAAGTGTAGCAAATAAATGGACTCCCGTGTGCTGTCACAAGTCCTCACAATGCTTACTTATCAGGTCCACAGCGTCACTGTACTGCCTCCAGTTTTGAAAAAATGTTTCATCAAAGAAGGGCTTTGTTTTATTTTTCCTTAATAGTTCCATTCCATCTTGTTTGTTGATCTTTATTCCACAACTAAGATTTCACCTAGCAACTCAGCCCAAATATCCCAAGGAATGGAAATGCTACTTTTCTCTCACAGGGCTGGAGTTTCCTTCTGCTCAAGGAAGCACTGGGAGAAACTCAGTAGCATAAAGCTAACACTTAATAGCATAATGCTGATACTAACATAGGTATACTGCTTTTGAAATGTGCATACCAGCCTTCCCTTTACGTGATGCCAAAGTAAAGACAAAATGAAATATGAAGCCCTACTCAGGTTGAAACAAAGCTTTTTCCTTCCACATTTCTTACTGTGCTCTACTTCAGCATGCAAATTTTATCAGGATTTTACAGACCTGGGTTTTCACAATTTACTGTCACATACAAGGAATAAACTAGAGCAAAAATTGTAGCCAATCTCTGTAAAACTCTTTTCCACTGTCATTGCAAAGCACCTGTAACCCCACAGCACTGCAGTGACTCTAATGTTCTGCCATGGCCTCGGGCAAGCTCGTGCCCAGGAGTGCTGTCCCCTGGCTGCCAACACAGCCCCAAGTGCTCTGCCTTGCAGGGACAGGTCCTTGCCCCTCTGTACAGTCTGGGACCATTTAGGGGTGAGGGAAAGAGGGGCCTTCTGCCCTATGAGGTCTCCAGACTGATATAAGGAAAGCTTTGAGTGCTGATTTAAAAATTTTTAAAAAATTAAATAAATAATATGGAACGCCATTAATTCATATGTAAGACTTTTTTTATCTTTCTTCATACCTGGATGAGAAAGAATATTGGAAATATGCTATTTATTCAATTCTATATTGTATGTCAAAATATAACATATAATATCATTCTATTATATACAATAATTTTATTTTATCATAATTTTATTGTAATTAACAATATATTATTTTATGTAATTATATAATTAACTTTATAACATTTTGATTTAATATATATCAATACATAATTTCTTAGCAGTGCTGGAGTACAAAGCAAAAAGGATGTATTTGATTCCTCTGCAGTTTCTTTCTTGTAGCTGGTTTACTTCACAGCTACGAAGCTCACACTCCTGTGAAAATAATTGCTGAGATCACAATGAGCTAACAGCATGTTTATCTATTTACAAATACCAAAAAGCAATATCTAAAAGTCAATTATTTAAAACACAGTTACTTGTGGGCTTTCCAATAAGAAAAACAAGTGTCAAATATTTTTAACTGTTTATGGGTGTAGTGCTGTTCAAAAGCTGGTATTCTTAGCTTCTGCTTGACCTGGATTGTGTCTCAAACATGGTTCTAGTTAGTGTCTCATATGGACAACATGGAAACAGAGAGTAAAATTTCCAGTGATCAAGTAAGTATGATTCTCCACAGAATCTAACCATCAGACAAGGAGTGAATTCTTGTGGCAGGAAGAAAGTATGATGCCCATAAGATTTTCATTTCCTTGTCCCCAAATGCCAGCCTCAATTCAGAACAAGTGACAGCTGCTTCCCATCTAAAAACCTTTAAACATAAAATACTTTATTTTCAAAGCAAACCTATAAACCTGGTTAAACAAAAACATGGTACTTGCAGAATCTTAAGATTGCCTGTACTCAACAACGACAAAACCTATTACTGTCCAGGCTTGTAGGTTAACTCTCAAGAGAGGCAATGCAAGTTCTTGTCACAGCTATGCGTTTTCTCAGTTCAGTGAACAGTGGTCCATGTGTTTAGCAAAATCAATTTCCATGATCTTCATGGTGCTAATGAGAACTTCCTTTTCTGGTCACATTTTTACTTGTTTTGGTCAATTCTAGAAATTAATGACTAGATAGTAAAAAAAAATTGTCAAACATTTTGAGATCAAGATAATGTTGGATGAAGCCACCCTACAACATAACATTACTGACTATAAATTTTGTTGCAATGCCATTTTTCTTTAGAGTCAATAGCAGCTAAGAATTAATTAATATTTCTCTCCTGATGTTAAAGATTAAAGTAAAAAATACCAGGGCCTACCTTTCTAATAATCTATTCCACCCTTTTGCATCTGCCTTCAGTGCCAAATACTACTTCAAAATTCTGCTGTGATATCTGGTCTCCATGTTTTTCTATCATACTTGCAACACCAAACTATATTCTGCAAAGACATCATTTAATAGTAGTTTTCTCTGATCTTGCTTGTTGATTTTTGTCACCAGTTTCTCACCACCTGATTAATCAGAGCAGCCTACTGGATTTATGCCAGGTGACCTCTCCTTCCACATAAACTATATTCACTCAGTTTATTTTGCTCATTTTCTTAAGGTTGTCTCATTTCCTCTATCATCATCATCCTTGATGTTCCCTTCCAAAACTATGTCTACCTTATGCTTTCCCGTATACATGGGACTGTGATAACTTTGATATATTTGTTAAATGCAGTAAATTGCAACTGAAATTTCTCATCTTAAAAATACCACATTATATAACACCCAAAATAGGAATTCTTGCCACCTGAGTTGTATCTTAGCAATTCTGGCACAGGTTTGAAAAAAGACAAATAATTCTAATGCAGAAATACTGAGCTCATGATCCCAAATCCTTTTTTATACTACAAAATACACAATACAGAAGAATACATGAAAAAACCTTTTATATGCTGTATTATATTATATACCTATACTGAAATTGAACACACTTGAATTAAAATGGTTTGATTTCCCAGGTAAGTCTACCTTCCCTAGCAGCACTTCTCTCTGAACAGGGGCACACCATGCCTTCTGGAGAACACCCACCTAAACAGCTGTGATTTACATCCTGCTATGATGATCTCAATTTAGTTGTAAGGGGAGGTTTTGCACAGTAGACACAGTACCAACAGCAAGCCTGAAATTCTTCTTTTACCTCTTGACCATCAGACATCCACCTGGTGGGCACGGATTTGAGTCAGGATGAGTTACATGGAAATGAGAACAGAATCTTACCTTCTGGCCTTTGATCCCAGGGGGGCCTGGAAAGCCCATGGGGCCTGGATCTCCCTATACAACAAAAACATCCAGAATCAACCCAGTTTTTCACTGGAACATGATCCAGGTTTATAAACATGTAGCCCTTAATATCTTTGCACTTTTGGACATTTGGTATGGAGAACTAGCTAATGTTTGAATTTTATTACTTTTTTAGAGGAAGAAAATTGAAAAGGCAACAGTTCCTCAGTTGCAGCCATTGTGTGAAACACATCTGCTCCTGCAACATGGCCAAATCTTGGCTGGAACAGACTTAGTTCACAACCTCATGACATTTACTTTTAACCAACATAAACAGGAGTGAAGAAGCCATACAGTTCTTGAGGCAACCCTTTCCTCAAAAACAAGTGGTTTCACCTCAAATTAATAAATATATTACTACTACTACTACTACCCTACTACTGTGTACTGATTGTGTTAATGTTATGCCAACAATCCTCAGCCAAGAGCCAGGACACCATTGTGGCACGTGCTGTGCAAAACACAGCATAAATCTCATCTGTGTGAAAGACAACTTGAGAGATGCATATGGACAAAAAGACTATGGGGGAACACTGCTATTCTCTTCAGGTTCTTTAAACCTCACAACAACACAATGGTATATGGGAATAAGAATCAGAGCATCTCAAATGTTGGGGAAATGGAAAAAGTACACAAATTTTTATGATTGTTGCAGATGGGGAAAGAGGGAAGGTTTTTTCAGCTGTTTCTTCTTACTCAGGACTGACAGCAAAGAGATTCACTCTTTCATTATTAGTGCTCAAATTCAAATCCAGTAAGTCAAGGAATGCATCCTGGAAGTGAGTTATGGTCCAAGTAAATATAACTCCATTAACTAGCGTGAGCAAATTTGACTTGAGGGGAAAAATTAATGCAAAATAATGGGAACTATGAAAATGCATATCAATCTCATAATTTTGGATTATAGATTCAGTCTCCATGTATTTAAGGATAGTCATACAAATATACGGGTGGGCTTTAGACTGTTCTACGGCTGCTTGGGTTCATGCCAGAGAACACAGCTTGGGTTTCAGGCAGCCATGTACAGCTCACCACACTATGATCTGATTGCCATAAAGCTGGCTAGATCAAAATAATGCTATTTCTATAGAAGCTGCACTGCAATTTCTCATCAGTGCATCAACAGATATTTCTGAATTTTCTTCACAGCAGCCCTTAAACGCTGACAACACATATATTAGCAAATTTTAGGGTTTGACAGCACACGTGCACTAAAAAATAAGTCATGTACAGATCAGCTAGTAAACCATGATAATTTGTTACTGTTTTTTCATAAAAGAGAGCAGTCCTTGACTCTTATAGTGCTTCCTACTTGGCACAAATATTCCACAATTGATCTACTTATAATAATAATCATCATAATAATAAAACTTAGCATAAATGCAAGATATTCTTAAACATACAGCATAGGCTAATACATTAGAATGCAAACATCCAATTACATTTTAAGTGTTATCATTGTGTCAATCTAAAATGAAACAATCACAAGCTTTGAAGCCTACAATTGCTATGAAGAATGTGATATTTGAATATTTATGCTTAAATACTTTGGGCATAGACAACTAGTTTGGCTAAAGTGGCTTAGGAGGCAGTAGCAGGAAAAACATTGATATAAAAGGAGAAATTTTAGCATCAAGAGCCTGTTTTAAAAAGCAGTTAAATACAATACAACGTGCTGTAATGTGTGCACGTGTCATCACCAAATTCTGTTTTACATAACTTTCTGGAATAATGCAAAGTCCTAAGGAAATCTGGAATCTATACCTTGTTATATCAGTGTGAATCTAATCCAATTTCATTGTTCTAAAAGTACCTACATTTTATTTTTGTAAATTATATCAAATACATAATTTAAGTTTCAGCATTTAATACATATTTTTAATTTTCCTTGGATTCACTATGTCACCTGTGTCTACAGTGGTCAGTCTAACATAATTAACTGTTAAAATACACCAGTGGCAAAGTAAATACAAAGCATTTTGCTGTTATAATTCGTCTGAATATTAAACAAGACTTCACAGAAGAATGGGACAGACAAAACATTTTTCTATAATTAAGGAAATAATACCTTTTCTCCGCATTTTGCCCGTCCTGGAGAGAATCCTGGGTCTCCTTTAAGGCCCTGTTGCAGAGAAATTAAACTCAATAATACCATTGGGAGCGAATTTCTAATAGTATATGCTAAAACAAGTATTCTCAACTGTTACAGCAAGAGGAGTAAAATATAAGTGTCCTTCCTATTATAGATACTTTTCTCATAACTTTTTCAGTAAAGAACTAGGAAAAAAATAAAACAGTGCAGGTTCACACAGAAATGAGGTTTACATTTTCCAAATTTTGTGAAGTCACAAAATTTTGAAAAGTAGATTTCTTGGTAAATCCAAGCAGGATTAGAGGAGATGCTCCAGCCAAATTGCTCTGCTCATGTCTTCATCACTTCAGGACACCCACTGTTCCTTCAGCAATGTGCAGCATTATCAGGCTGTATTACTGCATGTATTACTCCATAACCTTGAACAGGTTTCCTCAGGCTCAGCCTTCCCACAGTGCCAGAATCCAAAAAATTAGATTTTCTTAAGTAATCTATTATTCAAAGACCAAAGAATAAAGCCAAGTCTCATGGATACCCCTACATTACTTTAAAAACACCCCCAATTGTTTATCAGGAATTAAATACTGAGGGATTGGCTATTGGCTGGAACTGCTGGCACTCACTCAGGGCTGGATGCTTTGCTGCAAGGATATTAACACTGTGCCATGCTTCAGAAGCAACTGCATAAAGGATCCTTCAGCAAAAGAGGGAAAAATTCATGCACCTTAAAGACAGAATAAAATTCTGCCTCCATTTACTGCTAGAAAATTCTTGCAACTCATCTGTCACGTTTTAATATCAAACAAGAATGTTTCAATGTGGTCAACTGGAACTTCGTAGCCAAAACTTCAGGAGCACCTGGTTAACTTTTATTTAGAGAAAACCACTTTAGAATACACTTGTATTGAAAGGATAACTTATAACCTAACAGAAATTAAAGAGATCATGAAGCACCTAGTAATATATATATATTTTTATATTTAAATAAAATAAATATAGGTACATACACATATGTACAATTCCTTCTATTCTTAACTCACGGACAGAGCTACAGAACTGATCAAAATTATCATCCAGTGGAGGGAGAAAATAAATTATAAAACAAAGCCTAGGAGTAATTGGTTACAGTTGTTTTCCTAGCAATATATCCTATTATATAGCCAGCATAAATATAGTAAAAATTAATTCTCTATCTTTAATTGTCCCCATTGAACTACAAAAACACACACAGAAACCAGAGTCATTTAGTTTTACAGAATTTGGCACTGAAAGCTTTATTAAATTTCTTTTTATGTCCTCAAGCGGATTTTAGCACCTGTCATGACATGTCAGATTCCTGCAATTAGGAATCATACTAAACAAATCATGGTGCTGCCTTTTTCCTAACAGATCTATCAAGTTGTTCAAACTAAATATGAGTTGAAGGCATTCTGCAACTGCACAAATCTGTCAAATCTATTTAAAGGGCCTATGTTGAAGGTGTTATTTGAGCTTCCAGTTCAGTATTTGGTCTTTGACTTTAAATATCACTTCCATAAATATTCAGAAAATTATTCTAGCATATTAATTAATAATATTGTCTAAGATATTATAACATTTCAATATCAAAGGTTGGACATGGACAATAAAATAGTGATTTATAGGGACTGACAGTCTACATTTTTCCTTTTTATTTTTTTTAAGCAAAGCAAAAGCTCACAGCAATTAAGCATTTAAACCTCAGTTTATCAGAGGCTGAGCTGATTTGTATGAACTCTTTTGGGAAGTGCAGATTACTTGCAAAGATAACCATTTCCAAGTCATCATTCTGCATACGTAGGTGATTTTCTTTCCACTGAGTAATCTGCTATTTTGTCTTGATATGAAGTTCAATTTGATTGATTACATTTAATTAAAATATGTTTATAGTAGCAGTCTCCACCTGTAAACAAAAGAAGGCAGTTCTAGGACTTCCAAAAAGTCATTAAAAATTTCATGTATTTACACGGCACCATGGATAAATAAACTCACCTTGGGACCTGGTAATCCTGGCAAACCTGGGTTACCATGTGGTCCTGGAATACCCTATTAAAAAAACCCAAACAAATGAAGGAGAACGACAAACGGGATAACTCAGTACACGACTGAACAAATGTGAATGGTTTGCAGAGATTAATTTTACTGCATCTTTCTTGCTTTTAGAATCATTGGTTAGGATTTTCAAAGTATTCATATGAAATAAACATACACATCTTTGTAAAAATTAGAAGTGAAGGTGAGTAACCCCCTTTCTTTTACAAATCTCAATTTCTCTTGTTTTCTCAGGTAATTCTTAAGAGGTGTTTGGCACAGTCACTGCAATGTTGCTCTCCAGCTACAACGCTTGACAGCATGGAATAAAGTCAATAAAATAACATTATGAGGTACCCAGCTATACACTGCAAATGGAAGGAAGTGGATGAGTTCTTAGTGACTTAAAAGGTGCCTCAAAGCAATGTATCCCACATGCTTTTAAAAAAAAGTAAATCACAGGTTCTCCTGATTCTCCCATAACTAGTGTAGAAAATGGACTTGTTACTAACATAATTCAGCTTAACCTGATCCAGGAACAGAGTAAGCTATCAAGACTATCTGTGCTTTCCAGTGTAAGTGTCTCTTCCTGGAACACATTCAGCAATCTTCACTCCTTGAAAAACTGCACATTTGGGAAAATATTTGTTGCAATGGCTGTCAGCAGCTACTCATCTTCCAAGTACTGAAGGACCAAACTGGCAAAAATCTGTCCCTGGTAAACTGGCAACAAAGCTTCCGTTGAATTCACTAAGGCTAAAATTCTTCCAAAATCCTCATGCCAAATATAATAAGAATACTTTTTAACTTTCTTGTATATTCAGTGGTCTAACAACAGATTAACTCGGTGTTTATCTTTCCGCCACACGAGGCTGCATTTACCAATTACACCTTGCAGTAACACTGAAAGCTGTATCTCTTAAGTGCTCCCTCTCACTAATGACAACGTTGACATAACTCCACAGAAATGCTAATCCCATGTGCTGTTTGAGAGATTAATTTGCACACTGGCAACTTTGGAGGCACTCTCAGGGATTTAGAAGAAAGGAAACAAACAGCAAGTGCCAACATAGCTGCAGTGCCACAGTGCGCTACTCTCACTGCCTGCAGTATTACTCTCCAGGGTACAGTACTGGAATACAGAAATGCAAAATTATTCTCATGGAATGAGGTACAAAACATTGTCAAATGTGGAGTTCTTTACCACAGAATTGCAGGGATCAAAATCAGTTCTCAGTGGAAATCTCTAAGCATTAATCATTCACGCCCCAAGTATCCCAACCATGTGGCTCTCTGTCAGGATCAGGTTTGGACACACAGTCTAATGAAGGCCCAGGCAATGCAGCTCTGCACTCTGCTGTTTTCCTTTGACACCTTGAGTTACATTTCAGGATCACAAAGGCAGCTCATGGAAAGGAAAACATAAGTCAAAGGGCAGGCTTCTAGATGTGGAAATGAACTTTGAGTCAACAAAGTTTTCACAGGCTTTTTGGCTCACAAACTCCTGTCGTAATACACATCATCACTAGCTGCACCTGCCTGAATCTGTAAGTATTGTACAAACTAAGGAACATTGATATTTCAAGACCATTTATTTTTTATTGAATGGTTTTACAGACTTGCCTGGCCCATACATTTTAAACTCAGAACTACTGGTAAATGTTCATCTCAGCTATTTTCATACTTTTCCAGGCACCTTACTGTAAGCTGTCCCTTCACATTGGAAAGCATATCCTACACAATAGTTAATCCAGAGAACTCACACTGTAGAGCACTGGACTTCTAAGTACTCTATACCTGTAAAAAGACCTTTGGAAAAAAAAAATTCCAAACAAGTTGCAGCTGTGTAAGGGCAATATCACCAATAGGCATGGTTTTAATAATACTAACAGCCTCCTCTAAACCGAAGAACATTTCCCAATTGTGAGGATCTGCTTGAATATGTGAGGTCCTGCCTCTAATGCCAGACATATCCTTGCCACAGGCAGGGTGCAACATAAATAAACTGAGTTGTAAGAATTGTCAGCTCTTACATAGAAGGATCTAAGAAGTCATGAAGAGATGACTTTGAAGGAATGCTTTTCATTTTATACTTTTAAATGTGTCTCTTCTACTCCCTTGCCTCCAAAACGCTCAAAAGCATCAGTCTGGTGTTTGGCCTATTTGACCACTGCACTTCCTACCCATCAGGCCAAGTTTAGACCACCCTGCGCTGTGCTGGCTTTCAACAGGTATTGAGCAGGATCTTCTTTAAATATCCCTCAAAGGCTGAATCAAAACTCCTCCCACACATCTGCTGAGCCCAGATATGAGCGCCTCCCGTATCTCCCACTTTCGATCTGCCTTGATGAGGGCACTCCACCCACAACCTCTCACATCCCAACTACCACGGCCTGAAACCATCCCCACAACAAACCTTCATCTGCTCCCTCCAGCTGCCCTTCCCCTAAAACCCGCCCTGATCAACCACGACCTTGGGGACTGCTCAAGCAAATGGGTTTTGTACACAATTGCACAAACACAGATTCAGCCTCTTTTGCCTCAGCAGCTGACCTGAACAGCGGCCCAGGCCTGTCCCCGTTCATGGCACTGAGGGCACAGCTCACTGTGGCAAAGCCCGAGCTCTGCCCCAGGCACAGGCCAAGGCTGCCGGCCCTGCTCCTCTTGGGGTGCACCCACTCACACAGAATGAAACATTCCCTACTGTAGCTCATTTCTTTACCAAAACGCCCTGATACCAACCTATGATCAAGCTGCTGAAGCTCAAGAGATTCAAAGAGATTTTGGGGATTACTTTTACACACACACACTCCCCCCAACTCTGTCCTGCAGTGGTTAATTTTGTATCCTGAGCCTGCTCCTCTAGGGCTGTGACCTGCTTTGCTCAGTTCCCCTCACTCCAAAAACAAATGAATGTGACCTTAGATCGCAGCAGATGGGAGCAGCATGGAAAAACTAGAAATTAATACTGGGAGCAGCAAAAGCCAGGTACAAAAATAACAATGCTCTGTGTATGCACCCATACATGGAATTAACTACGCGGGAAGGTCACAGCAGGAGAAACTGTTTGTTTGTCTTGCTTTAACCTATCTGCCAAATGTTAACAATCAAACACTTTCATAATCACCAAGCATACTAATAGAGTTGAGAAAAACAAAATTATGCAAACTCCAATCTGATTATTGGTGACCTGCCTAGAGGTGCAGAAGAACATAGTTGTTTTACTCACCCGAGGACCTCTCTTCCCTGAAGGACCAGGTAAACCTGGAGGACCTGGAGGACCCTGGTGATAGAAAATCAAAGCAGTTGAGGCTAAAACCTGGCATAAGGACAGTATGACAACATAAGATAAGACCAGTTTCACTAACTGACAGCCCTGTGCTCGTGCTGACCTCCTCAATTTGAAAACCAATTCCGAAACTACAAGAAAGTGTGTTTTCAATCTGACTCCAAATCAGATTTCTGTTTAGAAAGTATCTTATATCAGAGAAATTTGAGTTAACAATCTGGAGAGTAACTTTTACTCAAGTGTATTGGTACTAAAGGAAGAAAAGACCTGATGAGGAAAGCAAGTGCAATATATTCTAAACAAAGGATACAGAATAATTAAGCCTTTTCAATAAGTATGCTGGCATGCCAAACATTTTAGAAAGCTTGGAATAACTGTGAAAAAATAAGATATCACCTTGCAGAAATGACAAATATGAAATAGAGAAAATAAAAGTGGACAAAATACTGTTCAAGGTTTCCTGTTAAAAGCTTCAACTAAGAATAACTGGTAGCACATTTGCCCTTCTATATAATGAATATCATTCTCTTTAAAGATAATGCAGACTTTTTAAGATGCTAGTATATGATCAAATGTACCTTTTGCAAATTAATTAGATTATTAGTCACCCTATTTGACAGTGTAACAGCCCCTGCATACCTAGTTGTTTTGAAACCTTTCCTTTCCTATATAATGACTTCTGTTCAGATTCGAAACCCCAGGATCTGCTTCATTGTACTCAAACACAAATGAGCACCCTAAACTAAAATCTGCACTACCTTATATTATATTTCACCTATCAAATTAGAGTCCTGCAGAGGGATGGGCTGTTCTTAAGGGTGAATTCAGCCTCATCCAAATGCCTGCACAGCAAGCCCCAGCTGTAACATGTACTTTCTGCAAGGGCATATGGGCATCAGGAAAGTCAGACCTCACAAAGCAGGTCAGTGGATGGTAGCAGTTTGGGGTTCAACCTGCTCTTCCACCCAGGCTTCCTCACACTCCCCTGCCCTGTATCTATGACACCCTCTAAGCTGAGACACCAGGGAAAACACTGAGTAGCACACTGCCCACCACCAAACAACAGTGCTGCCACCTGGCTGGAAGGAATACCCAGAAAACCACACGGGCCATTAGGGTGGCTGAAATGACCAACACGAAGGCTTTGCAAAACAGGAAAAAGATAAAAAAGGGAAATGAGGAAGGAAAAAAAGACAAACATTCTTGAGGGTTTTATTAGCAAGCAATATTTCATTAGGACAAAAGCCAGATTTTTAAAAAACTCCAGTTTTGAGTGATACTTCTTTTTCTTAGAAAGGTAATGTCACTGCAGACAAGACAGGGCTGATTATGGAATTTAGGCATCATCTAAGTAATTACATTAATTTGCCCAAAATACAGGCCACTTATGCACAGTTCTGGGAAAGTCACTGTTGTTCTGAGGAACTAAAAATATTCATTATTTCTTCTCCAATTAATCATAAGAAACGTAGGAGTTTAAATGTAGTTGGGAATATCTGCATGTCCATACATGCTGCATTAAGTCACGCTGAAACCCATACCTGCACTTCCCTCTGTGCAATTTAGAAGACAGAAACCTGTGTAACAGCCCTGGTCCTTAGATCAAACCATAACATGTCGTGCTTTTAGCATAGGACATTTCTCTATTTACTATGATTGCATAAATGCTCACTTGCATCCTTGTTTTTCTAAGTAGAAGGACCCCATGTTTTATAGCACAAGAAATGTAACAGAGAGACACATAGAAAACTCTTGACCTGGCATTCTTGTCCAGCTTGAAAAATGCACTTAAAAGGGCACAGAGAGCTCCCCACCCTGCCCTGCTGAAGCAGTATGTTTTTAGTATCTCCTCTCAAAATGTACGTCAAGAGATGCCTTTTGATTAGATAATTATCCTGGGACTACAAAAGAAAACATATTTTTTGTTAAGTGAAATAGTTGCAACTAGTGTGCATTCTTTTGTGATTTGTGTTCTTCTCTATGCCTGTTTCAGACATTTTATTAAAAATCCATTAATAGCTAAACCCCAGCATTTTCCTAATAGAAATCTGACTGAGTATTAATATCCCTGATCTTTTTTGCTGATTTATTAAATGAAGGCAGTGAGAACAGTTTTCCCTACGTGGCTTCTAATTTTTTTTTTTAAAAGACTATCTGCTTCCTTTGCAACAGAAAGCAAATAAACAAATGAGCACCCAAATCCAACCCACCCTTACTTTGATTACTCTAATTCAAACATAATTATCTCTTTTCATACAAAACCACAAAAAAAGGAAAATCTAATCACAACCAAGCCCTCAGAAATCCCTAAATGAAGCAGCAAAATATATTCTGAACTAGGCAGACAGGGATTAATAACACTTTCCCAGAGCATTTTAAAACAAAGTCAACTGTTGCAGATGAAGTATCTTATTCACAATAATAAGCAGCTAGCCCCAGCCACCCATATGTTTGATTAAAAAATTAAAAGACTCTTCTTAACTAGAGGATGTTAATCTTATGGTTCCAGCTCCCTGTGACTCAAGCAACATCTCTGTTGAGAGCAGACTTCATTAGAGCACACCTGAGTCTCCCTGGACATGCTTTCCCAGCTAGCAGTTACACGTTCTTCTATCCTGTGCATTTCTACAATCTGGGAAAGCAACTACAACTTCAAATCATTATGACTATTTTTATACTTGCTAGGAAGCTACTTAAGCCTCTCAGGCATCCGTGTAAACCACAGAAATCAACATCTGAGAGTGAGCCAATTTCTCTTAAACCAAGGAATAAGTCACTTGTTTGAATAGCTTTTATTCCAACTGCTGGAAACAGTAATTAAACAAACGTGAAGCAATTAGAAATGTTAATGTGATTTTTAGCATTTGATGCTTTAACCACCACTATTGAACAAAAAAACAAACAAAAGCTACTTTGTATAAATATTACAGATGCTAAATTTAAATTGTTTAACCAAATCAGTTTCCTTAAACCAGATCATTTGTACCTTAAGAAAGGTACTACAAATTACTGTCTTTAGGCATTGTAAAGATTTCATTTAGCTATTGAGCAAAGAAGCTCAAGTTCCAAGTAATCATTCCTTAATCCTGAAATAATAAAAGTAAATGCTACTCTTCCAGAAATTTTCATGGCCTTTCCAATGATCACTGGAATAAATGTAAGGAACTTTCCTAGACATGAAAAAACTTTCATTATTTTCCTAGATACTGAAGCCCTGTGTTATTTGTGTTACATGTGTTTTAAACTTATTACCCAGAAGTAATAGGAAACATCTCATTTACATATATCAAATCTCTAAGATTTCAGATGCACAGAAATAAATTCTGCATTAAGTAGTTAAAACTTCTACATAGGCACATGTTGATCTTCATGCCATTCAATATCTAAATCCTACCCGCTGAACTTTCTCTTGTGAAGCAACTATGAAGCTTCTCTTTAAGAGACTCTTGACTATATCTCAGCCACTCAAACTCAGCTCACCTCAAACTATTCTTTTTTAAAAGGCTAAGTTAAAGAAAAATACCAGTTTAACACCCAATTCATCAAATATGAGGGCAGGCAAAACAAAAAACCCATGAAACTTTCTGCAAATCATCACCAAAATACCTGCAGTGCAGCAGCGAGGTAAACAGCACCATCAGCTCCAAACCCATTCCAAAACATCGCCATGAGGAAATTTCACTTCTAACACTGCTAATACAGTTTGTTCTGTTGTTCAGATATCACTGATAAGCTGTTTTCCTTTTATCCCACCTAATATTTCCTTCTGTCTTGCCATACTTTATGTGAAGAGGCAAAATGCTACCTTTGTTAACTAGCCCTTTGCAAAACTACAACTGTATTCATTCCTAACTTTCATTACTAAAAATACTTTTGTTTTAAACTTTGCTCAGAATCATATTTTCTATAACTATACCTATATTACTGCAATCATCTGCAATTCTTTCCATCTGTCAACATCCTTTTTAAAGCTCCTCGTCTAAAGTTGAGGACACTTCCCCAAACTGCAACCTCATCATACCCAACCCAGTAGATAAAGTAGGCTGTCTCTGATACTTACCACTCCTCCTAATGTATCAAACATCACAGCAGAAAGATGTATTTATTCTCTACTGCTGTATGATACCAAGCTATGATCTTTATGACTGCCAAAGCAGTCACTCCCCCATAATCTATTTGTACTTTTAATTTCTGTATTATTGCACTAAATTTAATCCCATCAGTTTTAGACCATCTGGAATTCCGATCCTGTCACTCAGAATTATTCTTTGTGCTCTGTTTACCTTCTTTAAGCAGTTCATTCAGATATTAATTTAACTATTGAGCAACAAGGATTCTACCAAATTTGAATGTCCACCTATTATTTTAATTCTTGTTTCACTTGCATTTCACTGGAAACAATAAAATCTGCACATCTCTCTTTCCAAATGCCCTAGAGCAGGCAATCACCTCTGTATGATTAACCTCCTTTCTTTACAGTTGTGGAAGTCTCCTTTTCTCTTCAAGAATTCCTACAACAGTCAAAGCAATATCATCAACATCAGAGGAATATATATGGCTTTGGGTTATGGATTAAAGTTTGTCAGTACTGTGCAGAAGATAGGAAAACTGCAGCAGCTCTAGGGGAATTAAATTAGATGTTTGAATTTTTAACAATAACATTACTTTTTGCTACTAAAAATAAACCTGCAAGAATCTAAACTTTTTATCTGAATCATCAGATACTGAGATTTCTCAGCCTGGGCAGGGAAATGCATGAAAGGGATTAAGTGACCAATACATCCCCTGTGGTCAGGGGGAGCCTCAACAAGCAATTTTGTTAAACTGAGAAATAAGCAAAGAATGCAATAAACAGAAGTGTGAAAGGTTAGCTAAGAGAAAAATAAGTGAAATAAGCTACGTGTGAAAGGGAAGCTACTGCTGTTCATTTAGCACTACGTTTAGGATCTCTGAACTGCTCTGTCAATGTTCTTGCTCTCACACCTGATTTCAACAGAACATCTCATTCAGGAGTCAATTCCGCTTATTGCAGGGCTTGCCATTTCCCATTCCTCCGGGCAACAATCCCCGACTGCTTCTCTTTACCAGCTAGAGAGAACACCACCGTTTGGTCTTCTGCACTCCTCCTGTCTGGCAGAGGAATTTTTTTCTTGAAAATCCAGAAAGCTTTTCCAATAGAGGAAGCTAATTCCTAGGTAATTTCTCTTGGAAGGACACATCCTGTGCAGATGCAGTTACCCTACCAGCAAGTAGCATAAATCAGCTCTTCAGCTCCCATCAGTCTCTACTTTTACCAGTGTGGGACTATGCATCATGTTGTTGAAAACTACTTTAGGATTGTGCAGTGAAAAATATCAGCTTGAAAGTTAAACAGTTAAAAATACACACCACATTTTTGCAATCTTTGCAGATTGCCAATACTCTCTGCATCTCAAAAAGGAGTGGCTCATCAGATGAACAGAGCAGCATTCCCTTGAAAGAAGTGTTTCAGAAAATCTCACTATTCCAGTATAAACTCACTTTATACTTTTTGGGGGGGGTGGGGGGGGGTGGTCATTACAACTGCTAGAATTTTAATCAGGGCTTTAACAGTTTTGAAGAAATAGCTGTTCCCTTTTTATACCCTATCCATAAATGAAAGCCTGGATTCTGGAGTCCTGGTTTGCAGCGGTGGGCAAATTCCACAGCTGTGGGATCATGGAATATAAGAGGCCTAATTATACAAGGCAAGAATCAGTTCTGGTAGATGATTAAAAGCTAAAAGAAGCTGAGTAGTTTAAGAACCACAAAAGCTAGTTCTTGCCTGTCAATTCCAATAGAACGAACATTAACTTCTTAGTTCAAATCTTGAAAGAAGATTCAAACCAACCACAACATAGTAAAAGAAGTAAAAAGAGGGGGTTTCATGCCTCATCAGGACTTTTTGCTGCAAGGGAAGTTTTCAAGTTCTTCAGTGTTGCTTTTTTAGGCTCCACATTGCAAAGACTCCGTAAGTATTTATGTACTAAAGTGTTAGAGCCACACAACAAAAGCTGCGTTAATTCTCATCTTCTCTACATGGGAGGACTAGATAGAGAAAGCAGACCAAGATCATCTCCTCAAGTGTGAGGCCAACAGCAGTAGGAGATACTGAGCCACACAATCCCCATAGAGCACAACTCAGTTTCATGCAGAGACCTCCTCTCCCTTGGGTGTCAGCCTCTGTGGCGGAGCAGTGTTTCAGCTTTGCCTCTGTTCCAGCAGCTGCTCCTGGCCCTTCAGCCAATCTAGGGCCCACAAAGGTCTAGATTAACTTCCCAGCTCTGCCACAGATCTTTAAGAACCCGGGCATGTTATGTAAATTTCTGACCCAGCAAAACACCTCAGCACACCATATTCCCTACAGACTACAATCTGCATTCCTAAGCAAGACAAACTTCTCTATCCTCAGTATATAAGACAGGCACTGGAGATGGTAGCACAGACACCTCTGAACCCTTCAAATTAGCTGCCATCTTTGCCATTGCATGTGTAGTGTCTGTGTCCAGAAAAACCCAGAGCATTTGCTTGCAGTTTTTTAGTAATGCAAACAACCAACATTATCAGCAGCCATTTCTGTGACATGTGAAAAAGAGGGGATTTAACTTTCTTGGCTGTGACTGACTGAAATCACAACAAACAAGCTAAAATTACTTCCATTAGTAGTTACTAAACATCCTAAGGTCCAAAAATGGAAATTAACCTCATGCTGATGACAGCTACATGCCTAGTGATATGTCACATAAATACTATCATAAGGGACAAAGAGAGGAAAAAAGACTTGACTTTACAATCAAAAAACATTAAACACGAATACTTCTGGAATAGTGTGAATTACTTGTTAGCACATTTTTCAATTGTGTAAAAATTACTTTGTGCCTGGATCCTGTTTAGAGTAAAAACTGAACTTTTGAATAGGTTTTTAGTTAACTAGTTCAAGAAAAGAAATATTTCAGTGCCAAAAGAACAGACAATAAATTTATGGGCATATTCAAATATATATTAGGAGCTGCTTAACACATATCAAATTGCTTTCCAGTAAAGACCACACAGATGAACACTACAAAACCAAAAACAAACAAACAAGAAAAGTGAAATAATTTACTTCATGCTATAGTTTAAAAATTTTAACCAAAATCTCACACAAGCACAAGGCATGATCTATCATATTTCCCAGGTTAAGCAGGAATTGATGATCTTTCTGGTCTGTAGCTTCATATATATGGGCACGTTTTTATGTATTAAAAAGTTTATGAGCCTTGTGCACACAATAAGAAAGGATAAACGAGTTTCTATTAAAAACACTACTGTACCTTCGCAATTGTATCAAAAATCACTTACCCTGTGAACTGAAAAAAAAGTCTCAAAATCTTCTAAGACTGTTCTAAAAACCATTTTCTATGAAGGTTTGCTTGACCCCATAACCTTGAGTTATGAATGACTGCAGACCAGATTCTGCAGCTGGTCTATTTCTACAACTATAAATTTTGACAGCATTGCTCAACGAAGAAAACTGTGTCAGTCTTCCAAGCAGCCTGGTTGTTCTTTTTATGGACCAATACCTTTATCTGTGAACTGCATTAAATTAGCCTGCAATTTTATTAAGTAAGCAGTCTCTGTAATTAGTAGTTACAATCATCCAGCTGCATTCCAAATTTTAAAGAAGTCTGGGTTGCCTACAACTTCACCAGAATGTGAACATCTTGGATGTCTTTATATTCTTACAGTAAATATAACTATATGACACTTACACTAAAATGACATGTGAGAAAGAGACATATTTAAGGCAGACAAACATTTGTACAGTACAGCTGGGAGAAACTGCAGTCACAGCTTTGGCATGCTAGGAGAGGTTTCTTTCAAAGCCTCTGTTAAATGTATGCTGCTGCAATATAGTAAAAAGAGTAATAAAGATAACTTACAGGAGGTCCAGTTTCCCCCTTTGGACCTCTGACACTTCCCCTTTCAAACATTTTGCCAAGATCTTCATAGTCATAAGCATAATTATCAATACCATTTTCATAACTGTTTTTTGTATGGTAAGTCTCATCAGCATCAAATGCACCTTCCTGCCCCAGACAGAGTTGATTATCCAGAGGGAGCTCAGCAGGCAAACTGTACAGGGTTGTGTTCAAGATTTGCTGCTTTTTGTTTGGTTCATCTAAATGCTGTTTTGCTTTCTCCATTCCCTTGCCTTTAGTTTTATTCTGTTTTACAGGGGAGATCAGAGAAGGCTCACTACGTCTGCCTGCATCTTCTGTGGTTTTAGCCAAACTATTTGGGTATGATCCTGCAGGGGTTTTAGTGATATTTCTTTTTCTGCTCCTCTCCTGCTGCTGAAGAGCCAAATCGATGTTCTCCTGGAGTTCTGTTTGAGGCCAAGCTTCCAGCAACAGAGGTTTGGTCTCTGCAAACTTCCACACAGAGGCATTTCGTAACTCAATGTGAATCGGAGCAAGGTTGGTAACAGGCATGTTTGATACTTCTTTCCATCTATAAGGTGATATATCTTCCTGGTTTTCCTCATCAATGATCATCTTTGAAAAAACATCCAGCCCATGTGACACAAGTGAGGGCCCACGCAGAGATCGATAGGTTTCAGCCTGGCGACACTGTTGTTTCACATATTTACAATAGTTCGCAGAGGCTTCTGCAGAGGGAATAATATCAAGCTGACATATAACTCCTTCAAAGCCGACAGAGTGAGAGTTCATCCTTCCCAGGGTAAATACACCCTCTGAATCAAATGTCTCCACTTCAGAAAGCACTTCCCTACTGAAGTACTTGTTTCCACACTCAGCAAACATTGAGACAGTCTTGTCCCCAATGCCAATGGCAAATGAATGCCATTGTTCATTATGAACACAATAACCAAAGTACACGGGCTGCTTCCCTCCAGTGTACACTGCTACCTTTCTTGGGAGCAGCTGGACACCAAACTGCAGTTTGCTTTTGTTCCTGACACTGAAAAGAAAAGCATTGCTGACTCTGTAAGAGTACAACCCGACCAATAAGGTGAATTGATGCCCTAGATCTGATGGTATGACTTGAGTGACGGGGGACTCAACATGTGCATCATCACTTAGCACCACTCCTGATGCAGTTAGACGAACACCCTGAGGTAACAGAGAGGATGTTGAGGGCACTGCTGTCTCTGATGGCTCTTGGACATCTTTCACAAGGCCTAGCTGTTGAAGAACATCTATTGCTGTAAAAAGAAATAAAAGCACACTGTTGATTTAATTTACAAGCTCATACATTCAGATCCATATAAACAAACACACACACAACATTTTAACAAATCCGTACCTCTCAGATCCTTCACACAGTAAGGCCACCAAATCCCTAGTGAAAGGCACAAATCTTTCACATACATCAAGCAAATAAAGTCAGGGTAAAATTTCCATCTTAAAAAAACCAACAAAATGAAAGAAACACACAGAAAGGCCTACAAAATGCCCATTGCAGGTTAATTCACTAATGAAAGTGAAAAATCCTCATCTGGTCTCTTTGTACTTTTCAGTGATCAGTGAATACACTTTGGTTAGTTCCTTATTTATTTGGCTATTCCTGTCTACTCTTTGAGCAGAGAATTACTTTTTTTTTTTAAAGAAATCTTTTTCTTCTGCAAAAAAACCCTTCTGCAATAAATCCATGCTGTTCCTCTTGATCTGAAAAGTTCAAATCAAATCATTTGAGGGAAGGGTTGCTTTGTTTATAAGAAGGGACAAGCTATTTATAGCAGAGTAATGCCTCCTTCTCCTGCACAGTTTATTTGTTAGCGCCATGGATAAGGTGAACTCTGGAGCAGTGGAACTGGTGAGGAGCAAGGAAAGAGCAGAGTTGTCAGGACCCAAGGGTTAGTGCTCCTGCCTTCTGGCTCATTTCTCCCCCTAAAGTGCACAAGGTTGCAGCTACCATGACATTGAATTAAGAGTGCAGCCACAGCAGGAGACATTGAAGACACAGAACAGTCTGCTGTCCAGATGATTGATGTTCTATAGATTTGGCTTCAACATACAGAAATCTGGACAGATCTTCCTACAGGGAAGTGGTTTATTCACTGCTGGATTCTCTAGTTTCTCATTCAATGTGAGCCATGTCCTTTAAGCCTTTCCTCGATCTGAGCCATACCATGTCTCCTGGCTAAATATCTTCACCTAATGGGTAGAAACACAATTATCTATCATCCTGATAAACTGAAATCTGTCCTGGGATAAGAAATCAAAGCCACCTTTGGGTAAATCAAAAGCTGAAGGTGACTCAATTAATTTCTTATTGCCTAAATCAGATTTGGGCAAGTTGGAGTTGGTGGGCCTAGACACATTCCTTCAGGATGAATATGAAGATGCTGTTACATCCCTTTTGATGCAGCTGAAACACTACAAAGGCCTGAGTAGGAGCTAAACTACACATCCCCAGGAGCCTTTTTGTAGGCTCTCAAAACAAGATAGGATTTATGGCACTGATTGATTGATTGATTGATAAAACTGCCTGCCTGAGTGTTCATGAAAGGTGCAGAAATATTGCAGATGTTGAATCAAAATGCAGTCCTGGAAATATGGAACAAGATTAGGAACTAAAACATACGACATGGGAAAAGGCTGAAGGAACAACATTTGCTTGGCCTAGAGACAGGAAGGTTTGGGAAAATCTAAATAAAATTGTCCATTATCTGAATTGAGGCCATAGGGAAAACAGAGAAAAGCTGAAGAGTAACAGGCACAAGCTGCAGCACAAAAAAAATTCAGCTCTGTAGAAAGAAAAAGCTTTCCCACTCACTTTCAGCAAAAGTGGTTAAGTGATGGACCAGGGGGCAGAGACATTGGATAATCGCCATTCTTGGAGATTTTCTAAAGACCAGCTGGACAGGACCCAACAACCTGAAGTAACTGCAACATTCACCCTGACCTCAGCAGGAGCTAGGACCAGATGAGTTCATGGTCCCCTTAACCTAAATTTTTGGATGTTTTTTCACAAGAGGAAACTGAAGAGCAGTTTTCATAAACAGCATCATACATTTTCATCGCACAGCAGCATACAATATCATCTGTTTCCACCTCTCACTGGAACAACTTCAGTGAAACAACTATATCAAAAATTACTTGTGGTATCTAATAGTTGCACTGATCAAATAAACCTGGCTGGGCAGACACAGGCACTTTCTACAGCATTTGGCTGAGGCTGCTTTTGCTATGGACATGCATATAATGAGCGAATAAAACTATTATATGGCACAACAAAAATTTAGAGTAAAGAAGTTAAGGATTTGCTGCTATATTAAAAGAGCCACTGAAACAAATGGATGTTTACGCTTTAAGTGGAAAAAAAGGTCTCCTTTCCCAGTTTCCCTTTCTCTGTTTACTGAATGTATTCATAGCAAACTTTAAGAATAGACAGATGTTGGCTTAGTTTCAGTGGTAAATTACGAGAAGTGCCTGAGATTTCCTTGAGAGTGATTTATAAGTTGGAACCAAATGCATCAACCTGAATGCACTGTACATCTTGAAAATTAATTACACACCTTGTAGTGTTTCTAGTCATGTTTGAGATTCACTGACGGGCCAAGATTATCCTGGCGAGTAGCCAGTGCAGACAGAGGTACGGAGAAAGAGCATTTCTGCAGAAAGTCCTGTGCATGCCAATTTCTCAAGATGTTTTGCCTCAGAGCAATTAATTCACTATGGCTGTATTTTTATCTGTCAGGCTGATAACAGAGGTCAGGTTATAGTAGAGCTGTGAAGCACAGTGCATCCGCTAATGAACCACCACTCCTTCCCCGGACCCTGTCCTGCCTGCTCTCCTGTTGCTCTGGAGGAGAAAGCTGTGCTTGCACTGCCCTTGTGAAGGGAACCTGGGAAGAAACACAGGTCCTGAGCTCTGGGCAATGCAGTCTTACTCATGCAAATAGTCCCCAAGGCAGAATACACTGCTCCACTACTTCTGTGCAGTGGCTGGGCCAGCTGACTGCACAAGAACACTCCTAGTCCAGCCTAACGTTGTGTCTAAATATCACATCCTAACCTGAAATATTGGGCAAGTAGTTGTATTTTAAAAAAAATTTAGTTACTTATTTTTATTTAAAAACAGTAATAGATGTGATCTATCCAAAGTATTACAAATTCAAATCTAAAATAAAAAGCTTAGATTTGCTTAAAACAGTCAGCTTAAAGATCACATTCAAGCCTATCACTACTAAATGGCAAACTACAAGCAAAATTGCCAAATTTTTGGCAGTTCTGATTTGAAAAGAGCACAAAGTTTAAAAGTTATTTAAAAAAAATCATCAGTGAGCATGATGAGGAATAAGACTATTTTTTTCTTCTATTCTGCAAATAGATTTCTGCAAACAATAACAGGTCTCGAGAGAGCTAAAGACAAATAAATATTGTGTGAAAAATTACATCAAAAAAGTATAAAGGAATTATTCCTTGCTGACTTGCTGCCTGTTAACCCACTGTCAAGCCAAAAGGCTATTCCAAACTTTTTTGGCCAGTCATTTAATTTCTGGTCCAACAAGCATTTTTATTTTATTTTAAGGCTTTCAGAAGCTCTTGGCAGCACAGAGGATTTTGGGAGCAGGCAACCCTCTCATTGTTCCTCCCACCATGACAACCACTATTTGCTTTACCTATCAGTTGTCAGTTTTCTTTGTGTACCCATGTCTGCAAAACATCTGTCTTCACTTATTGCTTATTCAACCCATTAGTCCCCCAAATTGTAACAGCTCAGCTTCTTGAAGGAAAGGTTGTTTGGGGTTTTTGGTGTCAAGTACTTTTCTTCCACCCTCTAGGAGATCTTGAAAATTTCACAACCTTACTGCATCATAAGGGGAGCTAAAACCTAGCACCAGCTTTGGCAAAAAGCCTTCTGACCCTCGTGTGGCACAAAAATAACCCCACAAAGTAACTGGTGAGGGATGAAGGGATTTGACTATTGGATTGTTTCACACACATATTCCATTCAGTCCCTCTTGTTCATTTCCCACGTTGCTCCGTACTCACAACTACTCAGAAGGCAGGATCTCTGAGATGTTCTCCCTGTTTCAGCAATCTTAGTACACACATTTCTTCCTTTCCCTTTTCCAGTGTGGATAAGGGAAAAGACAAGGGTCATTCATCAATCAGTTCCATCAGAACCAAGAGTAATTACTCATGAGATCACCCATTTTCTAGGTGATGGTGCATCTGCAACTGCATACATTAAGATACCTGGCTGCAACAAATGCTCTCCTGCATGACAGATCAGAGGACTGGCATAGGAAAGCCAGCAAGACACATTGATTGTGTGTGTCCACTCAAAGTACTGCTCCTAAAGACTGAGACTGTATCTTTATATATACTTCACTGAACATGATTTATAGCATATCAGACTGCACAACGTGTATCTTCTCAGGTAAAGCATGCAGAGGCTGTCTCCTCAACTCAGGAGAGAAGGCAGGTTAATTAGCTAGCATCTTCGTGTTTGGCAGAATACAGGTTTTTTCAAAATACAACTGCCAAGGAAGTTTAAAAACCAAAGTGTTAACACATTCCTAATGGGCACACAATCCTGTTCTTGGACAAACACTAAGTACCACAAATGCAATAATGCAGCTCTGCAGCTTATATACTGAAACTGAAGGATATACTTGAAATGCTCTTTTTTTTTTTTTTTGAGGTTTCCTTCTCTGAACTGCTTTTTCAAACTTTGTTCACACACTGTGCAAATAAAGTGCAAGAGGAACCCAATTCACTCATGGGAAGAAAGTTGCATCAAGGTTCAATGCATCATTTTGATCATTTTAAGCATTTAAAGAAAATAAATTCATGTATGGCACTTGTGCATCAAGGATGGAGAAGACTTTCCGTTCAGTAAGGCTTCTCATACGGCTATCTAGAAATTCTACTGAATAACAAAAATAACAATTAAAACAAAATAGTAATAGAAAAAAGAAGGAAACTCTTTCATCTGCTAGTAACAAAATAAAAAAGAATTCAGTATAAGCATGTTGAGAGTGGAGGCTTTACCCCATTTCTGCAAAGCTCTGTGCAGAGGCATTCTCAACCAAGAGGCAGGTAAGACTCGGTCTCCACCCACTCCCCTGTGATGCTGCACCCCCAGTCCTGCTTTCACAGTCCTCGTCTTCAGGTTCAGTAGAAAAGCAATTCTCAGGCTGAGAGTCATGAGAAGTGAGAGTAAACATCTCTACAGAGGAGGAGGGTGGGCCGGAGGGACGAAGGCACTCAAATTGTCACCACACAGCTGTCTCGGGCATCCCTCACCTGCTCCCACTACACCAGGAAATTGCAAACTGTCTCCCTAAAACTGCCTCTTCCCTTTCCATCCCAGCAGGCCTGGAGCAAGGCAGGCCACACACATCTAACAGTCCTGCCCCTCCTCCAGTGAGAACTTGGCTCAGCTATTATAAAAAGTCAGGAAAATCCCATCATCGCAAAAGCATATGGCCCCCATTGAGCTGGATGTGAAAAATCAACAACCCGTCTTACCAGGCAAGCAATGGGCAACACTGGAGGGCACAACTACAAAGGCAATGGGGGGGAAGCAAAACAAAGAATCTACAACTGAAGGGAAAATCAAGCTTTGCCAATCTCTGGGAATGACAAACAGGAAAAATACATTGGTGAGAATAATGGTGGGAAGCTGCTGAGATATCCCAAAGGGCTCTAGCAAAACATTATCAAGAATGAATCTTGTCTTAACCACGCAACCCATCTGTTTGTATTCAGATGAGTATTTGCAGTTACACACTCAGCAGCCAAGGCTGACCTACTTTGCGCTTCACCTGTACACCACAGACAGTGCTGGAGAACTGATGCTGCCACTCCCATGGCAAATAAGAAGTGACTAAATGGCACGTTAGCCTCCACCACTTCGGAACGCTATCATTCCCACAGCAGTCTCCAGAGCAAGCTGCACATCTGGTGCTGTTATAACAGCTGGCAGGTTAAAAAAGAAACTAAAAACAAGACAACCCTATTTCCTCACAACATCTGCATCCAAATGCAAAACCAAACAAATACCAAATTTCCCATTTTGATTTAGCCATGCCAGCCTTTATTATGCACAGTGGTTTGCCTGCCTTAAGTGCAAAGGTAACTCAGTCACAGCTTGCCACCCCCAAGGACACCCACTTGCAGTGAAGACACAATCAAAGCCTTTTCACTGTACAAGGCTTCTTTTTTATGAAGACATTGTTTAAATATGTAAGCCATTTCATAGACAGAAAATCTGAGTAATTTTCAAAAGGTCATCTTTTCCAAACTGGCACTTTAAACTTTTGCTCTCATTATGCTGTAATTGGTATTTTCTTTAAGTCATATGAATTAATGAACTGAACCTAAAGTCACAAGTAACAACAGTCATTTACTCTTTTCATCTACTAATGTATTATACAAATGTCTTGTTATAAACAAAGCATTCTCACCTTGTTTGGGTACTTGTGCAACACCCACAGCTATACATGTTGCAATAAAAAGGAGAGCTTTCCTAGAAGAGAAAGAAAGGAAAAAAAAAATATGTGAGAAAACATCTATAGTTTCAGAACTCCAAGGAATTAGAAACCTGATTCAAGATCCAAATGGCAGGATACCACTGACTTCAGCAAGTCCTGAATCAAAGCCATCACACTGTACAACTTTCCACTGATACTGAGAAGGCGTTTCACACAAAGATCGAGGTTGTGTATGCCCTAATACATAGCAGATATATTTTACACTGGTTTTTATTAATAAAATGACTGCATCTGCTTTATATTTTCTTACAGGAGCTTTCAAATATGAATGCTGCTATGTAGTAAATTTCTTCCTGGAAAGAAAAAAATGTTACCATAAAGAAACCATAAAATAAATGACAAGTTAATTCCTGTAGAGATCAGTAGATACTTTAGATACTTTTGACCTCCTATCAGTCTTCTCACTACGTCACATCATCTTCCCATAAGTGAAAATGTTGTGTAAAACTTTCGTTCTTGTATTATAAAATTTTATCATGCTACAAACAAGCCATTCTCTTCACAAAGTAAAAAAAGTCCTGTCGCATTTCAACTTAAAACTCCACACTCATGTAGAAAAGTGTGATATTGATAGCTATCATAGGCTCACTGCCCTTGTTTCAGTCAGGGAGATAATTTTCTTCTTAGTAGCTGGTGGAGTGCTGTGTTTTGGATTTAGTATGAAAATAATGGTGATAGTACACTGATGTTTCAGTTGTTCCAACAAACATATATAAGATTGATCTAGATTATGTGCTCAAAATTCACTTTAAAAATGCTGAATGCTGTACAGACTACATTTTTACTGTGATTAAAAACGCATTGTCTGCTGTTTTTTAATTATTGTATTAGCCAGATTAACATCTAATCACTCTCTTATCAGTGACTGAATCTTTTAATAAATGCGAAATACATTTTCTGTTAATGTCGGACAACCAGGCACAGATGCATGTAACAATTACAGTAACCTCTATTTACTCAGTTCTAAGAAGTATTTCAAAAATATCAGAAATATAGTTCTGATACTAACAACTCACACTCAAGCCCCAGCTCAAGCCTCTTGCTCATTAATGTATGTAACCTCAGCGATTTTTCATAATATGGAATGCTAGAGTGACTAAAAATGTTTCCTGGACCAGGTCAGAGAGCACTTGAGTTTCTGGAATCAAGTGTATTTGAAAGTAACATAGCACAAATAACTTTGTGTCACCTAATTTGGCACCTAATTAGTCAGATTTTCACATAAAAAAAAAGGTAGAAAGAAAAAACAACCACTTTTTATAGGAACATATGGTTTAAACAGAAAGAAAATATATATATGTTATGTATCAGTATATGGTATGTATAAGTACATATGCATACACACACATACAGCAGTATTTAGTGAAAAGTCTTACTAATTCTTTAAAGAGTTCAGAATTTAAACATTTCAGAAACATCCAAGTGCATGAAAACAACAAAGCAATAACCTGGTTTTATCAAGTGGATTTGTATATTGTGAGAGCTTAAGTTTTGGCAAACAGAACAAAAGAATAACTTAGGAACAATAAGGCATGATAGTCATCATTGCCACCGAAAAATGGTAGATACATCATGTCTTTGAGAAGAAAATGCACAGAACATATAGGATATTCAAAAATATGCATCAGTGCTTCAGCTCTGATCACAGAGGGAGGGAAAGGTGGAACTACGCCTTACACATCCCCACATGCCTGTAGGGGCATGTTCTTTAATTAACCACCACTACAGTCCCTAGCTATTCCTCCCTTCAAGCCTCCCCCTGCTACAGCCATGAAATGTCTACTGGAGCAGTTCTGCCACTCCCAAAAAAGACCCAACACCGACTGTTATCCAAACAGCTCATCTACTACAGGACACTCACTTCAACTTTTTCAGAGTTCTAAAGACCAGAATTCAAGTTCAAAGTTTCTGCATCACATCATCTTTTGATCAAGTGAGAAGCTCAGTTACAAGATACAGCTGTGCCAGAAAGAAAGTCCATGCATTGCACTGTATCAGCTGAAACTCAGGACAACCCTTTATTTGACACTTATTATTGTCAAAGGTGCAAAATGGATTTGCCACTAAAAATCACATAAAATATTTTATCTAGCTACAAAATACAGATGCTCAAAGGACCCCAGAGCCCAAAAAACAAAGATGACTCCTCTAATAATTACAACAGCCTCTTCTAATACACCAGCCAGGTACAAAACTGTGTGTGTCAGGAACCTGCCTCTAACTTCCCAGCAAACTTTGTAGGAAAGCAAGAAATTCCAAAATGTTCCCAAGGCTGTAAATTGCACAGATGTAACTGGATATACAGAAACATTTAGTGAGAAGTAAAGACAAACGTCTGGCTTACACAGTGCTCTCCAGCTAATGTCAAGAACAGATGAGTTACCAGCTAAGAGAAAAAACAGGGACCAGAGACAACCATAGTGCTGGGGGTCCTCTAATGCGTGAGAAAAGTGAGACTTCCTTCTTTTTTCACAAGTTAAATTTTTTGTAAATGAAACCATGTGCAACCTAATCCAGGCAAACCCTCCCTCTTGGTTGAGATCACTACTCTGTACATTTGCAGAGCAGTCATTTCTCAGTCTTCACTCACACCAGCACAGCCAGAAGACACCAGGCTCCCTGCTGCATAATGTGTATGTGGCTTGACCCATCATCTGCCATAGCTGCATGGAGCTTGGCTCCTTGTCTCAGCTGAGTGTACAGCTCCTGGAGATGTTGGGACATGCCAATAGAAAAGTGCAGAATCACTTGGCATGGAAGACTTCAGCTGACCCAAATGCTGGCTATTTTTTCCCCATTTAACATCACACCTGAAGCTGCTCCAATACCTGGGCTTTAGGACATAGCCAAGGGATATCTCTTAAACTTCCTCCCCTTTTCCTACCTTTTCATCTGCTCTATTTTACATGCAAGTATATGCTGAGGGCCACTATTCTCCATTTTGGAGGAAGGCACTACTAAATGGGATTGAGCTATTCTACTACTAGAAACTTAGTTTACCCTTCTGATAATCTTTGACATCTTGTGGCTATTTGCCTCTCCCTACAGAGTTGACAGCAACTATCCATAACATTTTTTTGCATTAGGGGTGATGGATGAATGAGAAAAACTGATAAGCTTCACAGCAATATACAATGAAAAATTCCACCCCCTGAACATTACTCAGCAGCATACAGAGCTCAGGTTTGGTCAGCGTACAGCAGTATCCTCTTCATTCCAGCCTAGTTTCCAAAATCTCAAGTTTAAAGGAAGAAATACCACTAGCTGGTTACTAGGAAAGACAAGTAAACTTGTTTGCAGTATGACTGCCACAGGTGCATTCAGTCCTGCACTCCTCAGGAGTGATGGTTTAAACACCATCACCTGCTCCACATACATTCCTTCACTGTATCTGTCCGGGAACTGCTGAGGAGAATGGCACAGTTTGGATCCATCAAGCTTGAGAAGGACTTTGAAAAGGTCACAGCACCTTGTGGACAGAGATGCCCTGGAACTCCCAAAGACCTCAAGATGTTATAAACCTTATCTTTCAAGATATAAAAAGAAATATAACTTTTTTTGCTGCTATAATGAAATTAGCCAGCAGGTCCAGTGCTGCTTCCCCAATTTTAAAAAACCAATCAGCAACACAGTTTGAGGGGACACAACATCTTGAAAAACCTCTCTGGTGTGACACTCACATGCCCTTTGGTCACAGATGGCACCATGCAATTTGCCAGCAAGGGGGGAAGCTCCTGAGTCCTTTGCCAAATTTCACAATTTGAATGAATGGGAAACAGGAGAAACATGAGATGAGGTAAGAGGTAGAGGAGCAGTGGCCTAAGAAGAGTTCTACAACAGAGCTGGGGTTCAGAGAAAGGAAACTCCCTTCCTGGTGGCCCATTCTTTGGACAGCATCTGGCTTAAAATGAGAAACTACCACATCCAGAAGAACAGTCAACTCTGTTAGTATTTCTAAAAGAAAACAAAAAACTTTGAAAATATGTGATTTTAGAACAGCTTTATGAGCAAATCTCTGAATGCTTACACTAGTTCTCTTCTCCAGATAGCATAAACTACTTTTTTTCTGTATGAAGGCAAAAGTATACAGCTTGAATTCCTATTGATGGAAAATACTCTTCACAGCGTTTATCTCTGTATATTTTGTATATCATTTTTCAAATGTAGTACAACTTAGTGCTTGCAAGAAACAAGGATGACACAAATTCAAATTTCATATTTGAAATACTCTGTCAATAAATGGGGTGAGAGATTTAGAAGTCATGCAGCTGTTTTATTTATTTAACCTGCAGAGACACCCCTATACAGGCCTGACCTAATGGTATTTCAACAAAAAAGGTGGTTGAAGTTGCAAGGGATTTACTGGTTTGACATATGCTCAGGAAACCTGATCCTTTTGCAAGGAATTCTGGTTTCTTAATACAGGCAAGTGACCAGTTTGCTCGCTCTCTATAGAAGTAAATTAGGTAAACATTAGAGAACCATAGATACATTTTGACGCTATCTCAGATTTTGAACTTGAGTAAACTGCATCTCTGCTACTGTACCTCTTTCTTGTAATGCAATTTATGTTTCTCCATCAGCAATACTCCTTTACGGATTTCAAATAAAACCATTCTTTGAAATTGCACTCAGACAATTCCTGAAGAAGTCCCAAAGACACAGCCATTAAAAATAGATCTCCTGGGAAGGCCACCTTCAGGCAGCCCCTCAACTGCTCACAAGCATTCCAGATTATACACCAGGCACACTTTAGCAGCATAATCCTCACTACAAAACTAAACAAATTCTTCTGTCCTGCTCAGAACGCTCAGTAAACTTAAGACACAGCCAGATTAAAATCAGCCCTTTGCAAAGAGAGACACATACAAGTAACCTCTCTAATATCATTACTACTATCATATATTCAAAGTCATTTTACTGATGCTTTTAGGTAAACTGTAGAGAGCAGAGCTCTACCTTTACACCACAGATGCATTAGAAATACCTCAGCCAATTGCAAAAACATGTGAATACAGAGCAGCTCATCTGGCTATCTCTGGTATTAAGAGAGTAGCCTTAGCTCTTTAGCGTAAATTCTACAGGCTCTTGCTTGTTTGCTGCGTTTCACTAGCTAGGTAGCACAGGGGCGCAGCAGCTACCAGGTTACTGCGGGCACCGCGGGGTGCTGGGCCCCGGGATCCTCGTTCCCCCTCGGGGATCGGGGGCACTGGCTCTCGGTCAGGCTGTCCCCGCTCCCCGGGGACACCAGAGCCGGGCTGCCCGGTGCGGGCTCGGGCTCGGGAAGGACGACACGAGGGTGCCGGACGGGACAGAGCGTATCCAGAACGACACCAGGGATGCGGAGGAGAGAGACGGGAACAGCCAGCGATACAGGCGGTCTCCGTCCGGGCAGCCAGCACCCCGGCGGTCCGCCGGGGGCACCGGGGACCCCGCGGGGTTACGGCTGGCGCTCGGGAGGTGGGGCTGGGGACACCGCCCGCCGGGCTCGTGGTCCCCTGCCCGCGGTGGGAGGCGAGGCTCAGCCCCATCCCCTCCCGGCCCCGCGGCGGGTGGCGGTGCGGTGCGCCCCGTCTCGCCGGCTCCCGCTTACGTTTGTGCCGCGGGAGAGATGCGTCCTCGCCTTGTCCTCTCGGCTCCCAAATGCATTTGTATGCATTTGCCCGGGCAGCGGAGATCCGAGGGAAAGCCGAGCGCCGCGCCGCCGCAGGGTCAGCTCCTGTCCATGAAAGCCCGCCGGCGCCGAGGTCTCCGCCGAGCTCCGCGCAAGCCCGAGGGCGGCCCGGCCCGCGTACAGCCCGCGGGGGCGGCGCGGCGGGCGGGGGGGCGCCGGGGGCCGGGCGGCGGGGGCGCCCCGCGGCTGCCCGCGGAGTCCGGCGGCGGAGCGGCGCTGCACCGCCTGCCCCGGCACCGGCGGAGCTCCCGCCCGCCGCGGTGTTGAATTTCAGCGCTGGCTGCCTGGCGATTACATCAGCACACGCGGCCCCCGGGGCGGGCCGGGCCGCGGCCCCGCATGGTGCGCCCTGCCCCGGGCGCCGACCCGCACCCGCAGCCGGCCCGGAGCCGGGGGGAGCCGGAGCCGCCGGTGCGCAGTGCCGAGCCCGGCCCCGCCCGGGCCCAGGTGCGGCGGCAGCGCCGGGACAGGTGATGCCCTCGGTGCAGCCGGAGGGCGAGGAGAGCCTTCGGCCGCCGCTGGGCTCCAGCTGGGGAGACTCGGCAGGAAACTGCAAGTTAAATTAAAATCTGAGGACGGGCGGGGAGAGTTGATGAAGTGATCTAAACACAAAAAGCTGAGTGCGCTGGACGTTTTGTATCTCCAGTTATAATTGGAGTTTGGTCTAGAAAGACTCCCTCTGAAAAATGTTTGAGGAGCAGATGTAATTTAGTAGCATTACAATGCCGAAGAAATATGACACCCTTCACTGTCTTCCTAGAGAGACAAAGGTCTTTTTAGCTTTATTTTCCCGTTTTCTTACCTTGTTCCCACAACAAAGCCTATTTGTAATTTTATCCCATAAGACATCTTTATGCAAACTGTCGCTAAAATCAAACACGGTAGAGTTAAACAATACCAGACATTGCAGTACACACTGTACAGCAAACACGTGGTCGAGTCCTGAAGCCTTACTCAGGCAAAACTTCCATGGACTTCAGAAGAAATCTGATGTGAGTTAGGGTTATAGTATTTATCTCTTTCTGGGCGCTACAAGAAGATTTCGTATCATGCAAAGACCTTCATGACACGCAGCAGATACCTTCCAGTTGTAGGTAAGTTGAAGAATGATGTAGAGATACAACCAAAGATACTCCCAAACACCAGAAAACAATGGAGGTGTTAAAAAGAAAGGCTGAAAAAGACAAAAATTGTATATTATATGTATATTTCTATATGAAGTAGGACTCTTGACTTCTTGTTGGCACTTTGCTCCTTGCGTCCTTGTTCCAGCCCCTGCTGGGCTTGAACGCAGTCCTCAGGCTATTTGGACAGCTTCATTGGCCACGGGGAGACACAGGCCAGGGGAAGGGCTACCTGTGCCCTTCCATTGCCTCACTGCACACAGCTCACGTATCTCTGAGTCATGTATCCACAAATGGGTCAGGAATGTGCCAGGCATGCTCCTTCTCCCCTTCCCTGTGTCCCTCTGCCTGGAAGCTCTTGTGCTCCTTTTTTGAGAAGTGGATGATGCTATTCTGCGCCTCAGTCGCTTCCCTTCCATAGTAAGACCCTGCAGAGCTACTTCTCTTCTAGCTTCATGGCAAAAACCAGTATTGGTTCTATTATTATACTTGCTTCTTCCAAGTTCTTACAGTCTAATAAGAAAACCTACTATGTTTAAAGCTATGTGTTTATTTCCAGAGCTAGATATAGCAGTCTGTATACTTAAACACACCTAAGGCATGGTCAAGCTCCAAACTTATTAGCACTTATTGCAACACAGTGATGCTGGAAGTTTCATTTCCTATGGCAAATGTCCCAAGATCCCATCTTTCCACATCTGCTATCTCCTGCTTGTCCACAGTCTATCCCAAATTTATTATCTTTCCAAGTAAACTCAGGGATTACTGAAATGCAAAATTAATTCTTCCGAGATACCACTCCTTGTCTTTCTGATATGATTACGAGATTTCCTTCTGTTTGTTTGCTCCTTTTCCAGCAGCTTTTTCCTCCTTTCATGATCTGACTTGCTCATCTGTCACTACAGATTACAGCTGCTGAGTTCCAG